GAAGGAGCTCGACATGAACTGGCCGAACGTGGCCGCGGGGTACTTGACGTTTTTAGAGAAGATCAGTTCCGTGAATCTTCAGTCGAGCGCGACGCAGTGTCTGTTCGCGTGGGATTACTACGGCGCGACCGCGTTTTACGTCATGCTTCCGATCATGTTCGCCGTCGCTTCGATGATTTACTACTCTTTCTTCAAGTTCATCGATGAGTCAAAGGGCGCCATCTCCACGATCGCCCGGCGCTTCGGAGCGAAGACGGACGTCGAGTCCGACGACGACGAAGACACGCCGAGGCAGAGTCCTATTATCAACGCTGCTGACCTCAGAACGAAGAAGCGGGTCGAGGCGATGGACAACGCGACGTTTGAAAAGAGTTGGGAAAGCAAAGCGATCGACGAGGTGTTAATGATGGGTGTCATCGTCCTGTGGTACTTGTACCCCACGATCGTGCAATACCTCGTCGGTTTGATGCGGTGCCGGACGTTGGACTCGGGAGGGGAAGTTTACCTCATCGCGGACTTGAGCCTGAAGTGCAGCGAGCCGATCCACGCGTTCTGGATGTTCTTGCTCTTCGTCTTCATCATCGTGTACGTCATCGGGATTCCATGGGGGCTGCACATTCTCCTTCGATACGAAGGCAAGAATTGGACGACGCATCAGATGCGTTTCCGCGTCGGGTTCCTCTACAAAGGACACGACCTCTCGGACAGGTGGTGGTGGGAGGCCGTCACCTTCGCGAGGAAGGCGGTCATCACGTGTATCGTCGTCTTGTGCTCGGACGTGACGAGGATGGGCAGCTACGTCGTCGTCTGGGTCTTAGAGGCGTGCTTCATTTTGCACTTTTACGCGAGCCCGTACGCGAACGAGCGGATGCACCGGATAGAGTGGTGGGGTCTGCTCGCCGCGATCGCGACGTATAACATCGGAATTTTGTACCAAGACGGGAGCGGTGGGTGGTGGATGAGGATACTTCTCACGTTAGTGCTGTACCTCGTGAACGCGGGGATGTGGGTGTTGTTCATCAAGGGCGTGGTGAAGGAGATCAGCGGCGAGGGTCAGAAGCTGTACCTCGCGCGCGCGAAGCACGACATCCAGCTCGAGGACGACATCGCGGAAGAGTTCGCGCAGCGCAGGAATAAGCTTAAGAACGAGGAGGAAGAGGCGGAGAGGCGCGAGCAGATGAAGAAAGTCGCGGGCACGTCCTTGGCGTTCGCGGACGACGCTTGGCTCGAGAACCTCAACGAGTCGAGCGCGATGGAGGTCAAGGCGGAACACAAGAAGCTGTCGAAAAATCTCGAGGGGATGCGCGAGGCGTGGGCGGAACGACAGAAGAAAAACAAGGCGAGGAAGTACACCGTCGAAGAGGCGCACAGGAACGTCGAGTCATCACCCTCCGCGCGCTGGCAGCAGCGGAAGGAGCAGAGAAAGAGAGAGTCTCGAACCGACACCATCCTTCGCGACTCCGCGGGTGACCGCGAACCGGAAAATCGCGACAGTCCCTCGTCTCGTTGGCGCGCGAGGCAAGCCGCGAGCGCGAGACCGGGATCTGGAGCGGGCAACTCTCGACCGAGATCTCAAGGAGGTGGGCAGGGCGAGAGCTCGTTGCGAGAGACCTGGAGGCAAAAGATGGAGGCTCGCAGGGCGGAGAGGGAACGAAAATAAAAAATTAAGTAGAGACGTAGTCTTTTAGCTTTAGCGAACAGTACGTAAGAAACGACACGAGGTTCATCACACGCGCGGTGTTGTAGCGCGTGCGCGGGTCGATTTGGTTTTTATCGCTGCACCCGCAGCGCCTGCCTCAATCTCATTAAAATGTTGCTTCTGTCTTCCCTGTCTCTAAATGCTAATCACCCACGGTGGCGATTTACACGAGAGACGCGAGGAGGGCGTTGCCAAGATCCTGCACGGTGGCAACGGCAGCCGTGGCGCCATCCTTATCCTTGGAGCGGATCTGGAAGTCGAGCGCCTCGACGGCCTGGTAGAACTTCTTCGCTTGCGTCCTGTCGCCGCCCTTCTCATCGACGAGGTTGTTGATGTCGAAGCGCATCGTGTTGAGCTGACGACGGAGCTCCATACCGGCCTGGGACCAGTACGCCTTCTCCACGTACTCCGGGACGTCCTTGTTGATGCGGTTGAGGGACTCGGTCGCGCGCGCCTTCGTCTGGTTGGAGTTCAGCTTCTGGAAGGCGAAGCGGGACGGGCCGTCCTGACGCGTGCTCTCCGCGATGTTCAGGTCGCGCGCCTCGTAGATGAGCTGGAGGCCCTCCTTGTTAGTGACGCGCTTGTCCTGGAGCTCGATTTGGTTGAGCGCGAGCGCGGGCATCGCGGAGAACGCGACGACACCGGCGACGGCGAGGGAGACAGCCTGTCGATGTTTAAGAGAGGGTGGAGCGGACGCGTGAGTCAGGTCGTCCTCGCTTCGATTCGGTCGTGGCTCGATCGTCGATTCGGCGCAGGGTTTTTTTTACCGCGACACCCGCCGCGGGACGCGCCGCGCGCGCGCGGTGCCAACGAGAACGACGCGCGCGCGGGCGGTTCCGAAGTGCGAACACGTCTAAGAAGACGTGCGATCGCGGTCGCGGTCGTTTCCTAGCTCGGAACGCGTACGAACCGCGCGGAACCGCCGTCTTGTTACCCGGAAAGATTTATCTCGATCGCGGAAGTCGTCGATCTCGCACCTTCTTGGACATGTCAGCCTTGACGACGACGGACACCTTCTCGGCCTTGCGGACCGCGGGGGCGGCGACGACGGCCTTGCCGGCGAAGACGGAGGTAGCAGCGGAAAGGGCAGCCATTGTGTCGATTAAGAGGTGCGTACGGAGGACGGCGTGTGCGAATATGACCGGCATCGGGACCGCTTTGCGAGAAAAATCGATCCGAGTCGGGCGCTCGTCCAATCAGAAGGCACATGGTGGCTCTCCGACTGTGTTGGTGCGTTTGACCCGCGGTTCTAGGTTGAAAAAAAACAGGTGCCGATGAAAAACGAGATCTTCGGTTCAACGCGCGCTCGCTCGCTTTGAAATAAAACCATTTTTTGATTTTTTTTTGATTTATTTGGTTTTCCCGGGTCGTTTCGCGTTTGCGGATCGGATCGACTGGCGAGCTTCTCTCATCCTTCAAGTCATCCAGCCAGCTCCTCTCCTCGCGCCAGCGGAAAAGTTCGTTCTGCTCGCTCGCGGCCAGTCGCCTCTCGCGCGCGTCGACCGTCGTCCTCGCATGAGCGACAGCAGCCCTCCGCGCTCGCCGGGGAAACCACGACACGACGTCGCGATGAAGCGCTCGCGCGCGCTCGCGCTCGCCGTCGCGCTCGTCGCCGCGACGACGCTCGCGTCGGCGTCGCACCGCTCCGCCGCGGACCTCACGTCGCGACTCGTCGACTCCCTCCCCCTCTCCGCTCGCGGCGGAGGAGACCCGGTCCCCGAGGCGGTCCTCCTCGCCGTGCACGTGCGCCAGTCCACGAACGACACCGACTCCGTCGAGCGCCTCGCCGCGCGCGCGATCGCGGACGTGGACGGACGCGGGCTGACGTTCGCGACGCGCGACGGCGACGTCGAGCGCCGAGTCGTGGACGCGAGAGTCGTCTTCGAGAACGACGCGAGCGCGCCGTTGACGTTCGCTCGTCTGAACGACGTCTTAGGCTTGCGCGAGTCCAAGATCACGCCGGAGAAACTCGTCGAAGCGTCGCGCGCGGCGGAGCGCGCGCACGTCGGCGCTTCCTTCGACGTCTTCAGCGGCGTGTACGGCGCCGCGGTGAAGACGACGGCGTTGCGTTGGCTGTCGCAGTCGGCGACGCACGAGAACGCGTGGGTGATCGAACCGGACGTCGCGTGGACCGGAGAAGATTGGGTGAGCCTGTTCGAGAGGTACTACGACGACGGCGCCGTCGACGTCGACCTCGTGACCGTGAACGCGACGATCGGAGATGCGAAGAAGATGGCGAAGTGGCCGCACTACGGAAGCTGCGAGTTTTGTCGCGAGGGCGACGGCGTTTGGCAGCGCGCGTTTTTGCCCGTGTTTCGCGTCTCGAAACGCCTCGCGACCGCGGTGATCGACGCGCTGAAGAACGGCACGACCGGTCACCACGAGGCGTTCATCCCCACGGTCTGCTCGCGCGCGGAGTGGTGCACGTGGGTCACGATCAAGGAGACGTCCGCGTGGTTCCGGTACCGGCCCGTGCTCGCGGAGGCGGAAGTTGGAGAAAACGGCGCGCGCGACAAGCTGTATCATCCGATCAAGGACCCGGTCGTGTACCGCGCGCTGAGGAACGCCACGAGCGACGAGAAGGATTCGCTCGCTATCGCCGCGACGAAGTGACGCGTCGACGTGTAATTATATCGATCGAGGGGCTATCCTACGCGGTCGGTCGGTCGGCCGGTCGGTCACGCGACGTCTTCGTAGACGCCGATCGTCGCGCACCGGTCGCGCTTCCCCGCCATCACGATCGAACGCACCGCGCGCAGCTTCCACGCGAGCTCGTCCTCGCGCATCTCCCCGGACTCGAACGCGTTCACGAATATGTCCGGTATCAAGTCGTGATACAGCGACGACTCGAGCTGCGCCATGAACAGGTTCGACTGTATCCGCTGCCACGCCGACGCGACCTCGACGTACGCCTCCTTCGGGCTCTTTAAACTCACGTCGGGCGGCGGCGGAGGGACGCCGCCCTGCCAGCACTGTTCCGGGAGCCACGTCAGGAACGACCCGTCGCTCTCCATGGAGCGCGTCACCTCGCGCATCGCGGTCGTCTCCAGCGCCGCGTACTCGCTGCGGTCCGGGTACGACAGCTTCTTCGACGCGCACAACGCGAGTAAAAACGCGTCGCGGCGCGTCGCCGCGCGCGCATCCGGGAGTTTCGACAGCCGCTCCACTCTCGGCGCGCACTCCTTCCACAGCCTCACGACGCACCCGATGGTGTACGCGACGTCACACAGCTCGTGCGCGTCATCAGACGACTCTCGTTTCATCGCGCGCCAGTTCACCCCCTCGAGCGCGCGTTCGATCCAGCGCGTCGCGGCGAGCGTCGCGCGCGCCGCGACCAAGTCGTCGACGCGCGCGTCGCATTCCTCGCCGTCCGCTCGCGTCGCGCGTCGCGTCGACTTCTTCCTCCCTCGCCCGCGGCGCGCGCTGAGCTTGGCCATGAACGGCGTCGAGGACGCGCGTATCGAGTCTCGAATATCCAGCAGCCCGCTCGAGGTGTGCGTCGTCGCCGCGTCGACGTACTTATTCCTCAGCGCGACGAACTCCGCCGGCAGCGCCCTGGCGCTCGCGCTCGCGCTCGCGACGCTCTTCCCTGGAGTCTCCTCGCTCCCCGCCGCCGGTGCGGGCGCGTCCTTCCGTCCGAGGTTCATCCTCCGCAGGTCTCGCGCGCGCTGGCCGACCGGGTCGAACGCGGCGTCGTCGCGGTCGTCAGATCCCGACGCGGTCGCGGTCGCGGTCGCGGCCTTGACCCATCTCTTGACCGTGCCCTGCGCCGCCTCGTGCTCGGCGCACGCCGCTTCGAGGTGCCCGGTCGCTTTGCTCACCAGCAAGCACGCGTGGCTCAGGCGCTCGCGCGCGGTGTCCATCGCGCGCGCGCGCTGCTGCTCGACGAGACCGCGCGGGGCGGTGTCAGCTGAGCGAGATCGTTCGAAATGGAAAAAGTGCGATGAGATTGCGGGCTCGGCTATCGGCAGCCGCGGTCGGGCACGCAACGAGCCGAGCGAAAACCATCGTTCACTCGCATCGCTCGCCCTCTTCAACCCGCGCGAGTACGCAAGGGAAATAGTCGAAAGATGGGGAACCAGCGTGCCCGCAGCCGCGGTCTCCGCCATGGGACCAGGAACATGTTCAGCCGTCCCTTCCGCAAGAAGGGTACGCTGAACTCGACGACGCACCTCCGCATCTTCAAGGTACGCGAAAAATGAGACGCTCCCGCTTCGACCCCGACGCGGAAACGCGCGTCGACGGGGACGACGCTCGGCGCCGTCGGCGCCGCCGTCGTCCGCGACGACGCGAATACTTCTCGTTTCACTCTCTCGAGCGTCGTCCGCGCGGATGCCACGTCGCGCCCTCGCCCCGCGCGCCATTCCCGCCGCGTGATCAAGACGCTGACGCTAGGGTTTTCTTCCCACTTCCGCAGGTCGGTCAATACGTCGACATCAAGGTGAACCCGGCGCAGCAGAAGGGTATGCCGTACCTGGCGTACCAGGGCCGCACTGGCATCGTGTGGAACGTCACCCCTCGTGCCGTTGGTGTGGAGCTTAACAAGCAGGTGCGTCTCGAGCCTGGGCCCGACCGAGCGCGGAACGGCAAAAACATCGCGGGATTTCGCTCGCTTTTCGCACTGTACGAAAAAAAACCTAACCGTCCTCCCCTCTTCTCTCCTCCTCCCTCGACAGATCGGTGGGCGGGTCGCTAGGAAGCGCATCCACGTGCGCGTCGAGCACGTCGTGCACTCCAGGTGCCGCGAGGAGTTCCTCGAGCGTCGCGCGGCGAACGACGCGGCGCACGCGGCGGCGCACGCGAAGGGCGAGAAGGCCCCCGAGACGAAGCGCACCATCCCGGGCCCGCGCGCGGGGTTCACCCTGGAGAACGTCAAGACGGAGATCTTGACGCCCATCCCGTACGACATCGTGCGCGAGGGTATCAAGTACTAAACGGCGATGGATCGATGGATGGATCTTGGTTTAGCGCTTGCGTTGGGGTGTGGAACGTAGCTTTTTTACATGAAGGGAGCGACGTTCGTTTACTCGCGTGGCGTCACCAGTAGCCTTGCCCCTCCGGAGGCTCGGTCAGCCCGTTGGTCTCGATCAGCTGGATCCCCCTCTCGGCGTCCTGCGCGGTCGCGTTCCTCGTGCTCTCGACGCCCACGATATGCTCCCAGTTAACGCCCAAATCCCAGCCCAGACGCGGATTTTGTACGTTTGTACGTGTACAGCTGCGGACTTTTCCCTGGGTAAATGCCGTGTGCCGATCCGAATCACGCGACTACGCGAGTGCGTCCAATCAAAACCGTTTTCGCGATGTTTCCGAGCGCTCGACGACTCACGGCATGCCTGCAGAGGGTCTCGTTCGCCGCGGCGTTCGGATATCCCCTCGCGCGCGCCGTGCCCTAGCACTCGCGTCTCGATCGCACAGGCTCGAGCCCCGTGGTCACGATGATCTCCGCCGCGGCGCTCCCCGCGCCCGTCGCCCCCGTGGTGCGCCGACACCGATACGTCCGATCGTGGAGACATCTTTCATCTTTTCCGATACGAGTATCGATATCGGATCGCCGCCGTTACGTCTCGCCGCCTTCAGCACACCGCGTACTGATTCAACCCCTCGCGCGCGTTCTCTCGTACATCCACAGGCGCGGACCGGCGCTCGTCGTGGGCGCCGCGTCCGAAACGCGAAGGCTCGCGGCGCCGTCCGCGCGCGCGCGGCGTCGAACGATGATGAGGACGAACACATCCGCGCGTCGTCCGCGGCCGTCGCGGGCGTCGCCGCCGCGACCGTCGTCCTCGGCGGCGCGGATCCCGCGCTCGCGGACGCGTACTCCGAGTACATGGAGACCCTGAAGGCCCAGGACATCAAACCGGCCTCGGTCGCGGTCGCCCCGGAGGTGAAGGGCCCGAGGACCGAGGCGGCGAGGAAGGCGGCGTTGGAGGCACCGCAGACGAAGGCGAAGTCCGTCCCCGCGCCGAAGAAGACCGCGCCGAAACCGACCGACGCGGAGAAGGAAGCGCAGAAGGTACAGAAAGCCGCGGCCGCGAAGGCTGCCGCGGAGGCGAACGCCGCCGCGAAGGCGCAGAAGGACGCCGCGGCGAAGGTTGAGAAGGAAGCCGCCGCCGCCGCCGCCGCGGAAAAAGCCGCAGCCGCGAAAGCGCAAGCGGAGCAGAAAGCCGCGGAGAGGGCGGCGGCGAAGGCTGAGAAGGACGCCGCCGCCGCCGCCGCCAAGGCCGCTAAGGAAGCCGCCGCCCCCGCGGAGGCCGCCGCGAAGGCGGAGATAGAAGCCGCCGCGAAGGCGGAGAAGGAAGCCAAGGCTGCCGCGGCCGCGACCGCCGCGAAGGAGAAGGAACAAGCCAGAGCCGCCGCGAAGGCGGAGAGAGACGCCGCCGCCGCCGCCGCCGCGAAGACCGCCGCCGCGGAGAAGGCTGAGAAAGAAGCCGCCGCGAAGGCTGCCGCGGAGGCGAACGCCGCGGCCGCCGCGGAGAAGGCCGCCGCCGCGAAAGCCGCGTCAGAGCAAAAAGCCGCAGAGAGGGCGGCGGCGAAGGCTGAAAAAGACGCCGCCGCGTCCGTGGCCGCCACGGAGAGGGAAGCCGCCGCGTCCGTGGCTGCGGCGGAGAAGGAGGCCGCCGCGAAGGCTGCCGCCGCGGCGAAGGCTGAGAAAGACGCGGCCGCTGCCGTCGCGAAGGCGGAGAAGGACGCGGAGAAGGCCGTCGCCAAGGCTGAGAAGGAAGCCGCCGCCGCCGCCGCCAAGGCTGAGAAGGAAGCCGCCGCCGCCGCCGCCAAGGCCGCTAAGGAAGCCGCCGCCCACGCGGAGGCCGCCGCCAAGGCGGAGAAAGAAGCCGCCGCGAAGGCAGAGAAGGAAGCCAAGGCTGCCGCGGCCGCGGAAAAAGCCGCAGCCGCGAAGGCCGCCGCCGAGCAAAAGGCTGCGGAAAAGGCTGAAAAGGCCGCCGCCGCCGCCGCCGCCAAGGCTGAGAAGGACGCCGCCGCCGCCGCCGCCGCCAAGGCTGAGAAGGAAGCCGCCGCCGCCGCCGCCAAGGCTGCGAAGGAAGAGGTTGTCGTCGAGGAAGTCGCCGCCCCCGAGGAGCCCGTCGGACCTCCGGTCGCGACGTACTCGCAAGCCGCTCTCGAAGAGAAGGCTGAATTCAGCGGCGACGCGCCGAAGCCGGTGAGGCCGGTCGAGGCAGCGCCCGCGCCCGCGCCCGCGCCCGCGCCCGCGAAGAAGGTCGTCGAGAAGAAAACGCCAAAGCCGGTCGTCGCGAAGAAGGCGGCGCCGAAGCCTTCCGCCGACGCCGCCGACGGCATCCCCGCCGGCGCCGGCCTCGCGGTCGTCGCCGTCGGCGCGGTCGCCGTCCTCGGCGGCGCCGGCAAGAAGAAGCCGGAGCCGGAGCCGGAACCGGAGCCGGAGCCGGAGCCGGGGTTCTTCGGTGGCCTCTTCGCCAGCAAACCCGCGCAGCCCAAGGGGATGCCGCCCGTCGACGTGAAGAGGAAGGCGCCCGCGCCCGCGCCTGCGAAGAAGAAGCCGGCGTTTTCGTTCGGGAAAAAAGCCCCCGAGCCGGAGCCCGAGCCGGAGCCGGTGAAGAACGCGCTGTTCTCGTTCGGGAAGAAGAAAGCCGCGCCGCCGCCGCCGCCGCCGCCGCCGCCGAAGGCGAAGTCGTTGTTCTCGTTCACGCAGAAGATCAAGAAGGAGCCCGAGCCCGAGCCCGAGCCCCAGCCGCTGAAGAAGTCCAAGCCGCTCTTCTCGTTCACGCAAAAGATCAAGAAGGAGCCCGAGCCCGAACCGACGCCGCCGACGCCGACGCCGACGAAGGCCAAGCCGCTGTTTGCGTTCACGCAAAAGATCAAGAAAGAGCCGGAGCCGGAGGAGGAGGAGGAATACGTCCCCGAGACCGCGGAGGAGAGGATCGAGCTCGCGGAGAACGCCGCGGAGGACGCGGTGAGCGCGGCGTACGAAGACGCCGAGCAAGCCGCCGCCGAGGCGGAGGACGCCGCCGCCGAGGTCGCCGCGCTCGAGGAGCGGCTCGCGGCCGCGGAGTCCTCGCCGGAGAGGAAGGCGTGCACGATCGCGCTGAACTCGTCCAGGAAGATCGCGCGGGAGAGCAGCGCGAAGGCCAAGGTCGCGGCGACGAAGGCGATCAACGCGGCGAAGAACTTGGAGAGGTCGGTGAACAGCTCGTTGGCGCCCGCGGACAGGAAGGTGTACCAGGCGATGCTCAAGGAGCGCCCGCCGTCCGTCGTCGAGGATGTCGCCGCGCCGAAGGAGGAAGCGCCCGCGCCGGCGAAGGAGACCCCCGCGCCGAAGCCGCCGTCGAACCCGTTCAGCTTCAAGTTCAACTTCGGCGGCCCCAAGGCGAAGAAGGCGGCGCCCGCGAAGAAGGCGGCGGCGGCGGCGGTCGAAGCCGCGCCGGAGCCGGTCTCGGACGTCGTCGAGGTCGAAGAAGCGCCCGTCGCCGTGGAGAGCGAGAGCGACATCATCGCGCGCGTCCAGGCGGAGCAGGCCGCCGCCGCGGCCGCTGAGAAAGCCAAGGCGGACAAGGCCAAGGCTGCCTCGCTCGCGAAGATCAAGAAGGAGCAAGACGCGGCGAAGAAAGCCGCCGCCGCCGCCGCGGCGAAGGCGATCGCGGACAAGGAAGCCGCGGAGAAGGCGAAGGCGGACGCCGCGGCGAAGGCGGTCGCGGACCGCAAGGCGGCCGCGGAGGCGCAGCAGGCCGCCGCGAAGAAGGCGAACGACGAGCGCGCCGCCGCGATGGAGGCGAAGAGAGCGGAGGCGGAGGCGAAGAAAGCCGCCGCGAAGGCGGCCAAGGCGCAGAAGGGCGGCGTCTTCGGCTTCGGCGGCGCGAAAAGAGAAGCGGCGGCGCCCGCCGCGAAGGCGGCACCCGCCGCGAAGGCGGCGCCCGCCGCGAAGGCGGCGCCCGCCGCGAAGGCGGGCGCGAGCGATGCGGACGCGAACGCGGCGGACGCGCAGAAGTGGATCGACTCGTGGTCCGCGGGGTCCTCTGCCTCCGCGGCCGCGCCCGCGGCGGGCGCGAGCGACGCGGACGCGAACGCGGCGGACGCGCAAAAGTGGATCGAAGCGTGGAAATCCGGGGGGTCCTCCACCTCCGCGGCCGCGCCCGCGGCGAAGGCCGCGCCCGCCGCGCCCGCCGCCGCCGCTTCCGACGCGGACGCGAACGCCGCGGACGCGCAGAAGTGGATCGATGCGTGGAAATCCGGCGGCGCGAAGAGCGGCGGCGCGAAGAAGGAAGGCGGCGGCGGCGGCAACCCGCTGTCGTTCCTGTTCGGCACCCCCGGGAAGACGCCCGCGCCGAACAAAGGTCTGATGCCGAAGGCCCCTCCCGCGCCGACGCCGGCGAAGAAGGTCGCCGAAAGCGCGCCGAAGGCGAAGGCGCCCGCCGAGGGAGGCGCTTCCGACGCGGACGCGAACGCCGCGGACGCGCAGAAGTGGATCGACGCGTGGCAGGCGGAGAAGGGAGACGACGTCTTGCCGAACGCGCGGGAGGCGCAGAAGTGGATCGATGCGTGGTCAAAAAACAAGAAGTGACCTCGGCGTGTAGATGTGTTAAATAAATGAAAGAACGCTACGAGCGCGACGACTTCGTCCCGCTCGCGGGTTCGAAATAATTGAGCTACTTATAAAAAATACAGGCAAGCGCGGCGAAGAAGATCACGTGAACGCGATCACGCGGAGACGAGCTCCGGGGCGAGCTCGAGCTCCTTCCCGTCCACGAGCTCGGCCTCCACCATACCGAGCCTCGCGCGCTCCTCCAACCGAGCCTTGTACTCGCCCGCCGGGTACGGGTCGCGCGCCTCCGCGCCCGCGGGCATGCGCGCCTTCGGCCTCCACTCCGTCTCCGGGCTGTACGTCCCCAAGACGTGATCGAACCCGGGGCAGCACACGTTGTAGTTCATGCGACCGGACATGACGTGGTGACCCATGTGGTTCTTGTACAGCCAGTCGTAGTACGGCGTCTTCCTGAGCGCCTGGCCGACGGCGAGCGGGAAGTTGAGGCCTTCGCTCAGGGGAATATCCTCCATCCCGTGCATCGCCGGGTGAAGCGAGTTCCACACGAGCGCGTGCGCGACGACGGCGCCGAGGATCAGACCGACGATGGACGGGATGCTGAAGCCCATGAGCGCGAGGAGAGGCACGGACGTCGGGATCATCTGCACGACCATCATCCCCGTGACGTCGTACTCGAACGCGGTGCCGCGGTACTTGGAATTCTCGAGCATCGCCGCGGGCTCGGACTTGAGCCACTTCGGGTCCGTCTTCAGGGACATGTCGTCCAGGGTCTCCGCGTGGTGCTCGATGTGACCGCCGCCGTCGCACTTCGGCGCGACGTCCGCGCCCGTGAGCTTGCAGTACAGGTTCTTCATCCAGTCCGTCTTGTTGAACTCGGCGTGCTGGTACCAGCGGTGCGTGCAGTACTCGTTGAAGGACACGAGCGCGTACATCGTCGGCGCGGCGAGGATCCATCGCGTCGCGACCGCGGAGAGCTCGAACCCGCCGGCGAAGGCGACGGTCTTCGGCGCCTTGCGCGCGCTCGAGACCACGACGCGCTTGCTGCGCGTCGTCACGAGGGGAGAACCGACGAGCGATTTCCCGAACGTGGACGTGGCGGCGACGGACATCATCTTGTCGATATGACCGAGGTGGAAGACTCGAGGAGCGGGGACACGAACGGCGCGAGCGGCGATTCGGATATAACGTCGACGTCGACACGCGAAAGTGTTGACGAGTTTTATGCGTTCGTGTACGCGCGCGGGGGAGTGCGCGGGGTGATGACGTCGCGACGGTTTGGGTAAGGACAGACAATCGTAACGACGTCGACAGTTCTCAGCCCCGGAACGTCGCGATGCGGTGGCTGACAGAGTCCCACGAATTAACTCGTCGTTTGAGGGTTAAAAATGCCGCGTCGGTCATTTTCGCCGCGGCACTCCCGCGCACGGGAGCGAGTCGTGATTTTGTTTTTTCTGGTTTTCGACTTCTCGACCCGCGCGGGTCGCTTCGCGGCGAGTAGGGCTATCTCGCGCATAACAACAACGCGCGCGGAAGTCCCCGCGACTCGTCGCGCGTCCTCACCCTCGCCCGCCCGCCGCCTCCTCGCCTCGCCGTCCGCCTCCCGTCACGCGTACGTCTGCGTGTTCACGTCGGACGGGCGCTCGTATCCGCCCCCGCCGCCCATCCCGCCGCCGCCGCCGCCCGGCATGAAGCTCGAGAAATCGCCGAAGATCGGCAGCCCTTCGTAGTTCTGATCCCTCCATTCTTTCCACGTGAACATCATGGAGACGCACAGCGCGAGCCACGTGAACATCGCGAACGCGATCGACGCCTTCGCGCCCGTCGCGCGCTTACACACCGGATACGTCGGGTCCACGATCGTCTCGTTGCACTCCGTCCACGACGTGCTGAACGCGATGAGGATAAGGACGTTGAACACGGCGTAGATCATGAACTCCGTGCCCGCGGGGGGGACTTTTTGGATCAGATACATCCCCATCCACAGCATCGTGAAGAGCCAGTACGTGACGCAGATGACGACGAGGAATTGGAACACCGCGAATTTGTGGTACCCGCATCCGTACGGGCCGCACTCCTCGAGCGTCATCGCGTCCGGGCCCGCGAGGTTCTTATTCTGCCCGGCCATCGTCGCGAACGCGGTCAGCGCGAAGAGCTGCGCGAGCGAGCGAGCGCGAATCGGGGGATGGTTCGGTCAGCGAATTGTTCGGCGAGGACGGACGACGATGGATCGGGGTAACACCACGCGCGGGGCGGGCGCGCGATCCGACCGAGCGCGCGCGCGAGAGCGAGGCGGGGACGCACGCATTGCACCGCGATGAGGCGGAACTTCGGGGAGTTGATAGCCGTGGGGTCGATGTCACCGCCGCTCATGGTATGGTGTTCGACGAAGCGCGTGTGAAGCGCGCGCGAGAGTGCCCGCCTGGCGGAACGCGCTACCTGTAGTAGACTCGCAGGCACACTACAGACTGCTCACAGCAGCTTGCCCGCCTGGATTTGCGGGCCGTGCTGGATTCGGAATTCTGGCGGTCGTCGCGTTTTGAAGCCGAAGCCGCGTCCTCGCCGCTCACTCCCCCTCCGTCCCGCGACGCGTGGGCCGCGAATAAGTCGCGTGCTCGTGCGGTGGTGACGGAGAAAGGGTCAGTCAATAAAGGGGCAGGGGGTGCCGCTTTATTTTTAGGGGTTCCGCGCGCGCGTGGAGCCTTTATCCGGGGGGGTGAAACGCGGGGGGGGTGAAAAGGAAGCGGGAAGCGGGAAAATGACCGCGCATGGCGTGTCCGGACCCCGCGGCGTCGGGAGCGCTATGCTCGACAAGAACGTCGAGAAGCTGCTCTCGGAGCCGTGGGGCGCGGCGAAGGTTGGCGTGCACTACACCAAAGAGGTCTTGGGGTCTCTTTGCGAGCAGTTCTCGCGACTCGAGCCGCAAGCGCGAAGGGGCGCGCTCCAGGGAACGTTGTTCATGAGAAAAGGCCAAAGGTCGGGTCTGAACGACGAGGTCGAGGATCTCGTCGCGGTCGCGACGGACGACAAAGACCAGTGGGCGAGCTTGATCGCTCGCGCATTAGGAGGGTTAAAGCAGCGCTTCGACTTGCAGCGGCTTCAGCAGGACGTTCCTGCGGTGAGTTACTCGCCGGATCTCGAACGAACCCTAGCGCGGGAATTCCGCGCGCAGTGAATTTTCTCATCCCCGTCTTCGGGGACGAACGAACGCTGAAAACATCGATCACCTTTCCTTCCTTTTCGTAAAGGTCGCGGACGCGCTCGCGTCAATCAGGGAAAAGATTCAAGTGGAAGGAACCCCGGACACTTACCGACCTCTGGAGGTGAACGTCTTTCCGTCTCGCATCTCACACCGTTAGTTTACTAGCTAGCCTCGGTCTCGACTCGGACTCGACGCACGTTTCCCTCCCGAGGTCACACTCGGGGCTGCTCGCTCGTCGCGTGTGCGTCGTCGTTTCCGTCGTGTCCTAGTCGTCATTGTCGAGAACCGTCATTCAACGACGGTATCCACGTTCCCTCTACGAACGTGCACAGGAAGCGTACTTATCTCCGAAACTCCTCGAGGTTTCGGGCGCGCCGCCGGTGAAAACCGACGGCGCGGAGACGCACGCGCACTTCACCATGAGACAGCGTAAGCAGCCGAAGAAGCGATTAATAAGCGTCAGTTCATCGGTTACTTTGAAACCCAGCAGCGCATCGTCGGTCACCCCGAGTCACGCGACACAGGTTGGTGGATCTATGTTCGCCCCGCCGAGCCGGAAACCGAATCCCGCGGCGGCTTCTTTCCTTCGAAACACCTCCACGAAGCGCCCCGCGGACGGTCCCGCCGGGGGTCTGTCCGCGAAGGACTTCCTCAAACGGAAACAGGCATCGGCGAACAGGAGCATGATGATCGACGTCCAAGAAGCCGCGAAGCTGGGCACGGTCATGGGCGAGGATCTACGACGCGAAGAGGAAGAGCGCGAAAAGAAAAAGGAACGCGAAGAGCGAGAGCTAAAGCGGAAGCAAGAGCAAGAGGAGAGAGAGGCTCGCAAGCTCAAAGAGCAGGAAGAGAAACAGCGCCGCATCCAGCGAATGATGCAGGAGCGAGAACAGAAAAAGGCTCAAGAGGCTGAGAAGAAGCGTCTGCGCGAGGAAGAGCGCGCGGCGGCGGCGGCGGCGAAGCGCATGCGCACGGCGTCGTCGCCGGATCAACGCGAGGGCGTCGCGACGCCGTCGCCGGATCAGGAGCCGATTCCGGGGTTTTGAACAGCACGCAGTGTACGTACAGTTCCAGTATGACAGGACATTTTTTACAGTAGTAGCAAGCGGTAGACAAAAGGCAGAGCGCCGAAAGCCCCCGGCGGCGCCGGGGAACAAAAAAATAGAAAGAAAAGCAGCGAAAAAAACAAAAATAGACGGGTGTTTAGCAGCGAGAGCATTGAACGAAACGATTCAGTCTCACGAAAACTATTCACACTACACCACGCGCGCGCCTCTTCAATCTCGACGGGCTCTATCACTTTTCGTCACGCCCCCGCCCGTCGCCTCGACGTCAACCCGCTCGTCGCGCTCATCGTCGGCCTCTCCACGACCAACCACGTCACGGCGGCGCACGCGAACGCGCACACCGCGTTGAACGCCGCGTCGCTCAAGACGTGGTGGATCGAGAAGTGATACGTCGACGTCGCGGTGCCCGCGAACCACTTGATCGCGACCGGGTGGAACAGGTACGCGCCGAACGTCAGCCGCGCGAACGGCGTCCACGCGGGCGCGGCGAGGAACGCGTTCAACGTCGGCGTGAGCCCGAGCGCGCACGACGTCGTGAGGACGCCGAGCGCCGCCGCCCACGTCGGTCGGACGAGGGATAGGAACGCGCCGTTCGCCCACGGCGGCCAACTCTCGGGATCGCGGTAGTCGGACAGCGGCGCGAACACGCACGCGAGAAGCGCGACGAACGCGGCGGCGAGGAACGACGCGCCTTGCGAACGGCTGAAGTCCGGGACCTTGGACGGGTCGGACGCCCAGGATTCGTTCACGAAACCGAACGCCATCCCGACGAGGTACGCGGGGACTCTGCAGTACGGTTTACTGTACGCGTAGTAGCTGTACTTGACGTAGCTCTCGCCAAAGATGTACATGCCCGCGCCGTAGTGCACGACGAGCCAAAACTGCGACGATGAAGGGAAATAGCACGGGCGTCAGATGGGGGAGGCGAAGCGACGCGCGCGCAAAGACGAAAACGAAAACGAAACCGAGACAAAAACCACCCGCCCGTCGCCGCGCGCTCATGACCTAGTCTCAGCATCGAGGTGCCTCTATCGAGCGCGTGAAGCGCGGAAGTCACCTCTGTGTGATAAGATCAAGTTATTTTTTATAATCATCGCGCGCGGCGTCGGCGGCCGAGGCGAGCGTGGGTCGGGTCGGGTCGGGTGGACGCACCGTCAGCGCGCACGACGCGATCGACGTCAACGCGATCGCCGCCCACATGACGCGTCTTCTGTGGTGGTGCAACAGCAGTACGAACGGCGAGAACAGGTAGAAGATGAAGTCGTTCCCGAGGTACCACGACCACCCCATGCACACGTCGTCCGAGTCGAACGGGATGAAGTTGTGAAGGTACAGCAGCTCGGACCACCATAACTTGTCGCAGCGTCGAAACACGCTTCGTTGATATCGAACGAAAAACGGCCCGTCCCCGATTCGAGACGCGATCTGCGAGTACACGACGAGCGCGAACGCGAACGCGGGGGTTATCCGCAACCACCTGTGTGCGATCATTCCGCCGACGGGTATCGACCCCGCGCGCTTCTCCAAGTCTCTGACGCCCAAGTACGCGATGAGGAACCCGCTGAGGAAGAAAAAAGTGTCGACCGCGATCTCGCCGCCGACGACGACCTGGAACCACGCCGCCCCCCGCGCGCCCCACCGCGCGATGAGGTCCTCCGGGTTATCCCACCCGTTCAACGGCGTCGGCATCATCATCGTGTGACCGACGATGATCCAGACCATGGACAGAACGCGCATGCCGTTGAGGCAATCCGTCGGCCCGGGCCGCGACGGCGCGGCGATTAGTTTCGGAAACGTCCGCAGCAACGACAAAAAGTTCGTCGACGCCGCGACTCTCTCGAGCGTCGCGGTCAGCCGTTCGACGCGCGTCGCGGTCGCGGCCGCGGTCGGATCGTCGTCGCTGATGTCGCTCAAGCCCTCGCCGAGGCCCTCCTCGTCGTCGCCGCGTCCGCTCAGAAGCGGCTCCTCGACGCCGCCGCCGCCGCCGCCGCGGCGTCTCTCCCTCGACGCGAAGCCCGAGGCGTCGAGCGCGGTCGCGACGACGACGACGACGAACAACGCGATGACGCACGCGAGCGCGAAGCACGCCCACCCGGACGTCGCGTTTCTGACGAACCCGACCCTGTCCTCGACGTGCGACGTCACGACGAGCCACACGCTCGACACGCCGGCGCCGGCGCCGTACCAGCCTCTCACGCCGCCGCCGCCGCCGCCACCGCCGCCGCCGCCGCCGCCGCCGACGCCTTTCCCGCCCTCCGCCATCTCCTTCGCGATCTCGTCCGCGGCGTCCATCGCGGCCATGATCGCGCGGTACTCCCTGCACCTCGCCGCGGCGTTCGCGTCCTTCCCCGCGGCGGCGCAGTACCCGCTTCCGAACGGCCGCGACGCGTTCTCCGCGTTCGCGATCGCCGCGTCCGCTTTCTCCGCGGTCGCCCTCGCGTCGCCGCCGCCGCGCCCCGCGCCCACGAGCGCCTCCACGTCCGACTTCGCGCACGCGCTCGGGAGGCACAGGCCGAGCTCCGCGACCGGGATCTCCTTCGCGTTCAGGTGCCAGCTCAGGAGGTAATACGACGCCTCGGGGGTGTGCACGCACGCGTGGAAGTGCCCGGCGTCGTACGGAAGCGACCGTCCGGACGCGTAGGCCATCCTCGCGAGCGGGCGGTCCACGAGCCCCGCGCCCGTCGACGACGCGTTGCCTGGGGATAACGATTCGCAGCACGCGACGCTGACGTTGGGGAACACGGACGCGCAGTCCAGGGACGCGCCCGAGTCGCTCGTCGTCGTCGTCGTCGTCGTCGTCGCCTCGACGCGTCCGGGCGCGAGGACGCACAGCGCGAGAAGCGTCAGGGACGACGCGCGGGCGAGCGACGCGGGCGACGCGCGCGCATCGCGGCGTCGCGCGGGCATCGTCCCCGACGCCTCGCGGGGACCTAAACCGACCGCACACGCGGAGCACCCCGGCCGGTGCGGCGAGATGTGATGACGCGCGAGATGAATGAATTGGAGGACGTCGTGTTGATGTTGGTTGGATCTCGCGGAGCAGAATTTAGAGAGTGACGCGACGTCTCGTCTCGTCTCGACGTCTCGTCTCTCGTTTCGTTCGCGCGACGTCTCGCGCGCGCACTTCATCGCATCACATCTCTAAAACTCTCGCACGCCGCACGTCTTCGCGGCCCTCGCTCCCGCCTCACAACTTCGCCGCCCCGACGCCTCCTCCCAGTCAAGCCTTCGTGTACTGCGCGGCGACGTGCGAGAGCGCGTGCTCCAGCGCGTCCGCCCCCGCGGTGTCGACGGTCTGCTTCGCCTTCATCGCCGCCTGCATGAGCTCGTGGTGCAGCCTGAGCGCCTCCTTGTACTCCTCCGCGTCCTTGTACAGCTCCACCTTGACTCTCTGGCACAGGCAGTACTCGGACACCTTCGCGATGATCCTCCCGCAGTGCTCTTCTTTCGTCATGACCCAACGCGTCATCTGGTTGAAGTTCGCCGCGGACGGGGGCGCGGCGGAGAGCTCCGTGATCTGCGCCATCGCCTTGCGGATCGTCGCACACGCTTCTTTGAGCTCTGCGATCATCGCGGGGTCGTCGAAGATCCCGCACGGGACCTGGCAGTGCCCGCCGCGGAGGCGGAGGACGAGGTGGAGCGTGGACTCCTTCTGGATGTTGTAGTCCGCGAGCGTGCGGCCGTCCTCGAGCTGCTTGCCCGCGAAGATGAGGCGCTGCTGGTCGGGGGGGATCCCCTCTTTGTCTTGGATCTTAGCCTTGACGTTGTCGATCGTGTCCGAGGACTCCACCTCGAGGGTGATGGTCTTGCCCGTGACTGCGGAGCGAGCGACGGGGGGATCGGATTCGATGTCAGCGAAAATTACGCGTCGAATTGTGGGGAGCGCGAGATCTGGCGAGGAGACTTCGATCGCCGCAGGGTTTACGCGATGCGCGATCGCGGGGTGATTAACGGGGTGAAGAGAGGGAACGTACGCGTCTTGACGAAGATTTGCATGGTGTATCGAGACGGGAACGGCGAGCTTTGCGCGTCGAAAAGTGTCGACGAGGAGAACGAAGACGGGGCTGGGCTGTGAAGAAATCCGACTCCACTGACTCCACTGGCTGGTATCGAAGAAACGTTCCGAAAAAGAATAAAAATTTGGGCCCAGCAACATCAGGTTAACTGAGTGGTGGCGCGACAACTCAGCCACTGCCAACCGTTGCTTCGTCCGAGAAGGGCGCGGGGCGGACACAACGACGAGCGCGGCGCGGGACGTTAGACGTGCCCGTCGTCGTCGCGAAGCGCGGATCTCGCGCGGATAGTTCATTCGACGCGGCGTCGTCGAGGTGATCCTTAGAGAGTCGTAGAAGCGCGCGCGCGGGGCGCGGTCATCGGTCGGCGCAGAAAGAGAGAGCGAGCGGAGAAAAAACGAATCAAGACCGCGCGAAACCGCGAGATGAGCGCTCGGTGCTGAGTGGAGGCGCGATCGAACACACGAGATGGGGGAGCGTTTCCGAGCGAGTAAAATGACGTTCACGCCCGCTTCGTCGAGCAAGCGCGCGGAGCAGAACTTCCCGCCCCCGGACGGGAAGCCGGACTTGCTCGTGCAGTTTTTCGACTCTGAGTTTTTCGACGAGTGGATAGCCATCTCGTATCTGTGGAGGACGAGAAGCGAGGGCGTGATCGATTACCTGTGCAACAAGATGTACTCGCTCCCGGACGACAAGGTCGAGAGGTACCTCTCGCAGCTCATCATGCTGCAGATCTTGCGGCCGAACCCTTCCGTGGAGCGGACGATCATCGACTTTTGCGGGCGATCGTCCAGGCTCGGGACGCAAGTCGTCTGGCTCCTCTCCGCGGCCGCGGGGGATAGCAAAAACCCGAAGCTGATCATGGAACTGAAGCACAAGTGCACGAACGCGAGCATGAACGGGACGTGGCTCCCGCCGTTTCGCGCGCTGTCCCCAGCGCTGGACTGTCAGAACGAAAAGACGGCGAAGATTTACGATCCCGTCGCGTTGCGATCTGCGCTCGCGGCCGTGGATTACCCGGGCAAGGGGGAGAACGACGACGAGTTAGAGACGCCCACGGGGTCGCCTTCGAAGATGGCGAGCGTGTACGGCGCGGACGGCAAGGGCGACGCCGCCCCGGTGGGGTTCGTGAACGGGTTAGTCAGCGGGATCGGGAACGCGTTTCGAAAAATTCGAATCCAACCGGAGGAGACGGAGAAGCCGGGTGGCAAGGGCACGGAGGCGCTGACCGAGAAAGCCGCGGAAGAGCTCGCGGAGGAGATCGCGGCGCAGCGAAGGGAGACCCTCACCGCGACGCTGCGTATGGCGGACGATCTGTGCGGTCTCTCCGAACGGCTCGCGAAGGCGCCCGTGGAGGGAAGGCAGCAAGGTCTTCGCGACGGGATCAGACAAGTCAGCGACGGATTAGTAGAGGGCCACACCCCGGGCGCGGGCGTGATCTTCCCCATGGGCGGCGTCGACTCCAGGGTCGTTCGCATACCCGCGGAAGAGGCGGTGCTCCTGAACTCGCGGGAGAAGGCGCCGTACCTCCTGTGCCTCGAGGTCGTCTCCCCCGACGGCGCCGAGGGCGCGAGCGACGAGGGCGGGTCCTCGCCGACTGGCAGCATGGAGAGCATGGTGATCCACGACGACGAGAGCGGGCCGTCCTGGGGCGCGTCCCCGACCTCGGCCGCCTCGCGAGCCGAGGAGAGCCGCGCGGAGGCGGAGAAAATCCTCGCCGCCGCGATGGGCGCGTCCACGCCGCCGTTGCACCCGTTCGACCGGGCCTCGACGCCGCCGCTCGGGACCGCGCGGTCGTCGCGAACGTCGTCCGTCGCGAACATGATGGACTCCGGCTTCGACTCCACGCCGCCGCGCTCGATCACGCACTCGCGACGTGGCAGCGGCGGCGCGGAGGGCGCGCCGGCGGCGAGGAGCATGAAGCCGCCGCTGGATCCGTCGCTGTCTTCGCCGACCGCGGCAGGAGGGCTCGCGGCGAACAAGGAGAAGTCGTCCGACGGCGAGCATCACATCTTCCTCGGCGGCGCCGCGAGCGTCGTCTCCGCGCACCACAGGACGGAGTCGTTCGTGAACATCTCGCAGAAGGTGGACCAAGCGCTCGCGGGGGTGTGGGACGGGCCGGACGAGCCTACGGTGCGCGTGTCGCTCGCGGTGATGGACGCGAGAGGCGGCGGAGGCCGGTCGTCGCGGTCGAGCAGCCAAGGCGGCGAGAGCGACGACGGCGGCAAAAGCGGCGAACACGTCCGCGTCACTGTGTTCGTGGAGAACCCGCTGGGGAGGAAACCGCCGGGGGTGAAGTCACCGCCGCATCAACGGACGCCCTCCGACGTCGGCCTGATGGAGATGGCGGACTTTGTGCACAAGCAGTCGTGGGCGCCGCCTGCGGACGCGAGGGACGTCACCGCGCTGCCGTCGCCGACGGGGGCGGATGGGGAGACGACGCCGACGAAGGGGGGCACGCCGAGGGACAGCGTGAACGGCGGCGTGCCGTCGCCGTGGAAGCGAAGCGCGGGTGGTTTGGGCGAAAACTGGGTGGACAAAGTCGAGCGCGTGCGGACGAACTCGCCGTACGGGAACTTCCCCGGGTGGTCCTTAAAGCCGGTGATCATCAAAGCCGGGGATAACTGCCGCCAGGAGCTCCTCGCGATTCAGCTCGCGCGCGTGTTTCAGCGGATATACTCCGACGCCGGGCTGCCGCTGTGGTTGAGGCCGTTCGAGGTCATCGCGACGAGCACGACGTCCGCGTTCATCGAGGCTGTCACGGACGCGCCGTCGATCCACGCGATCAAATCCCGCGCGCCGCGGGGGACGAGCTTGAGGCAGCACTTCGAGGCGAAGTTTGGCGGCGGCGGCACCGCGGGGTTCCGCGTCGCGCAGAGAAACTTCGTGGAGTCGCTCGCGGGGTACTCCATCCTGACGTACGTGTTGCAGGTCAAGGACCGGCACAACGGGAACATATTACTCTCGGACGACGGGCACTTGATACACATCGACTTTAACTTCATGCTGAGCACGTCCCCGGGCGGGATCAACTTCGAGTCGAGCCCGTTCAAGCTCACCAGGGAGTACTTGGAGGTGATGGACAGCGACGACGCCGGCATCGCGTCGGAGGCGTTTAACTACTACAAGGTCCTGTGCATCCAAGGCTACCTCGCGCTCAGAAGGCACGCGGAGCGCATATTGCTTCTCGTGGAGATGATGTCCGCGTCCGGGACGCCGTGCTTTAAGGCTGGGCCGAAGGTTCTGAACAACCTCCGGAAGCGGTTTAACCTCGGGAAGACGGAGGAGCAGTGCGTGGAGATCATGTTGTCGATGATCTCGGACAGCATAGACGCGTGGTGCACGCGGCAGTACGACTTTTACCAGAGGGTGTTGAACGGGATATTGTGACGATTGATCGTAGTAAAACTCTGTTGAAACGAAAACGTGAATTGCGAATACGCACCGTCCGCGCGAGTGCCCAGCTCGTCCTCTCGGCGAGAACTTTTGACGTGATGACTTTCCGAAAATTTTCACGTGAACGTTGGAAGCTCCAATCCGTTCGGCACAGCGCAGGCACCGCCGCCTCGCACGGCCGCGAAGCGTCGGAGGTAAGCGCGCGCATCGTAAAAGGCGCATCGCGACGCGAACGAGATGGTCGCCGCGAACTTGCCGTACCTCATCGCCGCCCCCGTCGGCGTCGGCGCGATCGTCCTGCAGCGGACGTTCAGGAGGAAAAAGGGGAAGGGCGACGACGAGAAGGGGCGGCGGGACGGGGACGGGGACGTGACCGCGTTCGCGTGCGAGCGCGTGTGCACGTCGGACCGGCTCATTAAGCGCTTGGGGTACCTCGCGAAGGCGCGTTCACGATCCGCGCGCGCTCGACGCGACGGCGCCACGCCCCGCGCGTCGCGTCGCGGATGATTTTTGATATTTTCGCGGATCTGATCTTTAGGGTTGGCACCGAAGCGAAGCGCCGCGCTCGATGACCCATGTCGCGTCCCGCGAATCTCGTCCATCGTCTCACCGTCCACTCCCCCACCCCGTACCGCGCACGTCCTCGCCGCGCGCAGGATCCCACCCCGAACACGTGCGTCACCGTGTGTGGCAGCTCTGGGATCGACGCGTGCACGGAGGCGTGCCAACGCAGCGTCTGCAGCGCCCCGCACTCGGTGCCGTCGTGGAACGATCAGTGCAACAAGCGGTGCACGCAGGAGTGTCTGCGCGGGCGGACGTGACGCGCGGGGCGGGGTGATTATAGTAGGAAACGCTCGCTTAGGAACGAGGTCTTTTGACGATAAACCTTACAACTCACGCGCGGCGCGCCTCGTCGCCGGCTAACAACGGATCGTTACGAAAGAGATCGAGACTACAGGTCCTCGAGGTACTGGCTCGGGACCTCGTCGTCCGGCAAGAAATCGCTCTCCTTCGCGCGATGCATCAGCAGCATGTCGTCCTCCAGCGGGTGCGTGTCCCCGACGAGCACCATCGAGTGCAGCGGCCCGCCGACGTCGACGTTGCACATCTCCTTCAGCGTGCACGATTTGATGACCTCGTCGTCTTGCCCCATGCGCGCGACCGCGACGCACATGCTGTCCGGCCCGTACACGCCCTCGCCCCTAAGTTCCTCCACCTCCATGAGCTGCCGCGCGCACGTCGCGCAGGACATGAACCGCGGCGGCTCGTACTCGTTCTTCCCGCGGCACAGCGCCTCGACGCTCGGCTCTTTCACTCGGATGTCCAACAACAGCAACGTGTGCAGCCCGAGCGCGGCGTTCTCTTTTATCCTGTCGTAGAACGAGTCCGGGCGCCACGTCTGCGTGAAGAACACGATGCTGACCGCCTGACCGAACCGGTACAGCTGCAGCCCGCACCCGGCGACCGCGTTCATGATGGACGCGTTGTAGATGTGTTTCACCTTGCATCCTAACCCTCTCGCTCGCAACACCAAGTCCGAGTGCGTCGTCGCCGCGAACGCGTCGCCGACGACGAGGAACGCGACGTCCATCTCGAGCGCCTCGTTGAGCATGCCGTCGATCCCTTGCTCGACGAACTGCCTGTCCGCGACGGTGACCTCTCTTCCGTACAGCGCCTCCAGTCGGTCTTTCGGCACCCCCAAGATGGACGTGTACGCCTCGAGGTACACCTTGTCGCACCTCTTCACCGCCTCGAGGCCGTTCACGGTGATGTCCTTCTCGTCGCCGAGGCCGAGGCCGACGACGTACAGCATGACGACGGAAGCGCGGGCGCGGACGCGGCCCCTGCGCTCGTCGGAACGAAATAGAGCGCAGCCGCCACCCGACGCGCTTTTTGAGCTCTCTTTTTTATCACTCGCCAGCTTGCTGTTTCCAGTACTACGACGCGCGCGCGACCGCCGCGGCTCGTCGATCGCGACGCGCGCGCGCGAGCGCGCGCGCGAGCGCTCGCGCGAGCGCGGCATGACGCTCGCGACCGCGCGGTGGTGCGCGGAGGGCGAGCTCTCCCGGCGCGTCCGCGCGTCGGACGCCGGCGACGTCGAGTCGACCTGGGTCGCCGTGGACGGACCGAGCACGCTGTGGCTGACCTCGACGAACTTCGGGGGCGCGTCCGAGGTGGAGCTCGTCGTCATCGCGCGCGGGAAGGCGAACCCGGGGCAGAAGCTCGAGGGGATCCGGCTCGAGTGCGCGCCGTCGTCGCCCGTCGCGCCGCGCGCGTCGTCGCGTCGCGTCTCTCTCCTCCTCGCGCGAGTGCCGCCCGCCGACGCTCACGACCTCGTCGCGTTTAAAAAACTCCTCTCACGCAGGCGCGGCCGAGACGAAGCGCACGTCGCGCGCGACCCCGACGCGCGCACGCTCGTCGCGTTCGGTCCCACGACGACGCGCGCGCGCCGGCGAAAACCGACGGAGTCGCAGGCGCCGTGCGACGGCGACGGCGACGACGCGGACGGCGACGGCGGCGAGAGCGCCGAGGACGGCGCGAGGGTCTTCGCGTTCGCGTTCTTCGACGAGGAAGACGCGGCGCGTTGCTTCTCGCGTCTCGACGCGCACCTCGGCATCGGCGCCGCGGTGGTCGACGCCGACCGAGTCCCGCTCGTCCAGATGCTCGGCGAAGCGGCGACGACACAGACGCGAGAGGAGCCCGTCGGCGCGGCCCCGACCGCGGCGGCGGACGCGGCCGAGTCCGGGGCCGAGCGCGCGTCCGTCGAAGAAGTCGTCGAAGACGTCGAAGACGACGTCGACGCCGCGGTCCCCGACGTCGACGACGCGTTCGTCGTCGTGAAGCGCGAGGCCATCGAGCTCGGGGACGAGAGAGACGCAATAATCTTGGACGCCGCGGCGACGCCGTGCGACCCAATGGACGCGGACGAGACCCGAGCGGAAGCGCGCGGAGGAGACGCGCCGCGCGAGGACATCGAGGACCCGCGAGAACGCGCCCCGCCGCCGCCGCCGCGCGCGAACCCGCGCCCGCCGCCGCCGCCGCCGCCGATGGACGCGACCGCGTGGTGGTGGCCGCCGATGGACGAATTCGAGCGCGCGTCGGACGAGGACGTCGCCGCGATGGTCAAGACGCTGCTTCCGCTCGCGATGCGCCCCCCGCTCGCCGCCGCGGGGGAGGTGGACACGCCGGACGCGCGCGCTGCGCTTCGGTTCGCGGCGACGCCGATGACGAGCGACGGCGCGATGTCGTTCGAGAGATACGTGGACGTCGTCGACGGCGTCATCGCGCAGATGCGCGCGGACGGCGACGTTTTGTTCGACGGCGACGCGTGGGACGTGTTCGACGACGACGAGCTCGAGCTCGAGCTCGAGGAGGAGAAAGGCGACGGCGCGTACTTTTGACGAGCGGACGATCCGATCCGACGCGTTTTCCGTTATTACGACCGCCACGTTGACGAACGCGCTTTACGACGTCGCGCGCGCCGTTTAAGACGACTACAGTACTTGTACACGCTGCGCTACAACGACATCATGAGCGCGCGGAATTTATCCTGCACCTCCGACGTCCAGCTCTCTGGGAAGTTTTTCTTCTTCAGCAACCCAACCTGCGCGAGCCCGGCTTTATCATCGTCCAACAACCCCTCGCGTTCGATCCTGTCCAACGCGCTCAGGCTCTGCTCCACGCTCCGCGCCTCCCGCAGCTCGTTCAGCGGCGTCACGAACCCGTCCGGACCTTTGTCGCCCTCCAACCCGTTCTTCGCCGCGTGCCCTTCCTCGTTCACGATCATCGGGTCCGCGCCCGCGTTGACCAAAAATTCCGCGCACTCGTCGTAGTCGTACCCGAGCGCCATGTGCAACGCGGTGTTGTTCTTCGCGTTCGTCGCGTCGATCTCCGCGTGCTTCGCGATTAGCAGCTTGCAGACGTGCGTAAACCCGTTCTGCGCCGCGATGTGCAGCGGTCGGTTGCCGTTTTTCGCGTCCTCGCAGTTCGCCTGGTCCGCGGTGGTGATCAACGCGGCGAGCTCGCCGAGGGGTTTGTTCCAGCGGATCGCGCTGTGAATCGCGCGCGTCTCCGCCTCGGTCAGCGCGCGCGGGTTCACGTTCACGCTCGGCGCCGCCGGTTTCGGTTTCGGTTTCGGTTTCGGTTTCGCCGCCTCCGCCTCCGCCGCCGCCGCCGCCGCCGCCTCGTCCGCCATTCTCGCGGCCTCCTCCGTGTGACGCTCCTTCTCCCGGCGCGGGTTCGACGCGTCGTCGTCGTCGTCTCGTCCCCGTCGCGTCTGCGGCTGCGACTGCTGCGCCTGTTGGTGCTGCTGGACGTGTTGCCGCTGCGACGCGTGCTGCTGCGGCGGCGGAACCTGTTGCGGCGGCGGCGGCGCGGGCGTCGCGAACGCGGGCGTCCCCGCGGACTGCGTCCCGATCCCCAGCCCGACGGCCGCGGCGTTCGCGTCGGCGACGAGCTGCTTTCCCTCGAGCGCTCTCAGCACGATGGCCTCGATCTCCGGCACGAGCGCGGGGAGGAGCATCCGCGCCTCCATCGCGGTCGGCATCGGGGAGTGCGCGTATCCGCCGCCGGCGCCGCCGCCCGCGCGCATCGCGTTGGACGCGGACGAGATGTCCGCGGACGCTCTTCGGACGTCGTCCACGAGGTCGCGAATGTGCGGATGCAGCGACGTCGCGATCGCGTCTCGCATCGCGGGGCCGAGCGCGCCGCACAGGCCCTCGACCGCCTTCGCGAGCTTGCCGACCTGCTTGGACATGTCTCCGATCGCCTTCTCGACGTGCATCGACCGCTTGTCTTGCGTCGTCATGAACGCGTCGAGGCGGTTCTCGAGCTGCGGGAGAGGGAGGTAGGAGGGGGGCGCGTTGGACGACGTCAAATTATGCTCGACGACGAATCCGAAGCGCGCGCGGGGGCTGGGGAACGGCCGCGAGCGAGCGCGGGAGGCGGCGCCGGAGCGGCGCGGGACACACCGAGAAGCTCATGGTCGCCATGTCGACCGCGGTCGCGAGCGCGTCGCGAGCGTGCGCGTCGAAGACTGCGCGCCGAGCGACGAAGACGGCATTCCCGGGAAACGGTCCAAATTGTGGGCTCGAACGAAAGAGGACTCAGGTTCGTAAAAATATTTCACCCACCGCTCGGTTTCAACATTTGATCGCTTCCCCTTTCAACTGACCGGTGAACTATTTTTGTATGGAATGGCCCTCAGCTCGAGATAGGCTGCGGGAGGACAGACCCCGAGAGCGCGCGGAGCATGGCGACCGCCGCGACCCTCCGGGGTCCGACGTGGACCCCGACGTCGTCCTCGCGACGAGAGACGACGCGCAGACGTGGGATCGACGCCGCGCGTCCTCGTCGCCGCGAACGACGCGCCGCGGACGCGCCTCGCGCCTCGCGCGACGGCGACGACGCGCGCGAGATTTCATCTTCCAGGGACGACGGCGTCCCGGAGTCGCCTACGCGCGACGTCGGACGACGAGACGCGCTGTCCGGCGCGTCCGCGACGTTCCTCGGCGCCGCGGCGGGGAGCTTCGCGCGACGCGCCGTCTCCGCCGAGACGTCGACCTCGTCGAGCTCCGGCGCGGCGCCGTCGTTCGTCCCGATGACACCTCGGTCCCCGAGCGCGGTTCCGAACTACGCCCTGCGCGGTCCCTTCTTCGTGCGACGACTCCCGAGGCTCGAGCACACGTGCGTGACGTGCTTCCCGAAGTGCGTCGGCGACGCGTGCTTGCTCGGCATCGACGTCCACGTCCCGAGCGCGCCGCCGCCTCTGCCGGACGCGATGTTCCCGCTCGACGGAGTCTCTCTCGGCGGCGGCGACGACGACGACGACGACGACGACGACGACGACGGCGTCTCCGCCGCCGCCGCCGGGCGGATGCGAGGCGCGCCGTACCCGCTCGCGATCCTCACGTCCGGGTTCTTAGTCGACGCGGAGCAGTACGCGTCGTACGCGCGGCGGCTGTGCTCCTGGGGGTACGTCGTGCTGAGTTACAACAAGAGGGAGAACGTCGCCGGCAACGCGTTGGACGACGTCGTGAGCGCCGCGATGGTCAGGGACCTGATCCAGTGGGCCAAGTCCGACGTCCTCCTCGCGCCGCTGTTGGGGAGCGCGGAGGGTGATAACATTGGCGTGTACCTCGTCGGGCACTCCAGAGGTGGGAAGATATCCGTGCTCGAGGCGATCGACGACGACCGGGTGAAGGCGGTGACGCTGTTGGATCCGGTGGATAACACGGTGTACGCGCCGCTGGGCGAGGGGTTTCCTTCCGCGGTGCGCGCGATGCGAGGGAAGGAAACCGGCGAGGGCGGGGGTATGTTGTCGAGGACGCGAACGCCGCCGCTGTGCGTGATCGGGGGACTGTACGGCGGCGAGTGCGCGCCGCGGGGGAGCAACTACGTGGACTTTTTGAGGGAAGCGCCGAGGAACAGCTGGGGCGTGGAGGTCCGAGGCGGGCACTTTCAGTTCCTGGACTCGCCGTCGTTCGTGCAGCGCGCGGTGTGCGAGGAAGGCACCGCCGGGGACGCGCAGGTGAGGGAGGTGAGCCAGGCGCTCATGGTGGCGCACGGGGAGAGCATCTTTCGCGGCGTGAATCGCGAGCGCGCGTTTAAGAGGACGCTCGAAGCGCTCGAAGCGGCGTGGGGCGGAGGCGCGTTCAGCGAAGCGTTAGGGCAGGGGCGGGAGCTCCCGTGGGTCGTCCTTCAGGACGGGACGGGGTAGGAGACTGTAGGAGAAGACTAAGCGTAGGTATCGTATTAAGAAACGACGCGCGCGTGTCGTCACACGACGACGTCCGGGACGAGCGAGTCGTCCAGCAGCGCGCCGCTCGCGCGGTAGACTTTATCGAGGAACGTTCCGAGGTACTCCTCGAACGTCTCCTCCTCCACCACCGGCTCCGGCTCTTTCTCCTCCTCGTCGCCGTCGTCCCCGCTCGCGTCGTCGTCGCTGTCATCGTCTTTCTTCTCCTCCTCGTCTTCCGCGGGCTCCGGCGCCGGCGGCGGTTTCATCGCTTCCCGACGCTTTTTGAAAATCATAAACGCGGCGCGGAGTAAAAACGTCTCAAACTCGTCGTCGTCGAACCGAAACGGCGCGCTCTGCGTCTCGAACGACGAGAGCAACCCGACGTCTTGCTTCACGTCGATGCATATTCGCGTGTACTCCAACATCGTGATGTGCTCCGGTATCGGCGGCGTTTCCCCGTCCTCCCCCCTCGGCGACGACGCGGCGTCCGAGTCTATGACTTTCCACCGCCGCAACGCGCGTTCGAGGTCGTTCACGCTCAGACGCGGGTCCATCCCCGGCGTCCTCGCGAGCTGGCAGCACCACAGCGTCTTCTCCGTGAGTCGTCTCCCCTTCGCGAGGAGCGCCGTCGCTTCGTCGGTGACGCACCCTTTGAGATCGGCGTGCGTGACGTTAAACGGCGACCCGCAGTTTTTAAGCAAGTTGGCGCTCACGAAGTGGTTCAGACGAAGCGACAGCTCCGCGAAGCCGTTCTCCTTACCGACGCCGTACTTCTTCGCGGCGACGCGCAACAGCGCGACGAAGAACGCCTTGATCCCGATGCTCGACTCGCTCGCCGCGCCCTTCGCGTGGTTCCTCAAGTTCTGCGCGAGCGTCGCCTCGAAGCACTCGTCCACGGCTTCCGCCTTGAACGCGCCCTTCTTGTCCTTCTCTTTCCCGTCCGACACCACCTTGGAGTCCCTGCACAGGTCGCGGAACTGCGCGAGCGTCATCTTATCCGTGGTCGTCTTATCGTCCCCGCCCCACGACTCGTAAATCTTAAACAGCGCCTGCAGCGCGCCGCCGTACTCGTTGAGTTTCTCCAACGCCGCCGCGAGGTCCGCGTCCGCGTCCTCCACGGATTCCGCCACGAGCTCGTCGATCCCGAACGTCCTCAGATCGAGGTCTCTCGCGAGCCAGTCCCTGTCGCGAGCTCTCATCTCGTCCAAGGTCTCGTCCGGACCCCACTCGAACGGCGGCGTGGACGGCCGTCCCTCCCACCGCGACGTGAACGCCTCCGGGCCGACGCCGAAGTTCACCGTCAGCGTGTCGCCGTCGTTGAAAACCTCCCTGACGACCGCGTTCGCGTCGCACAGCGCGCCCTGCTGGGTGAGGACGCCCTTGGGGACGAACGACGTCGCGATGCCGCCTGGATTGAGGAGGGAGGGGTTGGGTGGGGAGGTCAGCGGGGAGCGCGAAGGAGGCGAGGACGGACGGACGGACAGATGGAGGAATCTACTCGCGGGGGAATGAATGAATGAAATGAGCGCATCGCTTCGTCCGCCGCGCGAGGGACGCACCGGAGAGGTACGCGAGCCGGTTCACCGCGGCGTACGCGAGCCATCGCAGGACTTGCTCGCCCATCCCACACTCGATGACGACGTTCGCGACGTCGGATATGTCCGCCTTGAGCTGCGAGGGACGAACGAACGGTGCGGGCGTGGTGAGGGGGGGAGCGACGCGTCCGTCGACGAGGAGGGTGGGCACACGGCCGATCGGGGGGGTGGGGGAGGGGCGCGGGACGAAGCGCGGGACGCGCGGACGCGAGCGACGCGAGGGCGCGCACCGTCTTCGCGGGGACGAGGTTCACTTTGAGCTTCATGGCTCCCCGACCGGAACCTCCGGACCCGACGCCGCGGACCGCGCGCGCGTCTCGGTTTGTGAACGCGACGTTGCCTAATCGAGGCCGTTCGCGTTCTGTTTCGTTCGTGCCAGCTCAGCTGAGAGTTTTTCGTCCCCCGTCGACGGCGCGCGCGCGCGTCGTGTCTGCGTTACTACGACACTCTACTCTATCCCGCGGCGCGCCGGCCGTCGCTTCTGACCACCCTCCGCCCCGTCGTCGGCCTCGCCCTCGACTCGTGCTCGCGCTTCCACGCGAACTTCGCACCCCACACCGTCTCCCGGCACAGCCGCCGCCACCCGACGCTTCGAAACGCACGCCATATCCGTCCCGCCGCTTCCGCGGCGCCGCTCGACCCGTCCCCTCGCGCGGACCTCTGCCGCGCGTCCGCTCGCATCTTCTTCTCCAGCGTGAGCATCTCCTTCGTGGTGACGTCTGCGAGACACAGCCACACGTGCGACAGCGCGAAGATCGCGCCTAAGGACATCGCGGAGCACGCGAACGCGCACGCGATCAAGAAAAACGTAGCCGCGTTCCACGACGCCGCCCTCGCCGGCCACCCGGTCCGACGCAGCGCGTCCACGCAGGCGCACGTCAGCGACAGCACGAGCGCGGAGGTGACGCACAGGAACGACACGAACCACCGGTGGTTGTCGTTCCCGACGCAGTTCGACACCGCGCCGCAGTGATGGTCGAACCGTCGGACGCACCAGCCGCAGTCGGAGCAGTGCCCCGCGCGAGGCGGACGCCATATCCGACACGTGCGGCAGTACCGCTCGCACTTACTCCAGTCCCACCGGTCCGTCTCCTCGTCGCGCAGCAGCATCCCCGCGCGCTCGAGCTCGAGCTCGTCGTCGTCGCCGTCGCCGCCGCGCGTAGTACTCGGGCGGTAGTACTGCCCGGCGTGGTCGACCCTCGCGACGGCGTCGTCCTCCTCTTGCTCGCGCACTTCCCTCCCCGCGCCCTCGCCCGCTTCCCTCGCCGCCGTTCGCGCCGCCTTCCGCGCGTCCAGACGCGCGATGATCGGGTCGTCCGTCGTCCCCGGGGGGATCACCCCCGGGTCGGATTGGCTCGTGACGTAGACGAGGACCAGGTCGACGACGAGGAGGGTGACTATCGCGAATCGCGTCGACGCGCTCGCGCGCTGAAGGGGGCCCGCGAACGCGACGAGGACGCAGAACACGAGCCACGCGGAGCCGCCGACGGGGCCGCCGTCTGCGAGAGCGAGGAGGAGGGAGGTGAGCGTCGCGCGCGGAGAGGGGCGACGGCGACGATCGAAGAGGCTTCGAAGGCGGGCGACGCGACGCGTCCGACGAGAAACCGACTACAGGATGAACGCGCGAGCCGAGCCGCGACGCACGGTCTTCGCAGAAGCGCTGGAACGCCATGTCCCACCCGTCCCCGCCATCGTCGCGATCGCGCCGCCGATGGTCCGCCTCGGTCGCGAGTATCGGACGCGAGTAGGCCTCCGCGTGCGACATCGCCGCGCGGCGGAGGAGTCGTCTGGCAGATCTGGAAGAGGACGACGCGTTCAGTTCAGTTGATAAAAAATCTTGAGTCGGTAGTGTACATCGAGACGTCCGCTACGGCCTATTACACCTGCAGCGCCTCCGCGATCGGCCGCGCCAACGACAGAATCTCGAACGGCGCGACGCCGCTCACGTTCTCCGCGGTCCCCGGACACGAGTCCGTGAGCCAAAACTTATAAAACCCTTGCCCGCCCGCGCCCGAGGACGCGGTGAATCGCTTCCACGATGCGTTCGGAAACACGCCGTGCGTCACGTACGCGCTAACTTTCATCGCGCCCAGTCTGGATAATAACTTCTGGCACTCGATGAGAGTTCCTCCGCTCTGGACGAGGTCGTCCACGATGATCACGTGCCTCCCCGCGGGCTCGCCCTCTTTCAGCTTCACGAGCCTCTTCTCCCCGTCTCGGACTTTGGTGCAGACCACCTCCTCGTAGCTCTTGAAGAAGACGCCGAACCGCTTCCTCGCGCCCTCGTCCGGGTACGCGATGACGATGTTGTCCGCGTCGTCTAACTCCGCGATGCGGTTCAACAGCAGCGGGATGCCGCTCTCGAAGTACGGCAGGATGTTATCGCCAAAGTAGAACCGCTCCTGGAGCGCGTGAATGTCGAAGATCAACGTCGAGCACGGCCCGCCTCTCGACAGCGGAATCTTACTCAGGATCCTCGCCAGCGTCACCGCGGTGGCGATCTCGCCCTCTCTCTCCACGCGCTCGCTCGTCCCGGTCGGAAAGAACGGCAAGATGAGCGTGAACGACGCGACGAACATCTTCGGCAGGGAGTATATCACGGATATCTGCTCGAAGATGACCTCCGGGGAGTGAAACGACGCGAGAAACGCGACGTGCCTGTCCCTCACCCCGTGCGCGTCGTTGACGAAGAGGTTCGGGAACCCATCCGGGAACGTCCGCCAGTCGATGCTCCCGAGCTCGACCGCGGTGCCGCCCTCGATGTCTTCCTCCACGATCTTCTCCGCGAGCGCCTTCATCTCTGGCGCGTAGAAGAGCACCGGGAATCGCCCGTTCTTCTCCAGTCGCGTCAGACGCGGGAGCGCCTTGGTCGTGACGTCCCGCCGCGCGATGTCCGCGCTCAGGAGCGGGTTCGGACTCGAGGCGCGCGCCCTCCTGGACGGCGAGTTCACGCTCGCGCGCAGGGACGCGACGCCGCGCGAGTTCGACGACGACGACGACGACGACGACGACGAGGGCGCGTCGACGACGGCGATCGCGGCGTCTTCCGGCGCGTCGACGACGGGCGCCTCCGCGGCGACCGCGGCCAGCGCGGCGGCGACGACCGCGCTCTTCGGCTTGAGCGCCTTCGCTTTAGATGTCGCGTCCGCCGGCGTCGCCTTCTGCTTGCCCTCCTCCGGGGACGCGACGCCTCCGACCGCGCGCGGCGTCGCGGGGAGACGACGCGCGCCGAGACCTCTTCCCCGACGCGGAGGAGGAGGAATCGTGGTCCTCGCCCCCGACGCGCCGCGGTCGCCGCGGCTGACGCGCGAGGAAACGAGCGCCGCGACGGCGCTCCTCGAGAGCATCGCGGTCGTCATGATATCGACGCCCACGCCGAGGTGGCGGTCGCCGGCAGCGGGTGCCGCGCGGACGACTGAGGCGAGCGCGACGCGTGCATTACACGACACCGCCAGAACCCTAGGTCGGCGAGTCACGATGAGCGTATTTGCTGACAGGAACGCTGCGTGCGTTATCAAATTTCACGGGTAGACGTCCGGGTACCGCTTCGCGTCGGAGGCCTCGCCCCCGCCGCCCCCACCGCCCCCGCCCGCGGGCGACTCCAACAAGTCGCGGACCGTGGACAGCCGTCCGCGCAGCGAGTCGAGAAACTCCGCGGTGAGCAGCGATCCCCGACCCCCGGGCGTCGCCGCCGCGCTCCCCGGTCGCGTCGCGCCCGCCGACGCCGCGCCGCCGCCCCCCGGCGATGACGAAGGTCGGAACTTCGCGTACGACGGCGGCGGCGGCATCGGCGGCGGGCGGGAGAAGGAAAAATCCCCGTCCATCGAAATACCGCTCGTCGTCTCGCGAATATTCGCGTCGCTCGGGCGCGCGTTCTCCTTCGCCGGAGAAGAAGACGAAAAGCAGTCGTCGTCGTCCCGCGATGAAAACGCCGCACGCGCCGCGGCCACCGTCTCGCTCGACGCCTTCACCGTCTCCAACCGCAACACCGCAAGCTCCTTCTCCTGCGCGACGCACTTCGCCCTCCACTCGCTCGTCTCCGCCTGCGCGCGCGCCGCCGCGCGCGCGCCCTCCCGCGCGGCGCTCTCTAACCGCGCCTCCGCCGTCGCGGCGCGCATCCGGAGATCCTCCGCCGACGCCGCGCTCTCCAACGCTAACGCGATCTCTGCGTTCACGCTCGAGAGCCTCGACTCCGCTTCCGCCTGGGCTTTACGCGCGGCGCCCTCGCGCGCGGCGATCGCGCGCGCGGACGCGAACGCGTCTTCGAGCGCGTCCGTCGCCGCGGCGGCGGCGCCTCTCGCCTCCGCCGCGTCCGCGGCGGCGTCCGCGAGTCGACGACCTAAATCGGCGCGCGCCTCCGCGGCGGCTTCGAGTTGCTTCTCCAACGACGCGCAGCGCGTCTCCGCGGCGGCGGCGCGCTCCGCTTCCGCGGCGGCGACCGCGGCGATGTCTCTCGCGCCCACGCCGGATTGGTCCTCGTGGATCCTCGCGAGCTCTTCGTGACGCGCTTTCGCGTCCGCCTCCGCGGCGTCCGCGCGCGCGAGCGCTTTCTCCGCCGCCGACTCCACCTGCGTCAGCAGGCTCTCCGCGGACTCCGCTTTCGCGTTCGCGTCGTTCGCGGCCGCTTCCGCTTTCTCCGCGCGTAACGTCATCGCCGCGAGCAACCCGCGCGCGTTCGAGAGTTCGGTCTCCGCGTTCGCCGCGGCGCGACGCGCGTCCTCCGCGGCTTGGAATGAAGCCGCCGGGGGAGGTTCCGCAGCCGCCGCCGCCGCTCTTGGCGACGACGGAGGCGAGCGCGCCGCGAGCGCGGTCTCGGCTTCGTCCGCGCGCTTCTCCGCGGCTTCTTTCGACGCCGTGATCTCGCTGAGCTCGCGCTCCAACGCGCGGACTTCGTTCGTCAACTTCGAGACGTCCTTCCCAGCCTTCTCCGCGGCTTCCTCCGCGGACGCGAGTCTCTCCCGCGTGCCTTCGAGCTCGGCTTCGAGGGCGTTCCTCTGGGCTCGTTCGTCTTCGAGCGCTTCCCGTACCTCGTCGAGCGCATCGGTCGCGTCCGCGTCGACGTCCGCGGTCGCGCTCGACGCCACGGTCGCGGCGGAGGCGGCGGCGGCGGCGGCGGCGGCGGCGGAGGTGAGACTGCTTCCCATACGACCCCGTTCGCGTGGTGCACGCCGTTCCTTAAGGACTTTCCCCGTCGCCTCCTTCTCCGACTCCGCCGCCGCGCGCGCGCTCGCCTCAGCCTCTTCTCTCGCGTCCTCCGCGTCTCGTTCCGCCTTCTCCGCGCGCGCCGTCGCCGCTTTCGCTTCACTCCGCGCCGCGTGCGCGTCTTTGGACGCCTCCGCGGCCTCCTCCGCGACCCGCGCAAGCTCCCTCTCGAGCGCCTCCTCCGCGCTCGCGGCGTCTCTCGCCGCCTCCGCCCTCGCCGTCCTCGCGTCTTCCCTCAGCGCCGCGCACTTCAAGCGAACGTCGGGGTGAGGTACAAAGGCGTCAGAAGCGGAGTTGAAAGGCGTCGAGGGCGGGGATTGAAAGCGGGGGGTGGGCGGAGAGATGCGCCGGGCAAAGTCCTTAAGGATCGGCGTCCACCTCGCGAACGGGGTCGTATGGGGACCAGTGTATAGAACGCACCTCCGCGTTCGCCTTGAACAGCGCCCGCTGCGCCTCCTCTCTCGTTTCGCGCTCGCGCGACAGCTCCTCCTCCGCCGCCGCGATATCGCGCTTCAGCGCGTTGATCTCCCCCGCCGCGGCCGCGGAGACCGCCGCGAGCGCGCCGGGGGACGCGGGCATCCGCGCCGCCGCCGGAATCGGCGGCGAGACCGCCGCCGCCGCGCCCGGCGGCGGCGGCGGCGGCGGCGCGTCGTCGTCGTCGTCGTCGTCGTCGTCCCGCGCCGGCTCCTGCTCTCCCCAGGCGGACGACCGCCTCGGCGACGACGAGCCGACGCCGCCTCCCGCGACCTCGTCGCTGACCTCGTCCGCGTCCATCGGCTTCGGCGCGTCGTCGTCCGACGTCCTTCCGACGTCGTCGACGACTTCGTCCCTCCCGACGTCGTCGTCCTCCTCCGTCGACGTCTCGCTCGCGGCGGCGAACGCGGGTCGCGGCGACCGCGGCGGCGACGCCGGCGCCGCCCTCGGCGGCGGGCTGCTCACGTCCATCGGCGCGCGGCCTTCCTCCACCGCTCTCGTGTCCTCGATGATCTGCGCGACTTTGCGCTCGAGCGCGTCCACTATCGCGACGATCTCGTCCGCGTCGCCGTGCACGACGAGCGCGACCACCTTGTCGCCGTTCTGCACGGAGAGCTTGAACACCCCGGGCGAGGGGATGCCCCATTGCTGTATGCGCTGCAGCGGGAACGCGCCGAGGACTTTGCCGTCCGTCTTGACGAGGCGAAGGCCGCCCTTACCGACGAAGACGTCGAGCTCGGCTTTGATTCCGCCTGGTGGGAACGATACGAACGGCGACGCGTGAGAGGGCGAGGAGAGCGCGATGAGTTGCGCGATGAGGTGTATGCCCCTGGGCGTTCGCGCGGGCGGGGCGGGGCGGGTTCGAGACGCGGACGCGGCGCGCACCTTTGCTGTCCTTCAGGTGGCCGCTGAACTGCTCGACGTCGGACATGACGCCGTCCGCGTGCGCGAGCGGGGTGGGGCGCGTCGACGAACTGATTCGCATTCAAAATAATCTCGTCTCGCGGGCGAGACGCGACTGCGCGACGAGACGAGCAGAACGACGAGCGCGTCGTGGTCGTCCTCCGCCGACAGACGCGTCGGCGCGCGCGCGCCGCCGTCCGTCCGCGCGCGGACGCGATGGCAGAGGCGTCGCCGCGCGCGGAGGAGATGGGCAACGATGAACACTACGTCCTGACCCCGACGGACGCGGAGGACCTCCTGGCGCGTCGACCCATCGCGCGCGCGTCCCACCCCCGCCCGCGCGCGAGATCTCGCTCCGATCGCGTTCGTTCGACGTCGTCGAGACGAGCTTCGCGACACGACCGCGCGCCGACCGCGACCGTCGACCCCACCTCCAACCTCGCTCGCAGAGACGAATAGCGTCCGGCGAGGACGTCTCGCCCGCGTCCATGGACGCCGCGTTCGACCCCCCGCCCGCGCTCGAGATGGAGATGGAACCGCGCGAGCTCGTCCGCGGCGAAAGCGCGAAGGCGACGCGATGCTTCACGACCGTGCTTCTGCGAGCGATGCGCGCGTCCCGGGAGCCGTCGCTGACGCGCGAGGAGTCGATCGCGTGGGCGTCGTACGTCGTCGTGAAGATCGCGGCGAGGATGATACGCTGCCATCCGACCCCGAGCGCGTTCGACGAGCTCTTGCGCGCGATGGCGGCGACGCGGGTCGTCGACGCCGACGCCGCCGGCGACGGCGCGAGTTGGCGCGCGACGAGACGCGCCGCGGGCTGGCTCTTGTTGCGCGAGCTGCGGCGAGACCGCGGCGCGGAGACGAGGGCGTCGAGATGGGCGATGGAGTTGGCGACGCGAATAGCGGCGGAGGGAGGTCCAGAGGAAGGAGGTGGGGGTGGGGTAGAAGGAGAACGGTACGACCGCGCGCGCGAGTACGAGAGAACGCTCTTCGGCTCGTTCGAGGTCGACGCGAGCGTCGACGCGGGCGTCCGCGCGTTTTTCTTCCTTTAGACGCTTTAGCTTAACTTAGCGGTGGTAAAACGATAACAACTTACCCTAGCGAATCGAGTCAACATCCCGACGCCTCGCGCGAGGACACGACCTTCTCGAGCGCATCCGCGAGGGCTCGTCGTACAGAATGCGTTTTTTGGCACCCCAATCTGATTTTTGGCACCCCAATTTTTTTTCGTGTCATCACCATCAGATCGAGGCGCGCTGTCGACGTCATGTCGACCTCACCGCCGCAGAAGCGAGCGAGACGAATGATAACCATCCCCCAAGACCTTGCGGCGGCCCTCGGGTTGAAGAGTGGTGGCTCGCCGACGTGCGAATTGCCCGAGGACGAGCTCGAGGGCCGGATGGCCCTCGCCGGTCTGTCGTCGCGGTCGGACGTCTTCAACTCCCCGCTTCTGGAAGGTTTCGTCGCGGACGCGCCCGACGTGTTCACCGCGGAGGTGCTCTCGCGGCTCGACGACGGCGACCTCGCGATGCTCGCGCTCGTGAACCAGAAGATGCGGAAAGTGGTGTTCACGTCGGTCGGCGAGGTGAGATTTCCACTGAGACTGAAAAACCATGTCGGGTCGATCAGCCAGCTGGCGTGGGCGAAGCGCATGGGGTGTCCGTGGGACTCGAGAACGTTCGCGAGCATCGCGAGGGGTGGGAACGTGGAGGTCGCGAGGTGGGCGAAGGAACGAGGATGCCCGTGGGACGAGAGTACTTGTTCTTCGGCTGCGGCAGCTGGCCACCTGGAGATGCCGCAGTGGTTGCGAGCGAACGACTGCCCGTGGGACGAGAGCATTTGCGCCAACGCCGCGTGTGGCGGCCACCTGGAGATGCTGCAGTGGGCGCGCGCGAACGGCGCCCCGTGGAACGTGTGGACTTGCCGCAAAGCCGCGGAGGGCGGCCACCTGGAGGTGCTGAAATGGGCGCGCACGAACGGCTGCCCGTGGAACGAGGGGACTTGCGCCGGAGCCGCGCTTGGCGGCCACCTGGAGGTGCTGCAGTGGGCGCGCGCGAACGGCTGCCCGTGGAGCGAGGGGACTTGCAACGGAGCCGCACGTGGCGGCCACCTGGAGGTGTTGCAGTGGGCGCGCGCGAACGACTGCCCGTGGGACGAGTGGACTTGCGCCAACGCCGCGCACGCTTGCGAGGTTGCCGCGGAAGGCGGCCACCTTGAGGTGCTGCAGTGGGCGCGCGCGAACGGCTGCCCGTGGAGCGAGGGGACTTGGTCCTCCTTACGAGAGCGTTGGAGTGGGCTTCTAGAATCAAGTGCATTGGAAGGGGAACAGAAAGAAAGGGTGCGGGAGTGGTTCGAAGCGAATATCGGTCCGCAGCATGAGGATAACGTCCTTTAGACAGCTTAACTTATTAGCGGTGGTAAAACGATACCTAGTCTAGCGAATCAATACCCCGACGCATTGCGCGAGGACACGACCTTCTCGAGCGCATCCGCGAGGGCTCATCGTACAGAACGCGTTTTTTGGCACCCCAATCTGATTTTTGGCACCCCAATTTTTTTTCGTGTCATCACCATCAGATCGAGGCGCGCTGTCGACGTCATGTCGACCTCACCGCCGCAGAAGCGAGCGAGACGAATGATATCCATCCCCCACGGCCTTGCGGTGGCCCTCGGGTTGAAGAGTGGTGGCTCGCCGACGTGCGAATTGCCCGAGGACGAGCTCGAGGGCCGGTTGGCCCTCGCCGGTTTGTCGTCGCGGTCGGACGTCTTCAACTCCCCGCTTCTGGAAGGTTTCGTCGCGGACGCGCCCGATGTCTTCGTCGCGCACGTGCTTTCGCGGCTCGACAGCGGCGACCTCGCGATGCTCGCGACGGTGAACCGAAAGATGCGCGACGTCGTGTTCGATGCGCCAGTCGAAGACGTGAGGGACGTCGCGGCGGTGAGGAGAGAGCTCGCGAGAGTGCCAAACTTCGTCGGATCGATCGGCAGGCTGGCGTGGGCGAAGGAGCGAGGGTGTCCGTGGGACTTGAGCACGTTCAGGTGCATCGTGAGGGGTGGGAACGTGGAGGTCGCGAGGTGGGCGAAGGAACGAGGATGCCCGTGGGGCGCAGTTACTTGTTATTCGGCTGCGGCAGTTGGCCACCAGGAGATGTTGCGGTGGTTGCGAGCGAACGTCTGCCCGTGGAACGAGGGGACTTGCGCCAACGCCGCGAGAGGCGGCCACCTGGAGGTGTTGCAGTGGGCGCGAGCGAACGACTGCCCGTGGGACGATTGGACTTGCACCGGAGCCGCGAGAGGCGGCCACCTGGAGATTGTGCAATGGGCGCGCGCGAACGGCTGCCCGTGGAGCGAGGGGACTTGCAACGGAGCCGCGTGTGGCGGCCATCTTGAGATTGTGCAATGGGCGCGAGCGAACGGTTGTCCGTGGGACGAGAGTACTTGTTGTGCGGCAGCGGGTGGCGGCCACCTTGAGGTGCTGCAGTGGTTGCGAGCAAACGGGTGTCCGTGGAACGATTGGACTTGCGCCGCAGCCGCGGAATGCGGCCACCTGGAGGTGCTGCAGTGGTTGCGAGCAAACGGGTGTCCGTGGCACATGACTACGTGCGCCGCCGCCGCGGAAGGCGGCCACCTTGAGGTGCTGCAGTGGGCGCGCGCGAACGGCGCTCCGTGGAACGAGTGGACTTGCGCCAACGCCGCGTGTCGCGGCCACCTGGAGGTGCTGCAGTGGGCGCGCGCGAACGGCGCTCCGTGGGACGAGTGGACTTGCGCCAACGCCGCGTGTCGCGGCCACCTGGAGGTGCTGCAGTGGGCGCGCGCGAACGGCGCTCCGTGGGACGAGTTGACTTGCGCCGCAGCCGCGGAATGCGGCCACCTGGAGGTGCTGCAGTGGGCGCGCGCGAACGACTGCCCGTGGGACGAGTGGACTTGCTCCGGAGCCGCGGCAGGCGGCCACCTGGAAGTGCTCCAATGGGCGCGAGCGAACGGCGCTCCGTGGGACGAGAAGACTTGCGAGGTTGCCGCGGAAGGCGGCCACCTGGAGGTGCTGCAGTGGGCGCGCGCGAGCGGCTGCCCGTGGAGCGAGGGGACTTGGTCCTCCTTACGAGAGCGTTGGAGTGGGCTTCTAGAATCAAGTGCATTGGAAGGGGAACAGAAAGAAAGGGTGCGGGAGTGGTTCGAAGCGAATGTCGGTCCGCAGCATGAGGATAACGTCCTTTAGACAGCTTAACTTATTAGCGGTGGTAAAACGATACCTAGTCTAGCGAATCAATACCCCGACGCATCGCGCGAGGACACGACCTTCTCGAGCGCGTCCATCAGCGAAGCGTTCATGCCGACGGAGAACCCGCGTCGGGAGAGCGCCGCCGCCGCCTCCGCCGTGGACGAGAACACGACGTCGTTCGACGGCCCAAACGCGGCGTCGTCCGCGTCCGCGTCCGCGCTCGCCGCCGCCGCCGCGGACAAGAGCGTCTCGTTCGTCGCGCTCTGCTCGCGATCGAACCGCGCTCGGACGGCGTCTAACCCCCGCGGGTTCATGCCGGGGAGGAGGTCCGCGGCCGGCGGCGCGAACGCCACGCGCTCGTCCACGCCCGACCTCGCCGACGCCACGGGGGCGTCGGCGGCGGGTCGTCGTCGCGGCGGGGGAGGGAACGGCGCCGCCGCGGGGTTCAATCGCGTCGCCGCGGTCGAGCCGCCGTCGCTCGCCGCCGTCGTCGTCGCCGACGCCGTCGTCGTCGCGAGCGCGTCCCACGGGTCTTCCGCGTTCTCTTCCTCAGCGGCGCGCGCGCGCGCAAGCGCCTCGGCTTCGCGCGCGGACGGCGAGTCCGTCCCCGCCGCGTCGGAATCGCGTCCGAGGATGTCGAACCCGCCGCCGCCGCCGTTCGAGGCCACTTCTTCCGCGGCGGCGGCGGCGGCGGCGGCGGCGATGACGCTGCGCTCGCGCGTGCCCTTCGTCGGCGACATCCTCTTCACCTCGGACACGCGCGCGGCGACGGCGGCGGCGGCGGCGGCGACGTCGCTCCGCCGCCGCTCCAGAGGTGGCGGCGGAGACGCCGGCGGCTCGACCCTCGCCGGCTCCGCGCGCGCGGCGTCGTCCCCGTCCGTCTTCGCCGGCGGTGGTCTCGTCCTCGCCCTCGTCGGAAGGTCGTCCAACCCGACCATCATCCCGCGCAGCCCCGCGGCGAAGCCCTCCACGTCGTCACCGTCGTTCGCCCTGACGTCCCGAAGCCGCGGCGGGTCGCCGACGCCGGTGGACAGCAACGCCGCGAGCGCGACGGCCTCGTCCGACCCCTCGGTCACCGCGTACTTGCCCCCCGCGCGCGCGTACACCCTCGCGTCGCCGTCCGCGCCCGCTTGGCCCGTCGCCGGCGGCGGGCGCGGAGGAGGCGGCGCGGGGGGGGCGTTCGCGACGTCGAGGAAGTCGTCCGCGTCCGCGAAGCGTTCGATCGAGCCGTCGTCGTCGTCGTCGTCCGACGTCAACGCGATCTCTCGGTCGTCGTCGTGCTCATCGTCGTCGTCGTCGTCGTCGTCGTCGCCTTCGTCGCCTTCGCCCCGGGGTACGCCGGTGACGTCGATCGCGCCGTTGCCGTCGTCCCACGGCTCGCCGATGAGCCCGTGGTCCATCGTCGCCGTCGCCGCCGCCCTCTCCGCCGCCCTCTCCGCCGCCGCCGCGCCGCCGTCGACGGTCGCTTCGTAGTGCTTCCGCGCGGACTCGAAAATATCGGGGTAGTCGAACTCGTCCGACGCGGACTCGGACGCGTCGTCGTCGCTCGTGACGACCTCGCGCGCCGCCGCGCGGGGTGCAGGGGGCGTCGCCGCGGGCGGCGGCAGCGGCAGCGGCGGAGGCGGCGGCGGCGCGGCCGTCGGCGTCGAGTACGGCGTCTCCGTCTCCGTCTCCGCCGCCGCCGCCGCCGCCGCGGCGCCGCCTCCCGTCGCGGCGCCCTGGCCGCCGCCGCCCGCTCTCGCCGCACGGTTCGCGGTCGCTCGCGCGAGAAACATCGCGCAGACCGCGCGAAGCTCCTCCTCGGAGAAGTCTTCACGCATCGCCCGCAACGCGCCGGCGAGCGGCCGCGCCGTTCCCGGTCGTCGTCGAAGCAAAGCGTCGAGCTCTTCGCGCGCGTCGCCGCGAGGGGAGCGCTCGCGCTCGCGCTCGCGCTCGCGCGCCGGCGCCGGCGCCGGCGCGGCGGCCGCTCGCGCGCGCGCTCTCTCGTTCTCCGCGTCCGCGAGACCGCGGATGAAGCGCTCGCTCGCTTCGTTGACCGCGTCGCTCACGACGGTCGCGATGCGCGCTTCGTCGAGGACGACGCGACCGTCGCCGCCGCCGCCGCCGCCGCCGCGTCGCGCGCGCGCCGCCGCGTCGATGTCAACCTCGTCGCCCGACTCGGACTCGGAGTCCTCCTCGTCGGAGTCGTCCCACCGCTCGTCCGCGCTGTCCCTCGGCGCGCGCGCGGCCGTCCGTCGCCGCCGCCTGGACTCGACGCTCTCCGTCCGCCGTAATACGACGCCGCCGTCCCTCCGCCGGCCCTCCGCGATACCCTCGCGTTCGCGTCGTCGTCCGAGCTCGCTGATGCGCTCCGCCGTCCTCGGAAGGAAGTCCGAGAACATCTCCCAGTCCACTCTGTCGCGAGGGAGCAACCCCGGCGGCGGCGGTATCCGCATCGTGTACTGCGGCGGTATCCTCGGCGCGGCGGCGCCTCGCCGCGGCGGCGCGCGGACCCTCGACCGCGACCGTGACGGGTCCCGCGACGGGTCCCACGACTCGCCGTCGCCGCTCTCCCAGTCGATCGCGGAGTCCGGACGCGGCGAGGTCGACGGCGCGGGCGTCCTCGAGGATCGCCGTCCTCTCGCGCCTCCGCCGTCACCGCCGCCTTCGCCGTCGCGTCGCGCCGCGCGGTCGCGGTCGCGCGCGCGGTCGCCGCCGCCGCCGCGCGCGGGTCGCGGCGGCGGCCTGCCGCGCCGTCGCGACGCGGAGGCGATCCCGTCTCCCTCCGCGGCCGCGTCCGCCGCCGGGTCGCGGCGGCGGCTCCGCGCGCCGGCCCGCGACGCGTCGCGGCGAGAATCGTCGTCGTCGTCGTCATCGCGATCGACGCCGTCGCGAACCGCCCGTTCCATCATCCGCGCGAGGTCGTTCACGGCGTCCGCGAGCCGCTCCTGTCTCGCCGCGACGTCGCGTTCCGTCCGTCGCACGCGTCGTTCGATCGTCTCCGCGACGGTCGCGAGGATCGTCCCGGTCGCCGCGTCGTCTTCTCGGTGGTCTTCTCGGCGGTCCCGGTCTCGCGCGCGCCGCCCTCCTCCGTCTCCGACCGCGCGTCGTCCTCGTCCTCTGGGCCCCGCGCGCGGCGCGGCGCGGCGTCGGGACGCGACCTCTTCGGAGTCGTCGCTCGAGCCGGCGTCTTCGAACGACGACGGCGACGACGACGACGACGCGTCGGACGCGTCGGACGCGAGCGACGGCGCCTCGGACGAGGACGTCGGCAGCGACTCGCGCTCGGGCTCGTCGCCGCGATGGCGACGACGACGAGCGCGACGTTGTTGTCGTCGCTGGCGTGGAGGAGGAGGATCAACAGTAGGATCAACCTCGCGATCGCGTCGTCCCGTCTGGGTCGCGCGGCGCGACGCCGGTGGCGGCGGCGCCGCCGTCGCGGCGTATCGCGCGTCGCGGTCGCAGTCGTCGTCCGCGCGCGCGTCGCTCCTTCGCCGTCGCGCGCCTCGGTCGTCGCTCGCCGGGCGGGGGGGGGCGGCGTCGTCCCTTCTCGTCGTTCCCGGCGGGCCGTCCGCTCCGCCTCCTCGCGCGCGTCGCGTTCGGTTCGACGCGCGATGGGACGACAACAGCGCGGACTCTTGACGCGCGTGTTCGCGCTCCATCGCGCGGAGCTCTTCCACGAGCGCGTCGAGGTCGTCTCCCGCCGCCGCGCGCTCGCCGGCGCCGCGACGACGCGACGACATCTCGCTCGCAGCGCGCGGAGGAGTGATGATTAGGGGAGCGTTCGCGTTCGACTACGACTGAGGCGATTGTTACGGACGAATGAGGCCGCGGGAGGCGACGCCGGGTCGACGACGACGGCTCCGACGAGGCCGATGTGCGTCCGCTACGTTCTGTTTTACATCACGACGCGACGACCGTCCCCGCGCTCGTCATCAGCTGATCGCGCACGACCCCACCGCCCCGTCGCTCTTCTGCGGCTTCTTCCCCTCCCTCGCGACGCGCTTCGCCTCCACCTTCCGATGCCAGCTCTTGAGCACGTCCGCGAGCTCGTCCACGAACACGATCCCGTCGTCCCCCGCCGCCTCGCGCATGACGTCGTCCAGCTCCTCGTCCGTGGGCGCGACGCCGTCGTTCAGTCTACGGATGAGCGCGCCGGTCTGCTCGCGGCCGAGGCCGCCGGACTCGTCGACGTCGAACTCGCTGAAGAGGCGCTCGAGGAAGAGGACGTCGTCCTTCGGCAGGCGCTTGAACCGCGCCGCGGGGGTGTCCTCCGCGGGCGTCCGGGGCGTGGGCGGGTACTTGTAGTCATTGCTCTCTTGAACGACAGCGCCGGCGATGCCCCCGTGCATCCCGGGCATCGCGTCGCTCGGGTCAGCGTGTGTGGGCCGAGCGCTGTCCCCGACCCGTCCTGTCGTCTTCAAAATAATTTAACTTCGTCGCATCGTTTCTGATGACCTAAGGAAGGCCCGCGCCGCGCCTCGATCATAGAGCGACGCGCGGCTCGGCGGACGACGCCGCGCGAACGAATCGAGTCGAACGCGCGGTCGGTCGCGATGTCCGCGCTCTTCGACTTCAAGTCGTTCCTCGTCACGCTCCTCTTCTTCATCTGCACGTCCGCGTACGTCAAGATGAAAGCGCCGTCGATGGTGGATCCGTACCGCACGGGCGTGCGAGGCGTCTTCTGGAAAGCCGCGCGCGTCGGCGAACGGTTGTCCCCGTACGTGTCTCTCTGCTGCTTGTTCATGGCGTTCCACACGTTCTGGTACGCGGGGAAGTGATCGAGACATTTGTGGCGATAGGTAGCGAATAGGTAGGTGACGGCGCGCGCGGAGGAGCGACGGCGAGCGGTCTACTCGCGAGATCTCCAGGAGATCTCTGCGTCGCGTCCGTCCTGTCCGCTCGTCGTCGTCCGGCGTAGAAAAGCGTCCGATCGATCGTCCGTCGTCGTCCAGAGACTGGTCGCGATGGCGACGTCGACACACAAAGCCGTGCGGACGCACCTCCTCGCCGCGAAGACCGCGCTCGCGAGCGGCGACCACGCCGCGGCGACCGCGGCGACCGCCGCGGCGATAGACGTCGACGCCGACTCCTACGACGCGTGGACCTTCGACGGCAAAGCGCGATTCGCCGCCGGCGACGCGTCGGCGGCGCTCGCGTCGTATCGCGCCGCGACCGCGCTCGACGCGTCGCACCCGGCGGCGTGGCGAGGAACGCTCGAGGCCGCGGGCGCGCTCGGCGACGCGGTACTCGAGCTCGAGGCGTGCGCGGCGCTGCTCGCGATGCCGCCGGACGACAAGAAGGGCGCAATAACCGACGAACGACGGCTCGAGTGGACGCTCCGAAGAGCGCGCGCGGCGACGAGAGCGCGCCGACACGCGGACGCGATCGACGCGTGGAACGAGCTCCTGTGTTGGCCGGGGGAGACGCGATTGACGGAGGAGCTCGGGAGGCTCGCGCTCGTCGGTCGCGCGGCGTGCGCGGCGCGACTGGACGCGGCGGCGAGGGCGGCGGCGGGCGACGCGGCGGAAAGGGCGGCGGCGCCGGGGACGAGGCACCGCGCGCGTACCACCGCGGAGGGACGCCACGACGCGGCGTGCAACGACGCGCTGGACGCGTCGCTCGAGGATCTGAGTGACGCGCGCGTCGACGCGCGCGACGTCGACGCGGGCGACCTGTTCACGGCGTCGGAGCTCGACGCGTTGACGACGGCGGCGTTGACCCGCGCGGCGGCGCGCGCGACGCACGGACCGACGCCCGCGGACGCCGCGATCGAGCTTCTCGGCGAGTGCGAGCGCGTCCTCGCGCGTCGTCGCGGCGACGGCGACGGCGACGGCGCCGTCGCGCGCGCGGTCCGCGCCGCCGCGCTCGAGGCTGCCGCGGCGTTGGACCTCGGTTTAGGCCCGGAGGAGGCCGGGTGGACGGAATCGCCGTCGGTCTCGACGACGCGGGACGCGGCGTCGGAGGACGCGCTGGTATCCCGCGTACGCGCGTTGGTTCAGTCGCCGTCGACGCCGCCGCCCGACGAGGGCGCGGGCGTGGACGTCGTCGACGCCGTCGCCGCCGCGTGGACGCGTCTGTGCGACCACGGAAGGACCGGCGACGTGATGAACGTCCCCGGATCTGAACGCGCGACGACGGCGGGAACGCTCGCGGGCGCCGCCGCCGCGGCGCTCGAAGACGCGCTCGTCGCCGCCGAGGCGGAGATCGACGGCGCGGACGCCGCGGCGACGACGATCACGACCGCGTCCTCCGACGCCGCCGCCGCCGCGACGGACGCGCCGCGCGTCGCGCTCGGACGCGCCGCGCTCGCGCTCGGTTTCGGCGCGGCGGCCGAAGCGTCTGCGATGCGCGGCGACGCGCTCGCGTCGCTCGACGCCGCGAAGCGCGGGTTGCGAGCGATACGCGCGGTTCGCGCGTCGGGCGACCCCTCGACGCCGTCGCCGCGGATGCCGCGTCTCGAGCGGCGGCTCAAGTTGGTCGCCGCGGAGGCGTTGGCTCGCGTCACGCGGTTTGACGAAGCGCGAGCCGCGTTCGCCGCGCTCGATCCGACAAAGTCGCCGAGGGCGTCGCGCGGGCTCGCGTCGACTTTCGCGAAGGACGACGACGAGGCGTTCATAGCCGTTCAGAACGCCGCGGCGATCGCGCCCGAGGCGCCGCGCGCGTTGGCGTCGTTCGCCGCCGCGCTCGTCCACCGCGGCGACGTCGCGTCCGCGGCGGAGCACCTCGAGCGCGCGTGTCTCCTCGTCGCGCCGGACGGGAACGAGAGAGCGCTCCCGCCGGACATCGCGTGCGCGTTGGGCATCGCGCGGTGGCGCGGTCGCGGTCGCGGCGGCGGCGACGCCGCCGCCGCCGCCGCCGCGCGCGGTCGAGGCAGCGCGCACGCGGCGCTCCTCGCCGCCGCCGCGGCGACGGGGGCGACGCAAGCGACCGCCTTCGCGCATCTGTCCCTCGTCTACGACGCGTGCGACGACGCGGTGCGCGCGGAGAAGTGCCGCGCGAAGGCTCTCTCGATCGACGCGTCCGAGCCCACCGCGGGCGCGATCGCAGTGGACGCGCTCCTCGTCGGCGCCGGCGACGCGAAACGCGCGCGAAGGATGTGCGAGGACGCGATGAAAAGCGCGCCGGGTAAGAGCGCGTGGGCGGCGGTGCGCCTCGCGTCCATAGCGCACGCGGAAGGCGACCACGAGGCGGCGGTGCGGGCGCTCCAGGCGACGCTGCGCGCGTCTCCGAGAGCGTCGCGCGCGTGGGAGTGTCTCGGCGCGTCGTACGACGCGCTGGGGAGGCACTCCGCCGCGCTCAAGGCGTACGCGCGCGCGATTGAAACCGCCGCGGACCCCGCGAACGGCGGCGACGGCGGCGAGCAGACGTACGCCGCGGTGCGCTCCGGGGCGCTCCTGCAGCAGATGGGACGCGCGAGAGACGCGCGAGAGATGTACGCGAGCGCGCTATATGGAGAGGAGGGCCCCGAGGGCGGGCCGGATGCGACCGCGTACGCGCCGGCGTTGCTCGGTCTCGCGGAGTGCCTGTCGCTCGAGGCTTCCGCCGCCGCGGGCGGCGGCGCGCCGGGACGCGCCGCGGACGCGGCTCGCGCGGCCGCCGCGCACGCGTCGCGCGCGGCCGTCGGCGCCGGCGCGCCGAAACGCACCGCGCTAAAACTCGCCGCGGACGCGAAGCTGACGGAGTCGCGCGTCCGCGACCCGTTCGCGTCGGCGTCGACGTCGGCGCGCGAACGCGGGGAAGCCGCGGCGATTTCGGCGGCGACGGCGGCGGCGGAGGCGAGGCGTCTGTACGCGCGATGCGCGCACCTCTCCCCGTGCGACGCGTCCGCGCGCGCGGACGTCGCCGCCGCGTGCGCGTCGGAATCGTGCGCGATCGCGGAGAGAGAACGGACGGAGAGCTCCACGGCGGAGGCGATCGCCGCGGTGGCCGCGGCGGAGCGAACGCTTCGCGCGGCGTTGAGACTCGATCCCTGCGATCCGCGGATTTGGACCGCGCTGGGGACGCTGCCGTCGCCCTCCTCGGGAGGGGCGCCGCGCGCGCCCGAGTACTTCGCGATGCGAGAGACCGCGCTCTCGCGCGCGGTGACGCTCGACCCGCGGCACGCGCCCGCGTGGAGCGCGCTCGGGAGGCTGTACCTCGACGCGAGTCGCGTCGGCGTCGAAGCCGCCGACGTCGCGTTCTTCCAGTCGCGCGCGGCGAAAGCGCTGGACGCCGCGCGCGCGTCCGACCCGGACTCCGCGAGCGCGTGGGTCGGGACCGCGCTGCTTCGCGCCGCGACGATAGACGACGCGGAGTGCGCCGGCGCGTTTCGCATCGCTTCCGACCTCCCGAACGGCGGCGAGGGCGACGTCGGACGCGCGCTCACGGGAGCGGCGAACGGCGCGCGCGACGGCGGCGCGTACGCGAGCGCGCGCCGGGCTCGAGAGGCGCGTCCGGTCGACGCGGTCGCCGCGGTCGCGCTCGGGGTCGCGTCTGAGGTTCGAGGGCTCGCGCGCGAGGCGACGCGCGCGTTCGAGGACGCGATCGAGCTCTGCGACGAGCGCGGCGGCGGCGGCGGCGATTTCGAGAGCGAACGCGAATGCGAAATCGTTCGCGCGGCGGCGGCGGACGGGCTCGCGCGCTGCGCCGCTCGTCTCGTCGGCGCGACGCCGACCGACGGCGACGCCGACGCCGACGCGTCCGCCGCGATCGCCGCGATCGCGCGCGTCGCCGAAGCGTTCGCGGCGAGCGGACGACCGAGCGTGAGACGCGCGGCGGGCTGCGGCGCGTCCGCCGCGGAGGCGGCGGCGGCGTTTTCGATCCGCGCCGAGGCGCTTCTCTCGACGCCGTCCGGACCCGACGCCGTCGCCGCGTCTCGAGCGCTGGCGCGCGCGGTGCACCTCGCCCCGGACGACGTCGTCGTCCGCGGCAGCCTCTCGCGCGTCTTGCCCGCGTCGTCGTCGCCGGAGAACGCGTGGACGACCGTACGCGCGGCGGCGCGATGCGCGCCGCCGACGCGAGCCAAAGCCGCGTCCGCGGCGGCGCGCGCGAAATCGCGCGGCTGCGACCCGTCCTCGCGAGCGCGCGCGCTTCGCGACGTCGCGGACGCGGCGGCAGCCTCCGCCGCGGCCGCGCTCGCGTCCGCGCCCGGCGGCGCCCACGCGGAGTCGATCGCGGAAGTAACCGCCATCGCGAGGGCGTTATCGCGCGCCGCGCACGTCGCGCCGGACGCGGCGTCCGTCCGCGCGTTGCTCGCGCTCGCGTCCGAGCGGAGACGCGCGACGTCCCTCGGGAGCGACGCGTCGCCGCTCCCGGGAGCGACCGACCGCGAACCTCCGCGGGACTCCGATCCGATCGCGATCGTCCTCGCCGCGGCCGCGGGCGCGGCGTCGCGGGGCGAGATGGACGCCGCGGAGCGTCTGTGTCGGTTCGCGTCTCGAAGCGCCGCGGAGGCGGGGACGCGCGCGGGGGGCGCGACGCCGCGCGCCGCGTCCGCGGCTCGGTTGCTTCTCGGCGCGGTGCTGAGAGCGCGTGGGGACGCCAAGGCGGCGAAGGAGAGCGGGAAGATCCTCGCGAGGGTGTGCAGGCCGCCGGCGTTGGGTGGTGCGGGCGGGAGCGTCGCGCGAGCGGCGGCGGCGTTGCGGGGAGATGGGGAGTAGCGGAGAAGACAATCGGTTTCGGTCTGGTTGTTCATCAGAGAAAAAACTTTAAGAAGAAGGCTGCGGAAGCATCGGAAGCGTCTCGTCTCGCCCGCACTCGCGCGCGCTCCCCGCACGCGCGCGTCATGGCGACGCAGCGCGAAGGCGCGAAATCCTCCGCGAAGGTCGCGGTCGTGATCTTCGCGCGCCTCCCCACGCCCGGCAAGGCGAAGACGCGGCTCGCCGCGAGCGTGGGCGACGCGAACGCCGCGGAGTTCTATCGAAGGACCGCGGAGCGCGTGTTCGCGTCCACGTCGAGATGCGACGACGCGGCGTCGCGAACGCTCTTCTTCTCCGACCCGACGGAATCCAACGCGATCGCGAACTGGCTGGCGCGATGCGACCCGGACGCGCGCGACGGCATGCGCGCGAGCGCGCAGAAGGACGTCCCGGACCTCGGCGAGAGGATGCGAGACGCGCTGAACCGCGCCATGTCCACCGGCGTGCACGGCTTCGGCGCGGAGAAAGCGGTCGTCGTCGGCACGGACGTCCCGGACCTCAGCGCGGAGCACATAACGCTCGCGTGTAGGGCGTTAGACGACAACGACGTCGTCTTCGGCCCCGCGGAGGACGGCGGGTATTATCTCGTCGGGGTTCGGCGGCGGCGCCGGCGGCGGCGACGCGACGACGAGAGAGACGACGACGACGCCGGCGGCGGCGACGACTTCGTTCCTCTGGACGACGGCGACGACGGCGGCGCGCACCCGGCTCTGTTCGCGGACATTCCGTGGAGCACGGCGACGGTGCTCGAGGACTCCGTGAGAGCGGCGGAGAGCGCGGGTTTGGACGTCGCGCCGAGGGGGACGCTGCCGACGTTGCGAGACGTCGACGTCGTCGACGACGTGGCGCGGTGGGCCGAGGAGAGAAGACGACGCGACGGAGCATCCGCGTGGGAGGAGCACCCGCTGAGGGAGTGCGCGGAGACGTTGCTGAAGGCGAGCGCGGAGAGGGAAGCGAGTGTGGGAGAGGGAGAAGGGGGGCAGGGGGAGGAAAGAGACGACGCGCCGCGAGCGTCCGGCGTCGCCGAGTGATGGATGAAGCGCAAGCTGTCGCGTTCCGTTCGCGCGCGCGGGGCGTCGGCGTTCTGTTTTCTGTTTTCTCGCCGACGCGTTCACAGATGTAAGAGCTACTCGACATAGACTACCACAGTATACCAACCCCCCAACCCACCCCCGGCGGTCGCGTCGCGTCACGACACGACGTCCTCGCCGTAGTAATCCGCCAGCGACCTCCCCTCCTTGAGCGTCACGTCCGTCTTCGTCACCGGGAAAAACTTTTTCGTCACGCCGAGCGCCGCGGTGCCGCCGTCGCCCGCGCTCACCGCGCGCGCCTGCTCGCAGTGCCACCCGAACACCTGCGACGAGAGCAGCGGCTTGGCGTACCCGTGCTGGGGCTTATCCGGCAGCCGCTTGAACTTTTCTCGGTCCGCGCGCAGCTTCTCCGCGGAGACGTAGTGCGTCTGCGCCGCGGGCGCCGCGCATCGCTCGAGGAGCGCTTCCACGCCTCGCGCGTACTCGCGCCGATCGATGAGCCCCGACGCGGTGACGTCGAAGAAGGTCAGGAACGCGTCGAGCTCCTCGCGTTTCGGCGCGCCGCCTAACACGGTCTTCAAGAGGTCCGGGAGCTCTTGGCGTTTCATGAACGCCTCGCCGTTGACGCGTATCTGCCACGCGAGGATCGGATACAACTTCGCCAACGTGAAGGCGTCGAAGGCGTCGAGGTAATCGTCCAGCGGGACGTCGCGCACGCGCTCGAGGACGTTCGCGCGCGAGGCCCTGAACGCGTCCCCGGTGGGGTTCAGGGCGGTCAAGCCGAAGAAAGACGCCATCGAGACCGCGCGTCGCGTCGCGGCGCGTCTCCGAGTCTGCCGGGTCCGTCGTCGCGTCGGTCATCCATCATCAATCGCGATTCCTCGTTTTGGCCGACGCGATCGCGACGCGAGGTGGCAAGGCCGATGGATTTCAACCAGGCGGTGGGACGAGTTCATCGGTCAGTTGATCGGACCGCGATGAAATGTTGAACCCGAACGTAGGGTGAAAAGAGCCTCCGATTATTTCGTACCTCCGGTAAATATTTGAACCACGCCACACAGCAGTCGCGCGCGCCTCGCGTCGCGATGGCGAGCCTATCGCCGATGACGGCCGCGATGAGCCGCGGCTTCGCGCGCGACCCCCCTCCGCCTTCGCTCGCGGAGCCGCTCCTCCCGCGGTCGACGCCCCCGACCGGTCACGCGCGAAGACGACGCGACGACGACGACGACGACGCTTCGTCGGATTCGAACGCCGTCGCGCGAGGAGCCGCGCTGCCGCTGACGCCGCCGAGGCGAGACGCCGCGTTCGGCGACGTCGCGGTATCCGCCGCGTCCGACGCCGAAACCGACGACGGCTTCGTCCCGTGGGCGGACGCCACGCCGTTCGCGTACGTCGCCCTCGTCCTGTGCGTCGCGCTCGCGGCCGCGCGCCTCGGCGACGTCCGCGACGCGCGATCGCCCGCGCTCCTCTCCATGGCGCTCCTCGCGCTCGCGGGCGCGATGCAGCCGCTCCTGTGCGCGTCGCTGACGAAGGCGCGCAGGGCGGGGTACCTCGACTTCTACCTCTCCTCCCGCCGCGCGTTCCGAGCGCCGTTCGCGATCGCGTCCGTCGGCACCGCGACCGCGTGCCTGGCGTCGATCCTCTTGGGCGTTTTCGTCGACCCGGAGGACGGCGCCTCCGCGTCGACGCTGATTCGCGTGCCCGACCGCATCGCCCGCGCGCTGCTCCCGGGTTACCAGACGCGCGCGCCGTCTCCGTTCGTCGTCGCGTCGGCGACGGCGTTTGTCGCGTTCGGTTTCGAGTGCGTCGCGCTCCTGATCGCGCTCGGGGTTATCATCGCGAGGACGCGGCGGCATCGACGCGCGGGAACGCCGCCGGACGCCAAGTCGGCGTTGAACCCGCCCAACGCCGCGGGGGACGACGACGACGACGACGAGACCGGGCGCGCGCGCGGCGGGTGGTCGCCGTCGTTCGATTTCAAGCGCGGCGTCCGTCGCGGCGAGACGACCGAGAGCGTCAGCGACGCGCAGGCGGAGCTGAACCGGTACATGTGCGACCAGGTCTCGGAGCTCGGGAGGGAGGTGTTGCGTCTGCGACGCGTCGTCGCGAGGAGAGAGACGATGGCCCGCGGGGTGGGGCACGCGAGGGCGATGGCGGCGAGTGCGGCGACGACGAGTCAAGTCGCGGCCGCGGCCGCGGGCGACGCCACCCCAGCGGAGGCGGTGACGCGCGCGGCGCACGCGGCGGCGTTGAACCTCGTCCAGGCGGAGTTGAAAGCGACGCGCGCGGAGCTCGCGCGCCGAGAACGCGAGGCGAGCCGGCTGCGGGAGCTGGATTTCGCGCGCTCGGAGGAGGCGACGCGGTTGAGACGCGCGCTGGAGGAGAAGGAGCGCAGGGCGGAGGAGGCAAAGAGCGCGGGGGCGGCGGAGGAGAAGGAGGAGATATCGCGCGAGGCGGGACCCGGACCCGCGAGCGGGGAGGCTCCGGCGCCAGCTGTACCGCCGCCGCCGGCGGACGCGGATCCACCAGTCTCCCCGAGCAAAAAGAAGACTTACCCGGAGCCGAAGCGGGTGACGGACGCGGTCGCGAAGATGAACGACGCGTTCGGGATGGGGATCTAGTAGTCCGCGCGCGTGGTAGCGATCGACGGAGCGGAGCGCGCGGCGAACGTCGCGAGTCGAGAGTCGATCGAATCGATTAAAAAAATCTTCAGACCCCACCGCCAGACACTCCCGCCGCGCCCCCGTACCCTTCGGCTCTCGTCTCGTCGTCGCTTCAGCCTTGGACGAACTTCAGCCGCCTCCTCGCGCGCGGCGACCACCGCTGTGTTAGTTATCCTATCGAACCGCCCGCGCGCGTCGCTCAGATGAGCTTGATCTTGGTGAGCGCGATGTAGGTGCCCACGGCGAACGCGAGCGAGGAGCCGAGGAAGGCGAAGTAGAGGACCGGGGTGACGTCCGCGACCTGCGCGACCTCGACCGGGACCGCGGCCATCGCGGGCGCGGCGGAGAGAGCTAAAAGGGGGAGCGCGGACGGGAGATGGGAGGGAAGGGAAGGGAACGGTAAGACGACGGACGGCGCGCGGTGGCGGTTCGCGCGGCGCGCGCGGCGCGATCGCGGCGCGGTCGGACCGGACCCCCTCCGGGATCCGGCGCGAGAAGTTCGTGGGGTAAGAATCACGCGGCGCGACGCCGATTCCGCGCGCGATCGGCCGCGAGCGCGACGCGATCGCGATCGCGACGCGCGGCGCGCGTTCGAGTGGAACGTCGCGCGATCGCCCGCGAGCGAGACTGTCGTCGGGGGAGGACGCACCCACGGAGAGCGCGACGGGCGCGGCCTTCTTCGCGACCTCGACCTTGCTCGCCTTGCCAGCCTTGGCGACGACGACCGCGGAGCGCGCCTTGGCGGACTTCGCGACGCGCGCGGTCGGCGCGGCCTTCACGGCGGAGATGAGGGAAACCTGGGCGATCGCCATTGTTTTAGATGAACGGTAACGACGAGGTCGTGCGAGCGTGTATGAGAGACGCGGCGGCGCGGACGCGGCGTCGAGCGACGCTCGATCGAGCGGCGAGGATAAAATAAATCCCAGCCTGTGATTGGTCGAGAGCGGCTCAGTCTCAGTGCCAGTGGCAGTCTGGGTCTCTCTCTGTGACGTCGGCACGCATCGCTCGGCGGATTGTTTCGGCAAAATAATAATTCGGCCGATGCTTTTTTTCAGTCTCCCAGTTCACCCCCCCACCCCCAGCCTCGCTCCTTCGTCGTCGTGCGCTGACTTTCAACTCATTTTGTTACAAACGAAACGAACTAGATTCTTCTACAGTACGCGTCGCACGCGCGGCGGTCGCGACGTGATGTCCCCCGCGCCTGCTCGCTCACGACCTCGCCGGCTTCCCGTCCCGTATGCCCTTGATCCACCGCTTCCACATCCCTCTGAGCATCGTGATACCCGTGAGGAAAAACACCAACGCGAACGTCTTCCTGACGCTCCACCACACCGCGCTCAGGACGCTCTCCGCGGCGAGCGCCCACCCCTGCTTCGTCTTCAAGACGCCGGAGATCACCCTAAAACGGCTCACCCCCGTGAGCGCGGCGGCGTCTTCCACCATCGCGATCAGCCTTCTGAGCGACAGCAAACGCGCGCCCTCGTCGCACACCAACCTCCGAAGCGTCTTCCAAATAACCGGCGAGCGGCTCGGGTTGCGCAGCAAGCGCTTCACCGCGAACGGGTACACGACTGCGAGGATGTTAAACTTCGGGTCCGCGGCTCGCGCCATCCCCTCCAACGTCCCCAACGCGCGCGCGTTGTTTAGGAAATACGGAGGCAGGACGAACCGGTACCTCGGCACGAGCGCGATGAGCGCGGCGAGGAGCTGGTCGAACCGCACGTCCGGGATGTTGAGTTCAGCTTTCCTGACGCGTTTCTCCTCCTTCGTGAGGCCCTCGTTGAGGTTGGCGTCCTCCTCCTTGAACGACAGCGCCGCGTCCGAGGCGTTGCGCAGGGACTCGACCAGGGATTCAAACTGGTACGGGTTTTCGATGACGTCCTTCGGCACGAGCTGCAGCTCCCCAAACAACCCGGCGACGGCTTCGTAGTCGCGGTCGAACAGCAACAACGTCACCGCGGCGACGAGGCCGTCGCGCACGCTCGGAGGGATGTCCGATATCAACCCAAAGTCCAGGTACGCGAGCTCGCCGGTGGTGTTCAACCGAAGGAGGTTGCCTCCGTGCGGATCCGCGTGCATCACCCCGGTCTCGATCAGCTGCGACAGCGTGCATCGAATCCCGAGGTCGATCAGCGCCATCGACGCCGCCTGCTTCTCGCACTGCTCCGATTCCCACGTCTCGAAGTCGCACTCGCCCTCGTACTCATCGTACGACGCGCTCCCTCGCCCGACCAGCGACGAGATGCGTTCGCCCTGGAGCCACTCCATCACTAGCACGCGCCTGGACGGGGGAAACTGCGGGATGAGCCCCGGGACGCGCACGAAACCGGGCGGCGGCAGCGTCTTCCGGTTCGTCCCGTTCGGCCCGTACAGCGCGTCGAACCGCTTGATGTTTTGCGCCTCGTTCTTGAAGTCCATCTCCTCGAAGATCCTCGACGCGAACTCGTCCACTGAGGGTCGTTGGGGTGGAGTTCAAAGGCGTCAGTTGAAGTTGAAAGGCGTCGAGGTGTGTCGGGTATTGAAAGCGAGGTGTGGGCGGAGAGATGCGCCGGGAAAAGTCCTTAAGGATCGGCGTTCACCACGCCGACGCGGTCGTATGGGGACCAGTGTGATAACAGAACGCGCCTGAGTCCACGAGCTTCGCCTTGATCATCCCCGTCGCCTCGAGAACCTTCGCGCCCATGCGAAACAGCGTCGCGTCCGCGGCGACCCGCGCGGCGATGCCCGGCCTCTGAACCTTCACCGCGACGTCCTTCCCCTCGATCGTGCCTCTGTACACCTGCGACAGACTCGCCGCCGCGATGGCGTCGCCCTGAGGGCCATTCCATACAAAAACAGTTCATCGGTCAGTTGAAAGGGAATGCGATCAAGTGTTGAAACCGGGCGATGGGTGAAAAACTTTTGTATAGAACGCACCTGATACAGCACCGGCAGCGCCTTCGGACACTCCAACGCGACGATCGCCCTCGCCTCCTCGATCGGCGCCGCGGCCATGCCGTCCTGGAGCTTCTCCAGCGCCGCCGCGAGATCGCCGCCGATGAGGTCGCTCCTGGACGCGAACGCCTGCCCGAACTTGACGTACGTCGGGCCGAGGCGTTCGATCGAGTCGACGAGCTCGTCGTATTTTTTGCTCTTCGCGAGGTTCGCGAGCGACGTGAGCGCTCGCGTGACCGTCACCGCCCTCGACGCGAGCTGCCCGGGGTGTTTGAAGAAGTACGCGTCGATCGCCTGCGGGTCGTACCCGCGCGCGACGATCAGCTCGTCGAGCTCGCTGAGCTCCGGGAGCGCGCCGAGGGCTTTATCGAAGTCGTCGCGCGCGATGCCGATCGATCGCTCCACGATCTCGTCCACGGCGAACGCGTCCACGACGGGCGTCGTCTGCGTCCGCGACGCGCGCGCGATGGACGCCGCGTCGTGGAGGGGCGACAGCGTTCTTCGCCACGGCGCGATGGACGCTCGACGCGCGCGAGGGACGCGTCGGAAGCACGTCGACGACGGCGCGCACGGCGGGGACGCGCGCGCGACGCCGCGCGTCGACGCTCGGTCTCCCCGCGCGTCGCGAATGGGACGACGCTCTTTGGTCGCGACGCGCGCGCGCGACGCTCTCTCGGCGCCGAGGGAGGCTCTCGCGACCCCGCGCGCGCGGGGGGGCGCGCGCGCGGTCAAGCTCGACGCGCTGTGCATCGTTCTGTCGGATGTTCGACGACGACGCGCGCGGGGCGAGTGCGATCGAGGCGCGCGGCGACGGACGGTGCGTTGTTTTCCCTGTGTTTTCCCGCGAGCGGTAGCGGTGCCGTGCGACCCGTCCGAGTCTTGAGTCGTAGACCGTCGCGCGCGCCCGCCGGAGATGGCGGTAGGCAACCCAAGACGTTTCTGATTGGGGCGCTGCGGATATTTTTCATCGCGGACGTGTTGCGATCGCGATGAAATCAGAACCGGTTTGAACGACCGCGGTGGGTGAAAATCGATCGCTGACGCTGACGCGATCGGTCGGGCTCGCGATTTGGCAGACAGTGCAGTGATGGCTTGACCGGACGCGCGTTCGCTGTTTTTCGTCCAGTCACTGGCTGGTACACGCGTTGAACAATACTATTTCCAAACACATCCGACAACACGACCTTCGCGCGTTATCCGCCTTCTCGTTCAGTCCTTCTTCCCCTCCTTACTCTTGAACAGACCCCCTAACCCGCAAGACCAGTCCAGCGGCGAGTCGTCCAGGTACCCGTTCACTTTCAGTAAAATATACGACGTCCCCATGAGAAACGGTATGAGCGCGAGGAACATGAAATACCCCCAGCTCGTCTCTAAATCCGGCATGTTCACGAAGTTCATGCCCCACATCCCGGTCAGGAACTCCACGGGAACCATGAGAGTCGTGACGATCGTGAGAAGGAACAGCGTCTCGTTCGTTCTCTGCTCTTGGTACACCTCAACTCTCTGAAGAATCGAGAGGCAGCGGCCGATGTACATCTCGCACACGGATTCGAGACCGTCCGCTTGTTTCGATACCTTACCGACGTATTCCTTGAACGACTCGTCGTCGAAGACACCGAGCGCGTCTTCTTCGTACGCCTCGCACAGGCGCCGGACGCGGATCGCGAACCGACGCATCCGCCACAGTTGCATGCGCACTTTGTCCACGGGCTGACTGAACGATATGGACTCGCGCGCGACCATGGCTTGAGATAAAACCTCGAGGTAATCCCCGAGCTCCTCCGCGACCGGGTACGCGTCGTCCACGAACTTGTCCGCCATCATCGCGAGCAAAATCCCCGGGTGCGCGCCGTCGACGTTGCACCTCGACTCGCCCTCCACGAGCAAACGCGTCAACGCCGTGAAGTCGCTCTCTTCGTCGACGTCCTCGCACACGCTGATCACGATCGCCTTCTCCGGGTGATATATAAAGCTCACCTGCTCGTCCGACACGAGAGGAATGTCCCCGTCGCACTCCTCGCGGTCGATGAGCTGCATGCTGACGTACACGTGCGAGTCGAAGTGCCTCACGGCCGCGTCTTTGTGCCGATGAAACACGCACTTCGTCGTGTCCATCTCCCCTCCCACGGCGGACGCGCCCAGTTTCAGAGCGTCGCACACGTAGTTCATCATCATCTCGTTCATCCCGTTGAAGTGCAGCCATCGGATCGTGTTTTCTTTACGCGTCTCCTTACCGATCTTCGAGAGGAGGTTCATCGAGTCCGCGTTGTTTTTCGTCGTCGTCGTCGTCCCCGCGCCGCCGTCGTTTCTGTAAACCGTGTAGTGCATCTCCGGCGTCGGCGTCTGCTCCACGTCCGCGTCTCGAGTGGAGAAGTACTCCAACTGCATCTGTTCGAACCGCTCGAGCTTCCTCGTCTCGCTCTTCGTCTGGTGTTTCACGTCGTTCACCATGAGCGCCTTCCTCGAGTTGCCCCTGACGCGCTCGGAGACGCGACTGGACGCGAGACCCTTCCTCGACGAGCGGCGCTGCGACTGCGACGCTCTCGCGGACGGGCTCCGGGTTATGGTTTGAGCTGTTCGCGCGTCGGGTGGAAGGAGGGAGGAGGGTCAGGACGGACCGCGCGAGGGAGGGAGGGCGGGCGCGCGGACGCGATGCGACGCGGGAGGAGGGGCGAATCGAATCGATCGAATCGCGCGAAATCGTTCACTTCGGTGGCGTTTCGCCCCGGGAGGCGATTCGCGAAGCGCGAGACGGACGACGCGGGTTCGCGCACCCGCGGGCGCATCGTCGGCAATCTCGATGGTGGCGTCGCCGTCCGACATGGCGCGCGTTCGTTCGCGCGCGCGTCCCCGCGTGTGTTGCACCGAGTGCGCGCGGATTTAGTGGTGAACATTCCACGATTTCTTGCCGCGTTTTGGTAAATACGAAGGTAAGGTTACGTGTTCAGGTCGTCGGATGCGGGTACACGCACACGTCCGACAGGGACGGGACCGCCCCTACCTCGGTCGATCGCGGAACGGACGCGGTGAAGGACGCGATATCGACGCGCACCACACGCGACGGAGAAGAAAGTCGGCGCGAAGCGATCTCGGAGGTACGCGCGCGGGGGGGGGGAGGGGAGGTACGCGCGCCGCGCGCGGCTCAATCGGTTGGAAATCACACTCGGCTCTCGCTCTCGCCACCCTCCATCCGTGTCTTCATCGTCGGTACGGTTGGTACTGGTACTTCCCTGCCTTCGGCATCGAGCCACCGACGACGTTTTTATCGTACCGCCGCATCTGCCCGACTTTCTTCCGCGCCATCCTCCCTCTCTGCACAGCCTGGATCCGCGTCGCAGCCTCGTGCCGCGCGCGGACCGCGCTCGCCTCCATCGCCATCTCTCGCTCGTGCCTCCCCAGCTTCGGGTTCCACGCGCGATCCTTCTTGTTCTGCGCGAAACCAATCATCTTCTCCTCTTTGCTCAGAAACCCGTCGCCGTCGATGTCAAACTTCGCGAGGTACATCTCCTGCTCCGTCGGGACGCGATTCATGCTCCCGCGCGCTCTGTTCAACGCGGAAGCCGCCGAGGTGGCGCCCTTGGAGGTCCCGAGATTTTTCTTCGAGTAGTCGTACTTGAGCCTCGCCTCGGTGAGCTCGGCGGAGCTCAGACCGAGCTTCAAGTCCGAGATGTCGATCTTAATCGCGTTCCGGCTGTGGTGCCGCATGTTCGCTCGGTACCGCTCCTGGTGCGCCTGGATGGAGCCGCGGATCTCCTGGTTCTTCTCGCGGCAGCCGTACAGCTCCTCGACCAGATTATTGAGCTCCTCGTTCGTGTTGTCGAGCTCGCGTTTCCGCGCCATCACCTCGCGCTTCGCCGCTTCCACAGCCTGCGCCGCGGCTTCAGCCTGAGATTTCCATCGCACAATCTCCACGGCGAGTTCCTGCGTGTGCGCGTGTAGCATGTCGCGCAGGCGCTCGATCTCCGCGCCCATTCGCGAGACTTTGGCCACGTGCTCGGATTCGATCTTCATGCGCTTCGTCGCCTCTTCCCTGCGAATCGCCTCCTCCGCCTTCTGCAGCGCCATCGTCTTCGCGGTCGCGTCGCCCTTCGCGCGCTCGAGATCTTTCAAGACCTGCGCCTTCACGAGCTCGAGCGCGTCTTGCTCGCGCTCTAAGACGTTGTGCAGCGCCTTGTTCTTCTCCACCTGCGGCGCCCACCCCGAGAATTCGTGACGGATCGCGCGCATCTCCTCCTCCGTCTGACGCAGCTCGAAATCGATCTCCGCGAGCCGCTCCTCCGCCACTTTCCTCGCGATCTGCTCCGCCTTAAACTCCTGCTCGATCTTCAGGAGCATCTCCTCCATCTGGCTGTTCTGCGCGCGGTCCTGCGTGAGCTGCGTGAGCTGCGCCTCCGCGCGCGCCGCGAGCTCGACCTCCTTGACCTCGTTCCATTGCGAATCGGACGGATCCTCGCCGTCTTGGCGCGTCGATTTCACCGTGTCGCCGAATTCCGCCGCGCCCGGCGCTTCCATCGGCGCGGGCGGGTCGAGGACGGCGTCCTCGGTCACGGGGCCGGCGGTCGAGCTTCGACGCGGAATCGCGCGAGCGATCGAGGCCATGCGTCACGTGCGACGCGCGGCGATCGAGTAACGCGGAGGGCTCGATTCACGAGAATTGGCAATTCGTTCCAAAAGGGGGCGCGGTTGACCCCCGCGGTCGAGAGAGATTCTTTCCGCGACGGATCTTCCCGCGCGCGCGATTGCGATTCTGAGTCTCATTTCACACTGCCAAAATGTACTCGTACTCTCGCGCGTCGCTCGCGCGTCGCTCGACGTCCCTCACGGGACGACGCGCGCGCCCTCGGCCATCCTCGCACGCGCCCACGCGGGGGACACGACCATCGCGCCCCCCCACCGCGTCTCGCCGTCGCCCGTCGCGTCGTCCGATCGATCCCCGCCCCCGCCGCCGCCGCCGCCGCCGCCGCCCGGCTCGAACGCGACGACGTGCGTGACCCCGACGCGACACCCCGACGCGACGCGCGCGCCTCGCAGCCTCAGCGACCGCGCGAGCCGCGCGGCGTCCGCGCGCGTCGATCGCTCCGCCTCCATCTCTTCGTCGCGACGCGCGTCCGCGTCCTCCCCCGCGGCGCCTGCGCCGTCCGCGGCGGTGAGCGCTATGATCGCCGCCGCCGTCGTCGTCGGCGCCGGCGCCGCGCGTCTCGTCGTCTCGCCGTGGGCCCCGTCGTCCTCGCTCTCGTCGCGATGGACGTCGACGCGCTTCACGCGCGCGACGTCCAGCGCGGCGTCGATGAACGGCAGCCTGGACACGTCCACCCCGCGCGGCGCGGTCACGACGAGGAAGACGCACCGCTCGAACGTCCGGAACGCTCGCGCCGGGTTACCCGTCTCCGCGCCGCCGCCGCCGCCGTCGTCATCGCCGCCGTCGTCGTCGTCCTCGTCGCTCATCGCCGCGAGCTGCATCGCCACCTCCTCGGCTTCGAAGTCGAAGTCGTCGTCGTCGTCGTCGCCTCGCCGCTGATTCATCGCGCTCGTCATCCTGTCGCCGTGCACCAGCGCCGCGGCGTCGTCCGCGTCGACGTCGACGTAGTGATCGTCGCCGAACCGATCCATCGCGCCGGCGGAGCGCTCGACGGTCGCCGCGCACGTCACCAAACGGTGCTTCGGCGTCGGTTCGAAAATCTCCCCGCGCGCGACGCAGTCGCGCAGCCACTGAGGGGTCAACACGTCCACGCCGCCCGCTCTCTTAACAGCCTCGAACGCGATCGTGCCGCGAGCCGCGGGCGAGGCGACGACGTGCGTCAACCCGGGGTGGCTCGCCTCAGGGTCGTTCCATACAAAGCGATGTCGGGGTGGAGTTGAAAGGCGTCAGATGGAGTTGAAAGGCAACTCGGGCGGGGAGTGAACGCAAGGGATGGGCGGAGAGATGCGCCGGGCAAAGTCCTTAAGGAACGGCGTTCACCACGCGAACGGGGTCGTATGGGGACCAGTGTATAGAACGCGCCTCGGAGGTTTTCCCGCCTTGGGATTTCACGAGCGCCGCGAGCTCGGCTTTGAACGCCCCGGCGGAGTATTGGTCGCCGCCGGCGAGGATCCGCACGTCGAGGCTGCGAAGGATGTTCCCCTCGCGCGTGACCGCGGACGTGTCCGCGACCGCGAGGTGCGCGGGGAGTCTTCGGTCGCGCGCGGGCGCCGCCTTGTGCCGTTTGCTGCTCGGCTGCTTGGCGTACCCCGCGCCGTCGCCGCCTTCCGCGGCGGTTCGATTCCCGAACCGTCCTGCCCTGCCCACCGCGACGCCGATCCCGCCCTCGTCTTGCATCACCGCGAGCTGCTCGTTCGACAGCGCGTCGTGCCACGGCTTGTCCCACCGCACGCCGGTGACGCGGGGGAATCGCAGAGAGACGTCCGCGCGAAACGTCATCGTTCGAACCAGCCGGATGTCCGCCTTGACGGTCAACACCACGGAGTTCTCCGGGCGGTCGATCCACACGTCCGGGGTCTCTGCCGCGGCGCCGGTGACGTCGTACATCGTCGGCGGGTTGTACCCTTTGCCCGCGGGAAGCATGTGCGGCCCTAATTTTTCTCGGAGTCTCTGCATCACGTCCACGGACATCCCCGTGCCGACTTTGCTGAACGACATCACCCGCGTCGGCCTCGCGCCTTCTCTCGTCGGCGTCTCCACGATCCCGAGGAGGTACTCCGCGATCTTCCCGCCCCTCTGGCGTCCGGTGCCGTAGAACCCGCCGATGATGACGACGTCGAGATCCTCCGTCGGGAGGTAATCGGGCTTGATTTTCAACCACGAGTCCCCGCGCGCGCCGGGCTCCCACTTCGACCCCAAGTCTTTGATGATGAGACCCTCGTCGCCGCGGTCGACCGCGCGCCAGAAGTACGTCTCGATCTCCCCGAGCATCGAGGCGACGACGCAGTCGGGGTTGACGGGCTCCGTGGGATCCTTCGCCGGGACGTGTATCTGCACCCTTCCCTTCGACGCGCCGCCTCGCGGGCCCAACCGGACCGTCCCGTCGCTCTGGTCCGCGACCGGGGCGTCGTCGTCGTCGTCGGTCTCTTCCCCGCGCGCGCGCTCGCGGGCGCGGGCGTGAGCGCCCGCGTCGTGCCCCGCGCCCAGCGGCTTGAACATCCCTCGAAGGACGTCGTGTCGTTCGGACAGCGGGCGGTGAATCACGGAGTGGTCGTCGTCGTACAACACGTCGAACGCGACGTAGACGAGCTCCAAGTCGGCCAATCTGTACTGCCCCGGGTCGTTCGCGGTCTTCAACGTCTCGCCGCGGTCGCCGCCGGCGCGGTCGTCGTCGTCGTCGTCGCTTTCGCTGCCGTCGCCGTCGCCGTCGCTGCCGTCGCCGTCGCCGTCGCCGCCGCCGCCGTCCGCGTCCCTCACGCGGCTGTTGTACATCGACTGCTTCTCGATGATCGCCTCCGCCGGACACGACCGCCCGATCGCGTTGATGAAACCCTTCAGGTACCCAAACTCGAGGTATCTCTTCTCTCTCTTGTTCCAGATCACGAGCTCGCCGTCGAGGACGCACGTCGTCTTCTTCAACCGCGCTCGGAACAGTCGGTCGAGCACGCTGTACCCGCGCGGATGGAAGTCGATGTTGTTCCTCGTGAGATACTTGAACTCGCGCTCGCCCGTCCTGTGGACTTGAATCCGTTCGCCGTCGAACTTGGTCTCGATCACGAACGTCGCCTTCCTCTTTTGCATCTTCTTAAACGCCTTCTCCGTCGCGTTCACCCTGGACGAGTTCATCGCGTTCACGAGAGACCCGGGGGAGAGGTCCTGGCGTTCGAACGGCTTGTCCCGGACGTTCAACGTCGTGACGACGCGTCTCAAGTCGCAGCACACGTTGTACAGATCCTCCGCGTCCGGGTGGTAGTGCCTGAGCAGAAAACTCTCCCCGCATCCGAGCTTCAGGTCTTTCAGTATGATCGCCACGAGCCACCGCATCTGCACGGCGCCGAGGCCTTCCAAGAGCGCGCGGAGTATCGGCACTTTTTCGTCCGTCGCTTTTTTCCCCGCGAGCTTATCAAGCGCGTCGTTGACTTCGCCGACCGTCGCGCGGCGACCCGAGGCCGGGATGTTATCCGGCATGTGCTTGTGACACACCTGGAACGCCGTCAGCGCGAAGACACCGGTCCCTTGCTTCCTCCACGCCTCGAGCGCGATGAAGTCTGGGGAGACGCCGCGTTTCAACCCGAGCGCGAGGCCTAGGCATCGCGCGAGCGCGGCCTCTTTCAGGCCGTACGCCGCGCGCTCCTTGTCCATCTGCGGCAGCACGAGCCGGTACATATCGAACGCGCCCTCTCTCGGGGCGTCTCGGCGCATCCCCATCTCCGCGTGGAACCCGTCCAAGATCTCGCGCTTCCGCTTCGCGCCCTTCCTGCCGCTTCGGTTCACGTTGCGAATCGCGTCGAGCAGCGCGCACAGATCCTCGAACGCGACGTCGCGCATGTTCCGCGGCGGCGACGGCGTCAGCGCGCCGACGGCGTCCGAGGTCGACGCCAACGGTTGGTCGCGCGGGGTCGCCATCGCGTCGAGGCCTCCCGACGCCGAAGCGCGGCGCGGGAGTGACAGATCCTCGGGGGGCAGGGTGCTCACATTATTTATATTTCAACATCTCACGCGCAGCTGTCGGTCGCGCTCAATACCGCCCGCGCCCTCTGCCGCCGCCGCCTCTGCCGCCCGGGGAGAACCCTCTTCCACCGCCGCCGCGCCCGCCGCGCCCGCCGCGACCGCCGGGAGAGAACCCGCCGCGCCCGCCGCGACCGCCGGGAGAGAACCCGCCGCGACCGCCGCGACCGCCGGGAGAGAACCCGCCGCGCCCGCCGCCGCCGCCGCCGCCGCGACCGCCGCCGCCCGAGCGTCCGTCCGCGACTTTCGCCGTCTTGGGGGTCCCCCCGCCTCGGCCGCCGCCGCCAGACGCCTTCCTCTTCTCCCCGGGCTTCTCGTCGTCGCTGTCGCTGTCGCTGCCGTCGCTGTCGTCGCTGCCGTCCTCCTCGGAGTCGGACTCGTCGTCCTCCTCGGAGTCGGAGTCGGAGTCGCCGCCCGTCGGCGCCGGCGCGTCCTTGTCGTCGTCGTCGTCGTCGTCGTCGTCGTCGTCGTCGTCGTCGTCGTCGTCGTCGTCGTCGTCGTCGTCGTCGTCGTCGTCGTCGTCGTCGTCGTCGTCGTCGTCGTCGTCGTCGTCGTCGTCCTCTTCGGACTCGGACTCGGACTCGGACTCGGACTCGGCGGCGGGCGTGGGCGGCTTCTTCGACGCGCTGGCGGGGGGCTTCTTCGCCGCGGACGGCTTACCCTCGTCCTCCTCGTCGGAGGACGAGTCGTCGCTCGCGTCGTCCTCCGAGTCTTCGCCTTCTTCTTCTTCCGATTCGTCATCCTCCTCGGAATCGGACGCGTCGTCCGCGGGCTTCGCCGCGGCCGCCGCCGCGGCGAGCTTCTTCGTCTTCTCTTTCGGGTCCTCCGCGTCGTCGGACTCGCTCTCGTCGCTGTCGTCCGACGGCGCGTCCCCGTCCTCGGACTCCGACTCCGACTCCGACTCCGACTCCGACTCGGCCGCCGCCGGCGCCGGCGCCGGCGCCGCCTTCGCCTTCGCCTTCGCCGCCTTCGCGGGCGGCTCGGACGGCTTCCCGTCGTCGCCCTCGCCGTCGCTGTCGCTCATCGGGAAGTCGTCGTCGAAGTCGTCCTCGATCCTTCCGGTCAAGAACACGCTCGTGGACCCGGTGTGCCTCACGGTCACGGTCTCGCCGCTGCTGAACGTGAGCCCCGTCCCGAGCGAGAACTGATCGCACGATCCCATGCGCAGCGTGCCGATGGCGAGCTCGGGGGAGTCCGCCGTCTTCACGAACACGGTGACGCGCTCGTCCTGCTTCGGTTTCAGGCCGAGCGCGGCCTGGCACACGACGATGGCGTCGCCCTCGTCCGCGGCGAACTTCTTGGACTGTCCGAGGAGGGGGAGGCGGGGGAAGAGGCGGTGAGCGCGTTATTCATCAACGCGTCGAATCGGCGCGCGATCGGATGGATCGGGCGACACGTGCGGCAACGGCGGCGGCGAGCGAACGTCGCGCGCGGGACGCGACGCGACGGGTTCGGAGCGCGTCTCGGCGCGGACGCGCGCGCACCTGGCCCTTGGGGATCTCGATGCCGAAAAACTGCGGCATGATGCGTCGCGCGTGCGGACGCTCGGGGACGGAGTGGCGGCCGACGGTTGGAGCCGCCGCCACGAGACGAAGACACCTGAAGACTCGGTCACGGTCGGTCTTGCCGCGCGCGCTTTCCAGCCTGACCAGCGCGGACGCGTGCGCTTTATCCCTCACTGGACACGACGCCGCGCACGCTCTGCACGGACTCCCGAGATGATCGTATCCGCCGCCGCGTCCGCGGCACGCCTCCACGTCGCTCCGCGGTCGCGTCCGACGCGCGCGAGGACGACGACGACGGGACCGCGGACGACGCGAGCGCGCCGTCGCGCGCCCGCGAAGAACCTCGCGCGAGACGTCTCGCGCTTTTCTTCGTCCGAGACGGAGGAGCGGAAGTACTCGTCGTACGGCGACGCCCCGGACGTGGAGCCGATCACGCGGGCGAACCAGACGGTCGTGACGCCGTCGCCGACGGATCCGAACTGCGCGTCGGACTGGTGGAAAGACGCGGTCGTGTACCAGGCGCGCGCATTCGACGTTCAGAAAGTGTCCGCGTCCTTTCGGAAATCCAAACCAAACCCGTCCCCGTCCCCAAGTCCCCGTCCCCGTCCTCATCCGTCCACCCCCCGCCCCGACCCACCAGATCTTCCCCGATCGCTTCGCCCCCGACCCGAGCGGCGAGGACAAGTCCTGGATGAACCTCGACGCGTGGGGCGCGCCGCCGCAGATCCGGTCGTTCCAGGGCGGTCACCTCCGCGGCATCACCCAGAACCTGGACCACATCCAGTCCCTGGGCGTAAACTGTCTCTACCTCACCCCGGTGTTCCTCTCCACGGCGAACCACCGGTATCATCCGAGCGACTTCTTGAAGGTGGACCCGATGCTCGGCGGCGAGGACGCGTTCAGAGAGCTCGTGGACGAGTGCCACGCGCGCGGGATGCGTTTCGTGTTGGACGGCGTGTTCAACCACACCGGCCGCGGGCACTGGGCGTTCACCTCGCTGCTCGACGCGCAAGAGCAGTCGCCGTACAGAGATTGGTTCCTTCCCAAGTCGTTCCCGGTGCGCGCGTACGACGTCGAGCGCTACCACGTCAACTACGAGTGCTGGTGGGACCTGCCCGACCTCCCGAAGCTGAACTTCGACAACGCGGGCGTGAGACAGCACGTGTTGGACATCGGGAGGTACTGGGTCAAGGAGTTTAACATCGACGGGTGGCGTCTGGATTACCCGATCGAGATTCCGCCGGCGTTTTGGAAAGAATATCGCGCGGTATGCCGCGAGGAAGCCCCGCACGTCGTGACCGTCGGCGAGCTGTTCGGGATAAACCCGCAAGCCGTCGGCGAGGGCGGGCACTTCGACTCGCTCATGAACTACTCGTTCGGGACGTGCGCGTTGGGTTTCGTCGGCGGCGGCGTGGAGCTCAGACAGGACGACGCCATCGGCGGGGATTACCAAGTCATACCTCTGGACGCGGACGGATTCCGGGCGGAGTACAGCCGCGTGTGCGGGGCGTACCAGAGCGCGCACGCGGACAGCAGAGACGGCGGGTTAGGCGCGTTCTATACACTGGTCCCCATACGACCCCGTCGGCGTGGTGAACGCCGATCCTTATGGGCTTCGCCCGGCGCATCTCTCCGTCCACCCCTCGGTTTCATTCCCCGTCCTCGACGCCTTTCAACTCCGCTTCTGACGCCTTTGAACCTCACCCCGACGTTCGCTCGTATGGAACGACCCTTAGGATTCGGCAGCGCGCACCCGTCGATGTTGATGAACTTGTTCGACTCGCACGACACCGCGCGCGCGATGTGGATGCTCGGCGGGGACGGTAAGGCGCTCAGGCTGCTGATTCTCATGATGGCGTGCGCGCCCGGGCCGCCGATGATGTACCAAGGCACGGAGGTTGGCCAGATCGGCGCGCTCGGTTTGGAAGGCAGCGGCCGCGACCCGCACAATCGCGAGGCGTTTCCGTGGCATAAAAAAGACGAGTGGGACGCGGAGACGCTCTCGTTCGTTCGCGCGACGGGGCGGATGCGAAACGACACGTACGCGCTGCGAAGAGGCGGGCTGCGGTGGCGAGACGCGCGCGGGGTGGCGTCCGGGGATCCGAACCCCGCGCTCATCGTCTGGGAGCGGTTCTTCGACGACGCGACCGACGGCGACGACGCGCTCTGCGTGTTTCACGCCGGCAGAGGGAACCCGTCCGGACCGACGACTGTGGACACCGGGTTCGGACCGTGCGTCAAACTGTTCGCGCTGATTCACAGCGGCGAGCGCGCTGCTTTAGGGGAAGACGCGCTCGTGACGGACGCGGACGGGAGGATCACGATCGACATGGACGCGCAGAGCGGATTGGTCCTCGTCCCGGCGCGAGGGTGAGGAGGGCTAGACTGACGTAGTACAGTAGCCCTTAGGCGGTCGTCCAAAATTGATGAAAAAAAAAATGCATCCGCCGTCGTTATGGACTCTTTCGTTACAATCGCTCGCCCCGCTCGCGTAATAAATATCAGCTCCCCTCGTTCGTCGTCCGCTCGCGCTCTACCACCGACTTTTCGCCGCGGGCGCGGGCGCGGGCTCAGCCTTCTTCCCGCGGCCGCCCTTGAGGACGGACCCGAGCAAGAGCCCGACGACGCCGCTGACGACGGCGACGACGGCGTTCTTCATCTTCTCTTCGTCCCCGCCGCCGCCGCCGCCGCCGCCGCCGTCGCCTTTCTCGCTCGTGGACGGCAGCGCCGCCACCGTCTTCGGTTTCGGGCTCCCCTTCGCGCCGTAGTCGAACGACGTCCGCTTCGCGCCCTTCTCCACGATCTTGTATTGCACCAGCCACGGTTCGCCGAGGAAATCCAAAAGCATCGATTGCGTCCGGCGGAACAGCTCGTGCGCGGCGTCGATCTCGTTCTTAAAGATTGACACGGACTCGACGGAGACGCCAAGCGGGACGCCGCACCCTTTCGTCTCCTCCAGAATCCTCTTGCACATCGCGCACAGGAGGTCCACGCTCTTCCCGACCTTATTCTCCGCCTCGAGAATCTCCGGGTCGTTCCATACGAAGCGACGTCGGGGTGGAGTTGAAAGGCGTCAGTTGAAGTTGAAAGGCGTCGAAGGCGGGGATTGAAACCGTGGTGTGGACGGAGAGATGCGCCGGGCGAAGTCCTTAAGGATCGACGTTCACCACGCCAACGCGGTCGTATGGGGACCAGTGTATAGAACGCGCCTCCTTCTCCACCTCCTCCGGGACGGTCACGCCGAGCCACTTGATGAACCGCATGGTCTTCTCGCGGCCGCACGGCGCGAACGTCAGGACGACGCGCTTCGGCTCGATTTTCTTCTCTCTGCACAGCGCGCCGTACTCTTTCAGGAGCTTGATCATCGGCTCCGGGTCGTAGATCGCCTGGGAGATGAACCAACGCATCCCCAACCCGGCTTTCCTCACGAGCGTCTCGTGCTCGTTTCCCTTCTTGATGTGCCGCTCGGCGATCGTGACGCCGCCGTGCGCGCACTCTTTGCGCGCGTTCAGCATCTTCGCCACCTCCGGGATCGTCGGGCCGCTGTATTGGTTCGCGCTCGACGCGCCGCCGACGAGGTTGTACGCGTGCACGCCGTGCTCGTCGATGGACGCTTTCAGCCATTTATCGAACCCGCCCTTGTCGCTCTCGGCGACGCACTTGTACACCACGGACTCCTTCCCGCTGACGTCCTTCAGGACGGACGCGAAGTGCGCGGGGTCGTCGAGCTTGCGGAACGGGAACGGCCTCGGCTCCGGCGTGCGGCCCTCCTCGGGCTGGATGTCGTACACGATGAATCCGTCGGTCGCGAGCGTCGCGGAGCGCTCGACGAACTTCCGCGCGGTCTCGCGCAGGGCCTCGTCCGTGGCGCCGTCCAACGGGGGGGTCAGGCCTGATCGTGATCGATCGCGACGAACGCATTGGGGCAGGGGGTTCGACGGTCAGCGCGCGGGGTGAGGACGTGAGCGCGAAAGGAGGGAGGGAGGGAGGTCGACGCGACGCTCGTCGTCGACGGCGCGCTCGGACGGGCGATTATTAGTCATCCATCGTGCAATTAATGGATTTAATGCATCGAAAGTCCATCCGGGGTCGGGGGTATCGCGCGCGGGGCGTACCGAAGAGGAAGACGGGGCGCGAGTAGTCGCACAGCGCATCGACGAGTCCGCAGTCCATGGCGGCGGGTTGACGTCACTCCGGCGTGGTTCCGCGGTGCGTCGGTTTGTGCTAGGTTCTTCGTTCGGGGGTCGTCTCGGAACTCGCGACAGGATGTGATCTGTAATTGTAATGTGCGATCAGTAACAGATTTTCACCCACCCCGTAGGTTCAACATTTGATCGCGTCTTCTTTCAACTTACCGATGAACCTTTCGTGGAATCGCCCTGCAGTGTTACCCAGTGTGCGTCTCCGAGCACTTCGCATGTCGCCCCCCGCGCCCGCGCGGGTGCGGTGGCGCCGCGCCCGCGTCGACCCGAATCCCCTCGCCCGCGCGAACGTCCTCCTCGTCCTCGAAATCGAGCCTCTGGTCGTGCGCACGCGGTCGCCGTTCGCGACGTCGCACTCGTCCACCGCGGAGCGACGCAACGCGCTCGTGCGCTTTACCGTCCGCCCGCGCGGGGATGGGGACGGGGACGGGGACGGGGACGGCGACGGGGACGGCGACGGGGATGGGGACGCTCGCGACGACGACGACGACGACGACGACGACGACGACGATGACGACGCCGTCGTCGGCATCGCGGAGATCGGCCTCCCGCCGAAGAAACCCGGGGTGTACGACGAGGACTACGACGACGTCCGATCGTTCGTCGTGGACTGGTTGTCGTCGTCGTCGGCGGCGGCGGCGGCGGCGGCGCGCGCGAGCGAGACGCTCGGGGACGCACGCGGAGAGCGTGCGGACGTGCTCGACGGGCTCCCGCCGTGGGCGCTGCCGGAGGTCCGGCGCGTCGCGGGTCATCAAGACGGGCGCGGCGACGTCGTCGAAGAAGCGTGTCTCGCCGCGTTGGAAACGCTCGACGCCGCCGCCGCCGCCGCTTCGCCGCTCGTTCACGCGGCCGCGCGGTCGGGGATCGAGACCGCGATCTTGGACGCGTGGTCGAAGCGTCTGCGGATGCCGCTCAGCGCGTTCCTCAGGTTCCCTCGGGAGGCTGGCGTCCCTCGCGACGGCGTCCGCTCGCGCGCGTCGAGTTACTACACCGTCGCGCTCGACGACGACGTCGCCGCCGCGGTGGCGAACGCGCGCTGGGGCGCGACGTACACGCGCCATCTGAAGCTCAAGATCGGCCGCGACGCGACGAGGACGCGCGCGCTGCTGCGCGCGCTCGCGGACGCCGGGTTGATCGGAGAGGCGGGTGGGTCGGCGGGGGAGGACCGCCGGGGTCGAGCCGGGGTCGAGCCGGGGTCGAGGACGGTGTGTCTAGGTGCGTTCTATACACTGGTTCCCATACGACCGCGTCGGCGTGGTGAACGCCGATCCTTAAGGACTTTTGCCGTCGTCTCTCTGCGCCCACCCCTCGCTTTCAATCCCCACCCTCGACGCCTTTCAACTTCAACTGACGCCTTTGAACTCCACCCCGACGTTCGCTTGTATGGAACGGCCCTTAGACGCCAACGCGGCGTGGACGCCCGCGGACGCGTTCGCCGCGCTCGACGCCCTGCGCGCGTTCCTCCCTCGCGTCGCCGCGCTCGAGCAGCCGTTCCCGGTGGACGTCGTCGATTCGCCCGGCGGTGACGTGGACGCGTGGGCGCGCGCGGTCGCGGCGTGGCGAGACGCGGGGGTCCTCGTCGTCGCGGACGAGAGCGCTCGCGACGCCCGCGACGTCGTTCGCTTGGCGTCGATGCGTCTCTGTCACGGCGTGAATCTCAAGGTGGAGAAAGCAGGCGGGGCGAGGGGGGTGTTATGCGCGTCGCGCGTCGCGAGCGAGTTGGGGCTGAGGACGTGGCTGGGGATCATGGTGAGCACCGGGCTGGGGTGCTCCGCGACGGCGGCGCTCTTGGCGGCGACGGCGGCGGGCGGCGGGGACGACGCGTTCTCGGATTTGGACGGCGACCTTCTCGCGACCGAGTGTTCGAGAGCGAGGTTCGAGGGCGGCGTCGAGTGGGTCGGGGACGGGTTAGGGTTAGCGCTGAGTCGCGGCCCCGGGCACGGCGTCGTCGAGCGGCGGCGGCCGGGCGCGGGTCGGACATCTGTAGTGTAGGACAAAATGTAGACTACAACGTAGGTGAGATCTAGCCACACACCACACACGACCGCGGCGCGGGGACGCGTCGCGACGTCCCGCCGGGGGCGTGTCGATCGCGGCATGGCCTCGCGCGGCGGCGGCGCGGGAGCGACCGCGCGTCTCGCGCTTCTCCTCGTCGTCCTCCTCCTCCTCCCCGGCCGCGGCGCCCCCGACACGGCACCCTCATCGTCGTTCGCGTCGCCGTCGCCGGGCGCGCCCGCGTCGTCGCCGTTCGCGGTCGTCGCGTACCTCCCGGAGTGGCGGTTCGCGTCCACCGACTGGGACGCGGTCTGCGTCAACGTCACGCACTTGATCCTGTTCTCCTTGGAGGTCACGGACGACGGGTCGCTGACGTCGTTGGATCGCTTCCCGTCCCCCGAGGCGATGACGACGCTCCGCGCCGCCGCGGCGAAGCGCGGCGTCAAACTCCTCCTGTCCCTCGGCGGGCACGGCCGCACCAGAGGATTCCCAATCGTCGCGGTCGAGAAGACGAAGCGACGCAGGCTCGCGAGGACGCTCGCGAGCTTCTGCGCGACGCACGGCCTGCACGGCGTGGACTACAACTGGGAGTATCCCGCGTCGCCGGCGGAGTGGAACGGGATGTTTGCGCTGTTGCGGACGACGCGTAAGGTCTTCGACGGTAGCCCTCAGCGACTGACGATCACGATGGCGTACTACCCGGACGGACGGCAAGAGAGGGAGCTGAAGCGCGGCGGCGCGGAGGAACACGTCGAGCTGCTGCACGCGATGAGCTACGATCATCCGCGAGGGTCGCATTCGTCGACGGCGCTCGCGCGCGCCGCGATTCGCAACGCGGAGGAAGCGGGGTTGGACGCGCGTAAAATCACCATCGGTCTGCCGTTCTACGGCCGCCACGTGGAGACTGGGGAGTGGAAGACGTACGCTGAGCTGGACGCCGCGCACGGCGTGAGCGCGGAGCCGTCCAAGGACGAGGCGGGGGGCTACGCGTTCAACGGCGCGGACACGATTCGTTTGAAAACCTCCGAGGCGAAAGCCGCGGGGACGGGCGGGGTGATGATTTGGGAAGCGGGGCAAGACCTGCACCCGTCGCACGCGCGGAGCTTGCTCGCCGTCGTCGCCGCCGAGGCGTGGGGGGATGAAGGGAAGAACGCGGTTGGGGAGAAGAAGAGAGCGCGCGAGGAGTTGTAGCATCTGATGGTCAAAATTTGGAGACGGATCGCCGTCGCCGGAGGAGGATTCGCGTTCGTTTCGTCGTCAGTCTTCTGTGCGCACACGTCTCTCGTTCGGTCTTAATCACTTGCGTTTCGTTTCCCTCAACAGAACCCCATATTCAGCCAATTCTTCTCGAACTCCTTCAACATCGCGTCGCCCATGGAGTGCGCGTCCGTCCCCGGGGAGTTGTACGTCTTGCAGTTTTGAAACGTCAGGCGGCAGTCGTACTCAAACTCTCTCGGGTGCAGGTACCCCCCGCGCGCGAGCTTATCCCCCACCGTCCCCAAGTCCATCGGGTCCTTGATCACGTCCGGGTAGTCCGGGATCCCGAGCGCGACCGGATCCACCGGATGCTCGAACACGAAGTAATACTTGTGCCGCTTAAGCGCGTTCAACACCTTCTCGCACGCCGCCAACACGTGCGTCCGCGTCGCCGTCGCCTCCGCCTCGCTCGCGGGGTCCATCCACAGCCTCGTCCCTTCCCTGAGCTTCGCCCGGAGCCTGAGCCCGACGATGTGGTGTTGGTTGATCCCGACCAGCTGTGCGCCGTACGTCCGCGTCTTTTGACCGATCGACAGAGGCGTCTCGTCCTCGAGCGCGAAGTACGCGTTCCCGAGCGCGGTGCCGGTCACGACGCCGCGCTCGCCGCCGTTGCCCATGACGACCTCCAACGCGTCGGGGGCTAAGGGTCGTTCCATACGAAGCGATGTCGGGGTGGAGTTGAAAGGCGTCAGTTGAAGTTGAAAGGCGCCGAGGGCGGGTATTGAAAGCGAGGGACCCTGGGCGGAGAGATGCGCCGGGCGAAGTCCTTAAGGAATCGCGTTCACCACGCGAACGCGGCCGTATGGGGACCAGTGTATAGAACGCGCCCAAGTTCGAGGTGTCTCTTCCAAACTTCCCGCCCGTCGACGACTCTCCTTGGGCCCCGCCTCCTCGCGCGCCGCCGCCGGCGCCCGGGGAGTCGTCCGAGTCAGTTGAGATGTCGACGAGGTCGTTCGGGTCGTTCGGCGGCGTCGACTTGGGCGGTCGCTGGCCGCGTCCGCCTCTCGATGTAACACCCCCCGGCGCGCCTCCGCCGCCGCCCGATTTCGATCTCTGGTTGACGTCCATCTCCCGCGGTGGTTTTTTTCTCGGTTTCGGTTTCCTCCCCGCCGGGCTCTCTCTCGCCTGTCGTCGCAGCGCCGCGGTGCTCATCGCCGGCGCGGTCGTGTACGAGCCCAGCGCGTCGCGCACGGCCGCCGCGTTCGCGTCGCCAACGTCCATCATCCCCGCGAGCGCGTGCTCGTACGCCGACTTGGCGCCCACCGCGGCGCCTCCGCCGGGCCCGTGATCTTTCCCCAACACCGTCCTCGCGAACGTCGCGGCGTCGCCGCTCAGCGCCGCGAGCGCGCGCATGCTCGTCGTCGCCTCTTCTCTCGCGGTCTCGAGCGCGAGTTCGAGGTCTTCGCGGCGCGCGCGTTCCGACTGCCACGCGACGCGCGTCGTCCGGAGCTCTGCCTCGACGACGCTGAGGGTCGTTCCATACGAAGCGATGTCGGGGTGGAGTTGAAACGCGTCAGATGGAGTTGCAAGGCGTCGACGGCGGGGATTGAACGCAAGGGACCCTGGGCGGAGAGACGCGCCGGGCAAAGTCCTTAAGGATCGGCGTTCACCACGCGAACGGGGTCGTATGGGGACCAGTGCAGTGTATAGAACGCACCTGAGGCGGGCGAGGAGAAGTTTGCAGCGATCCGCGGGGGACATCGCGAAGAACGCGTCCGTGTCCGCGGGGTTGACGTCGTCCACGGCGCTGCACAGGGGCGGTTCGGGGACGCCGTAGCTCGCTCCCGGCCGCGGCGGCGCGCCCCACTGGGGCTGGCGCGCCGCCGCCGGGATCGGCGCCGGGACCGGCGCGGGCGCGGGCGCGGGCGCACCGAAGACGCCCGAAGAGAACAACGTCGGCGCCGACGCGGCGGCGAGCGCGGCGGCCGCCTCGGCGCCTTTCGCGGCCGCCAGGTCCTCCCACGTGCCGCCAGCCACCACCCACCTCTCGATCTCGTCCGCGGACAAACCCTCCAGCAGCTTTCGACGCTTCTGGTCTTTGTAGTCTTGCGGCTCGAGTCTCTCGCTCCAGGAGTTAAGTTCCTTTCGAACGGCGAGGGGAGGCTTGGTGAGGTTCCGCCACTTATCCTTCAACTGAACGCCCGTGCGCTGCCTGCGGTCGCGATGACGCGGCGACGATCGCGTCGATCGAGGTCGGGGGAGCGCGACGCGGTCAGCGCGAGTCGAGTCGAGTCGAGTCGCGAAGCGAAGCGAAGCGAATTGATTAATCGAATCGAGGGACGAAAGACGCGCGGAGGAGAGAGTTTGGGGAGAGAGAGAGAAGAGAGAGGAGAGAGGGAGCGCTCGCCGCGCGCGTCAACGGACGCGCCTGAGGATTTTGAACTGCTCGTCGCGGCGCATGATCTCCCAGGCCCCGGCCCCGTGCTTCCGCACCCCCTCCACGAGCGCCCGCTCTTCCTCCTCGTCCCAGTATCCCCAGATGATCCCATCCTCGTCCACTTTGCGCTCGCGCTCGCGCTCCGTCTGCGGGGCCTCGTCCGCGTCGCGCGTCGCGTCCGCGTTGATCGCGCGCGCGATCGGCGTCGCCGCGGCGACGTTCGCGTCCATCAGCGTCGCCGCGGCGTCGTTCGCGGTCGGAACCGCGGGCGCGGCGTCCGCGAGCGATTCGCGCGGGTCGTCGGGGAGGTGGCTCGCGACGGGCGCGGCGGGTGCGTTTTCGGCGGGCGCGTCGGCGAAGGGACGGCGATCCGAGCTGGCGACGGGGTCGGTCGCCTCCGCGGCGGGCGTCGTCGCCTGCGAACGTTCACGGAGACGCGGAGACGCGCCCTGATGTCAGGGATGCGACGATGCGATTCGACGCGGGGGAGCGGCGCGGCGCGGCGGGGGGACGGCGCGGCGGGGACGCGCGCGAGCGGACGCGCGCGCGAACGCGATTTTCGAGGCTTCGCCGAGTATCGGCTCAGCGGGAGAACGATCGATTATGATCGCGAAAACACGCGGCGAACGAGCGCGAATGGGACGGCGCGGACGTGAAGGCGCGTCCACGTACCTCGTGTGCGGACGCGTCCATGGCGATTCTCGCGCGATCGCGAAGACAAGGGGGCGCGCGCGCGAGTGCGAGGCCGGCCACGACGCGGACGCCCCGGGCGATCTCGCGACGAGGAAAAAACCTGGAAAAAACGCCGCAGCGAGCGCGTAGGTGGCAGATTTTCTCGCGCGAGAATCGTTGCGTGATGACGTGCGACGACGTAGTACGAAAAAAACCACTCGCGTATGGGTTTTTAGTAACCGACGCGCGAGGGCCTCTTGCTCGCGCGACCCAAGCCTCTCACGCCGCACACCCTCGGGGGAAGACTGGACGTTTGGAACCGGGGCTGAATGCGACGCTTCAGAAGGAGAGACGCGCGGCTGCGACGCGGGCGTCGAGCGTCGACGAGCGCCGTCCGGGCGAAGCGCGGGACGGGCTCGGGTCGAGCGCGCGTCGAGAGGAGAGGGAGCGCGCGGCGGGCGCGGGCGTCGCGCGGCTCGAGGAGGCGTGGTCGCGCGGCGGGCGGGGAGAAATATCTAGGGTTGACTGACGGGCGCGAGGGGCGGCGTCGGGGCGGGATCCAACGACGCGCGCGCGACGGCGACGATGTGGCGGTACGCGAAACGCTCGCTCCTGAGAGCGGTGAGCTCCGTCGGTAGAGGCGGCGCGGCGTCGACGTCCTCGCGCCCGTCCTCCGTCTCCGCGCGCGTCGGCGCGGGCGAGCGCGCGGCGGCGAGGGCGCACCGCAAGCGCGAAATACACGCGCAGAGCCTCCTCGAGCTGAGACAGACGTGGGAGATCGAGCACTTCGCGTCGAAGCTGCGCGCCGCGAACGGCGACTCCGCGGCGCGAACCGCGGTGGACCTGATGCGCGCGATGCGCGGCGCGGGCGTCCCGTGGCTCTCCGTGGCGTCGAACCCGGCGGTTCGCGAAGAGGTGAGAGTCGCGGCGCTCCAAGCGATGGGCGCGGCGGTCGTCGCCGCGCCCGCCTGGAACGCCGCGTCGTCCGTCGCGGCGGCGTCGCTGCGGCGGCTGATGCCGACGATGGCGCTCAGGCACGCGGGCGGGTCGTGGAGGGACGCGCTGACGCATCCCGCGTTTCGCGTGGAGGTGCCGCATATGATCGCGGCGTTTAGGGTTCGCTCGGGGCTGCCGTCGGCTTCGTCGGCTTCGTCGGCTTCATCGGCGGCGGCGAAAGCCGTCGCGGGCCAAACATCCCCGCCGCCCGCCGCGATGTTGATCTCGAGCAGCATCGCGCTGCGGCACGCCGGGTGCTCGTGGCTCGACGTCGCGCGGCACGCCGCGTTTCACGCGTGCGTCAAGTCGCGCGTCGTCGGCGCCGCGGGGTACGCGTACGCCAACACATTCGTCCGGCACCCGTTCACGTCCGCGCTCATCACGTCCGTGACGAAGTGCGTCGGGTCGGATCTCCTCGTGCAGAAGATCGTGGAGGGGAGGGAGGAGATCGACTGGCGGAGGGCGGCGTGCTTCTTCGCGTTGGGGTTATCCTACGTCGGCGCGTTTCAGTACGGGTTGTATAACCGGGTGATGAAGCCGATGGGGGGGTTCTTGACCGCGCGGTACGGCGCCGGCGCGAGCGTCAGCGCCATGGTGTTCGTGGACTCGTTCCTCGTGTCTCCGTTCGTGTACCTTCCCACGTTCTTCGGGTTGAAGGCGTGGGCGAACGGCGAGTGCGCGGCGACGGAGGTGCCGGCGCGGGCGCGAGACGTCTTCTCGGGGACGGCGACGAGCTTTTTGAGAAGCAGAGAGAGCTCCGGTGGCGACGGCGACGACGACGACGACGACGGCGCGTCTCCGGGCGGCGCGACGTCGAGCACGCTGTGCTACATGATGTGGGCGTACTGGATGCCCGCGCAGGCGATCAACTTCTGGCTCGTCCCGCGGCACCTGACGATCCCGTTCATGAACGTCCTGGGATTCGGCTGGAACGCGATCATGTCGGCGACCAACGGCGCAAGCGAGGCAGCCGGCGAGACGGCGGCGACGCGCGCCGCCGCGATGAACGACGCGGAGCGGCGCGCGGCGACGACCGCGGCGGTCGTCGAGCGGTTGATCGCGGGCAGGGTGGGCGAGGAGGTGGCGAGGGACGTCGCGGACGTGGACGCGGGGGAGTGCGCGGCGGACGAGGGGTGCGCGAGGGCGTTGGCGCGGAGTGTCGCGCGGGGGGACGCGCTGGCGCTCTCGACGTAAATTAGGAAACGAAAAGGGCGACGGACGTCGTGACGAACGACGCGCCGCCCCGCGTACGATGCGATTGATTTTTTAACTCGATCACGAGTTGCCTTCTTTCAAGTCGCTTCCATCTGCTAAGACTAATAAGGTGTCATCGTCAGGCGCGCGTGACTCGCTCCGCGGGTATTACAGTTCTCGTCACCCCCGCGCGACGCTCGCCGTCTTTGACTTTTTCTTCGCGGCGCCGGCGCGTCCTCGTCGCATCGCTTCGCTTCCCGCCACCCGCTCCGCGTTCATCGCGAGCAGACGCTCAAAGTATGACGACCCCTTCGGGACGTCGCTCAGCCGCGCCGTCCTCGGTCGCTCCCGCGTCGCGACCGCGACCGTCTCCGTCTGCGTCTCCATCGCCGCCGCCGCCGCCGTCGCCGGCGTCGTCGCCGTCGTCGTCGCCGTCGCCGACGCCTCGGCGCCCCCCGACCGCCACTCCCTCAGCGCTTCCTCGAACTCCCGTCGGTTCGCCTCCTCGTCCACCTCGCCCTCCCACAGGCTCGGGGTCTCGTTCACGATCTCCACCCGCCCGCCGCGTGTCCCGAATCGCGCGTCCGGCTCCGGCTCCGGCTCCGGCTCCGGCGCGTGGTGAAGCTCCCCGCCGAACTCTTCCAACGGCTCGTTCAGCTCCGCGGTCCTCGGGCGGTACGCGCCGTGTCCGCCCGGCCGCGCGCTCCTCGGCCGCGCGTGGCTCGGCGGCCCACCCGGCGGCGGCGCCGGCGTCGGCGTCGGCCCCCGCGCGGTGGAGTATATCACGTGCTCGATGAACCGCGGCGACCGCGGCCGCGTCGGACGCGGCGGCGCCCGCGTCGGCGGGTGGTACGTCGTCGGCGCGTGCTCGATGGGCGCGAGGCGTCGCCGGCGTCCTCCGTCCGCGGCGCCCTCGGCCTCCGCGCGTCGCATCGCCGCCTCCGCTCGCGCGCTCGGGGATTCCTCCTGCCTGATCCTCTGTATGCGCTCGAGCTCCTCCGCGCTGAGCTCGCGGAGTCGGCCGCCGTTGCGCGTCACGCGGACGGCGTTCGCGGACGCGCGCGACGACGCCCAGATGTGGCCGCCCCCCGCAGCCTGGCGGGCGCGCGCGCCCTCGCGCGCCACCTTCTCCTTGCTCATCGCCTCTCTGAGCTCCCTGAGTTTCGCGTTCAGCGCGGCCTCGTCCACGGAGCGTCGAAGCGGCGCGGGGGCGAGGCCGGGACCCGCGGGGGGCGGCGCGCGACGCGACATCCTAGCAGACGAGCTCTCGACGCCTCTCGCGACCGCTCGTCCTTTTTAGGCACCCGCGATCGATCGACCTCGCGCGCGTCTGGCCCCACCGCGCGCTCGCGGCGACGCGTCGCGACGATTCCGATGCGCGGCGACGTCGCCGTGCGCCCTCGCGCGGGCGCGGTCGCGGGTCGCGTCGCGCGAGAACACGTCGCGCCGCCGCGCGCGGGTCAACTGCGGAGGGGTACGTGCGCGTCGCGAGAAAACCGACGCCGTCTCGGATCCATCGGAGCGGAGCGCTCTCTCGCGGATCGCGAAATAAATCTTTTTCGCGCGCGAGAGATAGCGGCGGGACGCGCTTCTTCGCTCGTCGACCGTCGCGCGCGATGATCAACTCAATTAGCATCACAATCAGTTAGCGCACTATGTTCGTTCCTCCTCCACCGCACCGCACCGCACCGCACCGCACCGCACCGCACTTCTCATCGCGCTTCTCATCACAACGTCTTCATGTCCTTGAGCTCGGGCGTCCGCCCGTCCCCGGTGGTGATGGTGTCCTTGAACGTCCCCCCCCCCGGCACCATCGGCAACACGTGCTCCTGATGCGGGAACATCACGTCCAACAGATACGGCCCGTCGTGATCGAGCATCCTCTGAATCGCCGGCCTCAGATCCTCCTTTCGCACGACGCGCTCCGCCGGGACGCGGAACCCCTCCGCGATGGCGACGAAGTCCGGGAAGATGTCCTTCTCGTCCTTCGTCTCGTGGTACTCCACGTCCGGCGAGCCGAGGTAGGTGTGTCCTCGGTTCGCGCCGTAGAACCGGTCCTCCCACTGCACGACCATGCCCAGGTGCTGGTTGTTCAGGACGAACATCTTCACCGGGAGGTTCTCCGCGTGCAGCGTGGCGAGCTCCTGGATGTTCATGACGAAGGAGCCGTCGCCGTCGACGTCCACGACGACGCAGTCGGGGCGCGCGGCGACGGCGCCGATCGCCGCAGGTAAGCCGAAGCCCATGCTTCCCAACCCGCCAGACGTGAGCCAGTTCCTCGGTTCTTCAAACTTGTAGTGCTGCGCCGCCCACATCTGGTGCTGCCCGACGCCCGTGGACACGATCGCCTTGCCCTCCGTCCTCTCGCACAGGAGCTCGACGGCGTACTGAGGGACGATGTAGTCGGACGTGTCCGCGTAGGTAAACGGAAACTTTTCTCTCTGCGCTTCGATCTCCGCGCGCCACTCGGAAAAGTCCGGGAGGGAATCCGCGGTCTGATCCGCCTTGATGAGACCGTTCAAAACCTTCAGCGCGGGCTTGATGTTGCTGAACACCGCGCAGTGCGCCTCTTTGTTCTTCCCAATCTCCGCGGGGTCGATGTCGATGTGCACGATGGACGCCCTCGCGGCGAACGCGTCGAGCTTTCCGGTGACGCGATCGTCGAAGCGGACGCCAAACGCGAGGAGTAAGTCCGCGGAGTCGATCGCGTAGTTGGCGTACACGGCGCCGTGCATGCCGAGCATGTCCAGGCACTTCTCGTCTGAGGGCCATTCCATACAAAGCGACGTCGGGGTGGAGTTGAAAGGCGTCAGTTGGAGTTGAAAGGCGCCGAGGGCAGGGATTGAAAGCGAGGTGTGGTCGGCGAGAGACGACGGCAAAAGTCCTTAAGGATCGGCGTTCACCACGCCGACGCGGTCGTATGGGGACCAGTGTATTGAACGCACCTGACGCGGGATACGCGCCGAGGCCCATGAGCGTCGTCGTCGTCGGGATCCCCGTCGCGTCGACGAATTCCTTCAGCTCCGGCGCGGCGTCGAGGCAGCCGCCGCCCGCGTACACCACCGGTCGCTTCGAGCGCTTGATCATGTCCAAGACTTGCTGCATCTGCGGCGACGTCGGCGGCGACGGCAGCCGAGACAGGTACCCGTTCAGCGAAACCTTCGGCCCCCAAAACGGGATCGACATCTGCTGTTGCACATCCTTCGGAATGTCGATCAGCACCGGCCCGGGCCTCCCGCTGGACGCGAGGAAGAACGCCTCGCGCACGACCCTCGGGATGTCCTCCACGTTCATGACGAGGTAGTTGTGCTTCGTGATCTGCCGCGTGATCTCCACGGTGGGCGTCTCTTGGAAGGCGTCCGTGCCGATCATCCGTCGCGGGACTGAGGGTCGTTCCATACAAAGCGATGGCGGGGTGGAGTTGAAAGGCGTCAGAAGCGGAGTTGAAAGGCGTCGAGGTGTGTCGGGATTGAAAGCGAGGGACCCTGGGCGAAGAGAGACGCCGGCAAAAGTCCTTAAGGATCGGCGTTCACCACGCCGACGCGGTCGTACGGGGACCAGTGTGAGATAGAACGCGCCTTGCCCCGTGATGGCGACGAGCGGCACCGAGTCGAGGAGCGCGTCCGCGAGCCCGGTCACGAGGTTCGTCGCGCCGGGGCCGGACGTCGCGATGCAGACGCCCACCTTGCCCGTGCACTTGGCGTACCCCTCCGCGGCGAACACCTCGCCCTGCTCGTGGCGGCACAGGACGTTTCGGACCCCCGTGGCGGATTTCGTGAGCGACTGGTGGATCTCCATCGACGCGCCGCCGGGGTAGGCGAACACGCAGTCCACGCCCTCGCGCTCGAGCGCCTCCACGAGAATATCCGCGCCCTTCCTCGGCTCGTTCTCGCCGAACCGTGACTGGAAGTTCCCGACCGGGCGCCTCGACGCGAGGTCTTGCATCTGCGCGGACGTGAGGTCTGTCTCCGTGAAGAGCGCGGGGTCGACGCCCGCGACGATCTCGGACGGGTCCTTCACGGCCTTTCGGAGGGAGGACGCGCCGCGCGCGCGACGCGCGGGGGCGGCGGTGACGCGCTTGCTTGAGGACTGCGGGGAGAGGGATGGAGGACGGGGTGGGCGTCGGCGGCCGCGACGGGGAGCGCGAGGGCGATCGATGAAAAGCGCGCGGAGGGTGGAGGATCCATCGACGGCGACGCGCGCTAGGGTCCGACCGCGTCGCGTCGCGGCGACACCGCGCGGGGCTCCGAAGAGCGCTCGCGGGGTCTCGGAGCGCCTTCGAGGCGCTCCTCGCGGGGTTCGGCGGATGACGCGCGGACGTCCCGCGCGTCGACGCGACCCGCGAGGACGCCGCCGAGGCGCCGCCGCCGGACGCGTCGAGCGAGGGAAAAAAGGCAGCGGCGGAGGGTGGGCGCGTGCGAAAATCAAATTCCAAGCGACGGCGGGCGCGGGTCGCACCTCGCCGGAGCGTCCGTTCGGACGCGCGACGGCCGTGACCGCGGGAGCGGCGGCGGCGGCGGTCATGATGGCCGGCATGACGTGTGTGCTGCTCGTCGAGACGACGGCGAGGCGCGTGGTCAAGTGCGCTCCGGTTCCGAATCGCGAGATATTTACTCGCCGCATTTACATTTCTCCGTCTAAAAGGGCACACGAACAGAACCTGGCACGAGCCGATCTTTGAAAAAGCTCTTCGCGACTGGATCACAAAAAGCGCAGCTACAAAGTTGCTCCCCCGGTCGTCACGACGCGAACGACACCTTCGCCGGGTCGTACGCGCGCCTCCCCACCTCCTCCCGCTCTCTCAGCGCCCGCCGTGCGATCCCCTCCATCTCCTCGCGTCGCCTCCGCCACGCCTCCGCCTCCACACGCCGCGCGCCGAGCACCTCCGCGAGCGCCGCTCTCGCGCCGGCGACGACGGCGCCCGCGGGGAGCCGCTCCACCACCCGCCGCGGATCCGCGCCGCGCGCGTCGCCCCTCCCTATCGCGTCCAACAGCTTTCGCGTCGCGCCTGGGGTTTCGACGCACACGGCGATGAGGTCGTCCCACATCTCGTCCGCCTCCGCGGGGTCGAGGGGTCCGGACGACGCGGACGCGCGGCCCGTCCCGGAGGCGCGGTGGCTCGCGAACGCGACGGCGGCGGCGACGTCGCGCGTCTGAGGGTCGAGGGTCCGTACGAAGCGACGAACGTCGGGGTGTAGTTCATGGGCGTCATTCAGTAGGAGTTGTGAGGCGTCGAGGTGTGTCGGGATTGAAAGCGAGGGACCCTGGGCGGAGAGAGACGACCGCCGGGAGAGAAAGTCCTCACGGAACGGCGTTCACCGCGCCGACGCGGTCGTACGGGGACCGGCGTGTAGAATAGAACGCGCCTCGCGCACGAGCACCTCCAACGCGCGCTTCGTCTCGCCGATCCTCCCGAGCAGGTACACGCGCTCGCTCGCGAACCGCGACGACCGTTGTTGAGACGTCGACGTCGTCACGGTGGTCACGGTCTCGCCTCCTCCCGCCCGGACGTCGTCGTCGCCCTCGCACGCGCTGAGCGCGGCGCGAAGGTCGTACCCCGTCCCGCGCTCCAGAAACGCCATGAGCTCGTCCGGGTAAAACTCGCGGAGCAACTCTGGCATCCTCCCCTGGAACGGCTCGCTCGCGTCCTCGTCCGCCGCGAAGAGCGCCCGCAGGTACGCGCACAGCGCCTCGCGCGCGGCGTCGCGCGAGGGTCCGCTTCCGCTTCCGCTTCCGCTTCCGCTTCCGCCGCCGACGGTTGACGTTCCATCTTCCTCGCACGCCGCCGCCGCCGCCTCGAGCTGCTCGACGACGACGCCCGCCGGGACGTCGACGTCGCGTCTGGACGCCAGCTGTACCGCCGCGCGCGTCGGGTCCGACGACGCGAGACGCGCGATCGCGCCGTGGCCGTACGCGACCGCGACGGGCCACAGGTCGTGCCGACGCGTGAACTCGAGCGCTGAGGGTCGTTCCATACAAGCGAACGTCGGGGTGGAGTTGAAAGGCGTCAGGTGGAGTTGAAAGGCGTCGAGGGCGGGGATTGAAAGCGAGGGGTGGGCGGAGAGAGACGACGGCAAAAGTCCTTAAGGATCGGCGTCCACCTCGCCAACGCGGTCGTATGGGAACCAGTGTGTAGAACGCACCTGAGCGTCTCCCGAGCTCGAGGTGCGTCGCGAGCGCCCTCGGGGCCTGGCCGTCGAGGAGGTAGAGCTCCGCGAGCGCCTCCTTCAACGTCGGGGAATCGTTCGCGGCCGCCGCCGCGTCGTCGTCGTCGTCGGGTCCCGCCCCCGCCCATCCCCCCGGGGCGTGCGCGACCGTCGCCTGCCGCCGCGTCGCCGCGATGAGCGCGGGGACGCCGTACAAACTCGCGGGCCACGCTTTCAGGGCCATTCCATACGAGCGAACGTCGGGGTGGAGTTCATAGGCGTCAGATGGAGTTGAAAGGCGTCGAGGGCGGGGATTGAAAGCGAGGGACCCTGGGCGGAGAGAAGCGCCGGGCAAAGTCCTTAAGGATCGGCGTTCACCACGCCGACGCGGTCGTATGGGAACCAGTGTATAGAACGCACCTTTCACGATGGCGAGGAACCGCGGGTGGTCTCTCGGGTCGGCGAGAAACGCGAGGAGGACGGTTTCGTACGCGGCGCGAGGGAGCGTCGGCGAGGCGGTCGGCACGTACGGCGCCAACGCGCCGAGGCCGCCGCGGACGCCCGCGAAGACGTCGATCCACTTGACCCACTCCTCCGCGGAGCCGCGGAGCAGCCGCGGGCACGCGCTCGCGGCTTTCGCGAGCGTCTTCTCCTCGGATAGGAGTTCTGTCAGGTACTCCGCGGCGATCTCGCGAAGAAGCGCGGCGGCGACGGACGCCGAGGCGGACGTCGACGACGCGCACTCCGCCTCGCAAATCTCCAGCGCGAGCTCGTACTTACGCCTCGACGCGAGCCAGCGCGCGCGCTCTTCGAACGTCCGCGGCGTCGCCTTCACGACGTCCTTCGGAGAGATGAGGTAGTACGTCGGCGTCGGGGTCCTCCTGAACGCGTCCTCCTGATCCTCTTCGGTCGACGCCGCGCTCCCCGGGAGCGCGCACGCCAGCGCGTAGTCGTTCGCCGCGCGCGTCTCGAACGCGCGGACGCCCAACGCGTCCCTCGCGAGCTCCTCGTTATCCCACGTCACGACGCGAAACTCCGGCTGCGCCGACCGACGACGACGCGGGCCCCGACCGGGACCGGGCGCCGGCGCGGCGTCGGCGCCGGCGCCGCCGCGGCGGTCCGCCGCGTCGTCGTCCTCCTCCTCGTCGTCGTCGTCCTCGACGACGAAGGCGAGGACGACGAGCGCGTCGCCGCCGAACGGCGCCAGCCCGGCGACGCGGTACCCGTCGACTTGGAACACGGAGACGATCTCGACGTATCGCGTCGTCGTCGTCGACGACGACGACGTCTCGTCGCCGCTCGTCTCGTCTTCCTCTTCGCCCGTCTTCGTCCGCCCGCCGATGGTCCCCCGAATCGCGGGACCGCCCCCACCACTACCACCGCCCCCACCACCACCACCCGCGCGCCGCTCCACGCGCGTCAGCACGCGCGCGATCTTCACGCAGTCCCCCCACGCGACGGCGACGGCGCCGCCGTCCGGGTCCAACCACGCCGCCCTCGGCGCGCACTGAGGGAGTTGAAAGGCGTCAGAAGCGGAGTTGAAAGGCGCCGAGGGCGGGCGTTGAAAGCGAGGTGTGGGCGGAGAGAGACGACGGCGAAAGTCCTTAAGGATCGGCGTTCACCACGCCGACGCGGTCGTATGGGAACCAGCGTGAGATAGAACGCGCCTCCTCCGGCTTCGGCGTCCCCCTGGGCTTGTCGATGAACGCGACCCTCTGACGCCGTTGAACGTCGTACAGCTTCACGCCGAGATCGTTCGCCCACGCGATCAGATCGCCGGCCCACCGCGTCAGGCGCACGACGCCCTCGCCCGCGTGTAACGTCGACGACGCGCGCGTTTCCCCCGCGCCGGGCGCCCTCCCGTTCAACGCCAGCTCCCCCGTGACGCCGCCGTAGACGACGCGGCGCGCGCGTTTCGACGCGAATAACGGATCGATCGCGACCGTTTTTATACTATGCTCGCACACGATCCTCAAGATCGCGGTCGTCGACGCGTCGCCTTCTTCTCCCCCGCCGCCGCCGTTCGAAACCAGCGCGTGCACGACGACGACGCCGTCGTCCGCGCACGACGCGACGAACGCGCCCGTCGCGTCCATCGACACGTCCTCCACGCGTCGCCCCGGGTGCGCGCGCGTTCGATGCGTCGTCTCCCCGCTCGCGCCGTCCACGACGAGGACGAGCCCGGAGCGGAGCCCGAGCGCGAGCTTCCCGTTCGCCGCGAAAGCCGCGCACGTCGCGTCGTCTGCGGACTCCAGCGCGGACGGCACCGACGCGCCCACTCGCGCGTAGCTCAGCATCGGCTCGTCGTCCGAGTCCGACTCGGCGTCCGACGTGGACGCGTCGGCGTCGGAGCCCGACGTGGTGGACGCGTCCGAGTCGGCGGCGGCCCCGCGCGGCGCGTCCGGTCGCGGCGGCTCCGGTGTGCGGGCGTCGACCGCGTCGGGGCGCGACGCCGTCGAATCGTCGTCCTCCTCGTTCGACGCGGAGGGATCCGATGCGTCGAACGAGTGGAACGAGCACTCGGAGGAGGAGCACTCCGAGGCGTCCCCCGCGTCCTCCGCGTCGGGCGGCGCCATCCCGACGGCGGGGTCCGCGCCGTGGACCCCGCGTCCGCCCCGAGACGAGGGCCGCGGCCTGCGATGTGATGGACGCTGAATTCTTCTCGATCGAGACGAACAGAAGGACGAACTGATGAAACTCAAAATAATGCGAATTCGATTCGCGCGGCCCCATCAGACCGGATCGCGCTCGCGATGCCGCCCGAGAAGGCGACCGTCGCCGCCGAGGGCGGCGACGCGGGCGAGGAGCCGCCGGCGCCGAAGCGCCCGCGCGGGCGCCCGCCGAAGGCGGCGGCGGCGGCGGCGGACGGCGCGAGCGCGGAGACGAGATCGGAGAAGAACGTCGCGGGCGGATCCGAGGAGGCTGCGCCCGCGACGCGCGGGCGCGGCCGCCCGCCGAAGGCGGCGGCGGCGGCGGCGGCGGCGACGGACGCCGCGAAAGACGCGCCGGACGTCGCGGAAGACGCGCGGACGGGAAGACCGGCGCCGACGACGATGTCGATGTTCCCGGGGAAGCCGCTGCGGCGAGGCTTCCTCGACGCGGGAAAACCAACCAAGCCGAAGACGAAGAAGACGCCGCCCGCGAAGACGACGACCGACGCGGCGGCGGCGGTGACGACGACGACGACGAGGACGACGCGCGGTGGACGAGGCGAGGGAGGACGCGGCGCGGCGAGCGGAAGCGGACGCGGGAGAGGACGCCCCCCCGGGAGAGGACGAGGACGCGGGCGAGGACGCGGGCGACGACGGGGAGACGACGACGACGACGATTCGGACGACGACGACGACGACGACGACGCCGACGCGAGGAAACCGAAGAAACCGCCGCGCGAGAGGCGGAACCGCGAACCTCTCCCGGAGGACCCCGACCGCGAGCGATACAAGATCGTCACGATCGCGCGAGTCCCCGCGAAGACCGCGCGCGTGATCGACCCGAGGCGACCGACGCCGGCGACGCTCCCCGTCAAGGTGTCGTCGCTCGCGGACGAGCCCGAAGCCGTGGCGGCGAGACTGAAAGCCGCGCTCGGTTCCGAAGCCGCGAGGGCGATCATAGAGCCGAAACCGAAGCCGAAGGAGACGCACCCGGTGGAGACCGTGGACGAGGTGATCCAGCGCGCGATGAAGGACGGCGGCGCGGAGCGAGTCCGGAAGCTCGCCGAACGCGTCGCGGAGTTGTTCCGGGATGAGGAGACGGGTGAATACTCGATCATATCGGACGTCGTCGTCGTGCGAGAGGCGAAAGAGGGCGAGAAAGAGCTCGAGACGCCGATCGTGTGGGAGGACGTCGGCGGGAAGAGGGTATCGTACGTCATGCCCGAGGGCGGGATCCCGGGAACGGGCGGAGGCGGCGGCGGCGGCGGCGGGAGAGACGCGGAGATGAGAGACGCGGACGAAGCGCCGGGGGCCGCGAAGACGACGGCGAAGACGACGGCGAAGACGACGGCGATGGAGAGCGAGATTCAATCCGCGGACGAGAGCGAGGACGACGAGATCGCGACCGCGCGGAATCGGAATAGGGGGACTCGGGGGCGGCCGAGGAAGACGGTGGACGCGCGCGGCGGCGCCGGCGCCGGCGGCGGCGCCGACAGCCGCATCCTCGCGCTCGCGAACGCGCCGAATAAGGAGAAGGACGCGCGCGGCGAGGACGCGGACGACGAAGAGGACCTGAGAATCCCCATCCCGTCCAGGTACCGGAAACAAAAGACGCAGAAGATCCCGCTCCCGCTCGTGCTCCCGCACGACATCGCGGAGGCTCTGGACCGCGCGGCGTTGCACGAGAAGAACCTCGAGCGCGAGAAGCGAGAAGAGAAGGAGCGCGCGGCGGCGGCAGAGAAAGCGGCCAAGGCGGCGAAGAAGGCGGCGGCGAAGCGCGCGAAGGAACGGGAGGCGAAGGCGCGCGCCGCCGCGCTGGGTACCCTCAGCGACGACGACGACGACGACGACGACGACGACGACGACGACGACGAGGCTGCGCGCGGCGACGACTCGCGCGCTGTGGCTCTCGTCCCCGAGGACGGCTCCTCCCAGTGGAAGACGCCGCCGAGGCCAAAGTATAAAACCGCGGACGACGTCCACGAGGTCACGATCGACGTGGACGACCAGCGGCGGTGGAAAGTCCCCACGAAGGAGGAATACGAGCTCGGCGTGACGCGCGAGGGGAAGCCGGTGCATATCACCCCGAACTTGGACGTCGTCGTGTTTTGTTCGATGCACAACCCGGCCAACCCGGAGCAAGTTCTCGAGGAGTTCATGTGCCTCGGGTGAGCGTCGCCCCGTTCCCGCGCTGACCGGTTCCCATACGACCGCGTTCGCGTTGTGAACTTCATTCCTTAAGGACTTTCTCTCCCGTCTTCACGCTTCACCCCGCGCTTCCCTTTCAACGCGCGACTGACCCATCGTTCACCCCGCGTTCCCTGTCGCCGTCGATCAGGTCGAACACGTTGGAGGAGCTGAAGGACTCGATACGGTGCTGCTCGGACCTTCAAGCGGAGGAGATCGGGCTCCCGCCGACGCGGAACGGGTACTTTTTCATCGAGGGGTGCTTCTACAACGACATGCGCGGGCTCGGGGCGCCGCCGTCGGTGCCGCCGCCGCCGCCGCCGCCGATCGGCCCTGATTTCGCGCGCGAACGCGCCCTCTTTGAAAAGGCGAAAGCCGAGATCATCAAGATCCGCGACAAGCACTTGGGCGACCCGAGCACGTGGGAGCGGCGCCACGGCAGCGCGAACCCCGAGGAGCAGCCGCTCCCGGACCCGAACTTCGTGGAGACCCCGGAGTGGTTGAAGGACAAACCGCGCGCGCCCGGACCTCGAAGCGCGTACCCTGGCGGCGTGCCGTACGTCAAGCCCGAGGGCGGCGTCTTCGATTTGCCGCCGGACCCGCGCGTGCAGCGCCCGATACACAGCTGGACCGGCCCGATCGCGGCCGTGGACTACTCCGAGTCTATCATCGCGCAGCAGAAGAAGCTCGACGAGGAAGCGAACGGCGGTCCTACGCCGACGGTGCCCGGCGCGCGCGATCACGTCCTCGAGGCGTTTCACTCGGGCGCGTTCTATCTCACACTGGTTCCCATACGACCGCGTCGGCGTGGCGAACGCCGTTCCTTAAGGACCTTTCTCTCCCGGCGCATCTCTGCGCCCACCCCTCGCTTTCAATCCCCGACCTCGGCGCCTTTCAACTCCGCTTCTGACGCCTTTCAACTCCACCCCGACGTTCGCTCGTATGGAACGGCCCTCAGCCGCCGTCGCCGAGTACGACAGACTCCTGGACGCGGGGAAGAGCGAGGACGAGGCGATCGTCGAGGCGAGAAAGATTGGCGGCGAGGCGGCGAAGAGAGCCGCGGCGGGGCGGACGCCTCTGTACACCGCGCGGGAGATGCGCGGCGTGACGTTTAACGACCTCTCGCTCGCGTGCGGGAAGCATTACAGCTATCAGCATCAGGGCGACTGCGAGCACGTGATGACGATTCGCGACATCCGGCTCGCGCACGCGGACGACCCGAAGGACCGACACGTGTACCCGCTGCGTATATTCCGCGGACGCCCATTTCGGAGGCGATGCCAGATGTGCGACGTGTTCGACGCGAAGCACGTCACGATCGCGGACGAGCTCGCGCCGTGTTCGCCGTGCTTCTTCTGCGACAAGTGTTTCGAGATTTTGCACTTGGACGAAAACGGACGGCCGGTGTACGCGGAATACACTCGGTATCCGTACCACCACGAGTGAGCGCGCGGTTTGTGTGGCGCGGACACTGGAAGGAAAGAGGGGACCGTGCAGTGCGACGGCGACGAGAGGAAGACAGATTTATTAGCGATCGTTGAAACGACGACACGACGACGACGACGAAAAGACCAAAACAAAAAAACTGACGCGACTTTCTCTCTCCGTCGCGTCGCTCCCCCCTCCCTCGCGTCTCACGTCCCCTCGGACCAGTTCCCGTTGTTATCGATGCGGTTCTTCGTCGCCAGCGGCTGGTGCGGCTTGATGTTGTTCGCCGCGGACGGAAACACCAAGCCAGACCCCAACGCGACGCCGCAGTTCCCGTGTTTGATGTTCGTCCGGCGGTCCGCGCAGCCAAACTGCGAGATGCCCACGAGCATGAGCTTCAGGGTCGTTCCATACAAGCGAATGTCGAGGTGGAGTTGAAAGGCGTCAGGTGGAGTTGAAAGGCGTCGAGGGCGGTGATCGAAATCGAGGGGTGGGCGGAGAGAGACGACGGCAAAAGTCCTTAAGGATCGGCGTTCACCACGCTGACGGGGTCGTATGGGAACCAGTGTATAGAACGCACCTTCATGTCTTCCTCTCGCAGGCCCGTCTTACCGACGAGCTTGCGCTTGATGGAGGACTTCTTCTCGCCGTCCTCGACGTTGACCCCGATGAGCGTCCCTTTCGGACCCCACGAGCCCTTGTGGATCATCTTGACCTCCGTGATGGGCATGGCTACATCGCGGCGAAGGCGAGGGAGGGGCGGGGAGGGGCGGGGGTCGTGAGCGCGAGGCGGAGGGACGACGGAACGCGAGACGACGCGACGCGACCGCGACGGGGGTCCCCCCGGCCGTCGGGGCGTCGAGGTCGCGGCGCGGGATGGGGCGCGCGATTCGCGCGCGCGCCTGCGAGCGATGCGGCGGAGAGGGACGGAAGGCGGCGCGCGCGCGTCGCGTGCGTGCGTGGTGCGTGCGTGCGTGCGTGCGGCGGCGTGCTCGAGGAGGAGCCGAGTGACGTCTCGTCGTCGTCGTCGTCGATACGGTACGCGCGCGTAACGGACGCGCCCGCTCGTCTCCTCCTGACTCGCGCTCGCGTCGAGTACGTGTACGGCGCGTTACGTCGTACGCCTCGATATCGCCGCCGCGCGACGTCGAACCTCGGCGGCGGCGCGGCTGGGGATCGCGGAAGGCGAAGAGGCGCGACGGCTCGGGACCCCTCGAAAAGTTTTCGCGCCAAGCAAACAGAAAGCCAACTCCGACCGCCTCCCCGCTCCGCCGCGATCACACCTCGCGCGCGCGAGAATGGCATGCTCCGCGCGATAGTCACCGCCGCGGGCGCAACGGCAGCGGTGAGACGCGCGGTCGCGACGCTCTCCTCCTCGAGAGCCAGCATCGCGAGCGGCGCGTTTCAGCTCCGACCGCGCGGCATCACGCCGACATCACGGCACCTCGGATCGCAACCTCGGAAGCCCCGCGGTCGTCGCGACGCGATGACGACGACGACGACCGCCGCCGCGTCCACGCCGCGGAAACGCGCGACCGCGACTGCGTCCGCGAACGACGACGAATCAGACGACGACGCGTGGCGCTCCCTCGGCACGCCCGCGAAGGAGCTGCGGTTGGAGAACACGCTCCCGACCGGGCAGTCGTTCCGATGGCGGAAAAACGCGGACGGCGATTACGTCGGCGTGATCGGCCGCCGCGTCGTCTCGATGCGTCAAGACGTCGACGACGTCCTGTACCGCGTGCACTGCCGCGGCGACGACGAGAGCGAAGCCTCGGACGCGGCGGTAATCGCGGAGTACTTCAATATCTCCACGTCGCTCGCGTCGCTGTCCGAGGCGTGGGCGGCGGCGGACGCGCGGTTCGCGAAGCTCGCGCCGCACCTTCCGGGGTGCCGAATGCTGCGGCAGGACCCGGCGGAGTGTCTGTTCTCGTTCATATGCAGCAGCAACAATCACATCTCGAGGATACACGGCATGGTCGAGCGGTTGTGCGCGGCGTACGGCACCAAGTTGGCCCCGGACGAGCGCGTGCGCGGGATGCGGAAGGCGGCGGCGGCGACGCCGACGCCGAAAAAGAAGACGAAGACGAAGACGACGCCGACGACGCCCCGGGAGGACGCGAACGGCGGCGGAGAAGATGGAACGTCAACCGTCACCGAGACAGAGAAGACCGCCGCCGCGCTCGAGCCCGACGACGAGCCCCTGGGCGACTTCTACGCGTTCCCGACGGTCGCGCAGCTCCGGGCCGCGTCCGAGGAGACCCTGCGAGGGATGGGATTCGGGTACAGGGCGAAGTTCATCGCCGGCGCCGTCGCGGCGCTGGTCGCCAAACCGGAAGGTGAGACGGACGGACTGCCCGGCGCATCTCTCCGCCCACTACCCCTCGCTGCTTTCAATCCCGACACACCTCGACGCCTTTCAACTCCACCTGACGCCTTTCAACTCCACCCCGACGTTCGCTCGTATTGAAAGGTCCCGACGCGTACCTGATGAAACTCCGCGCCGCTGAGACGCCGTACCGGGACGCGCGGGCGGCGCTCGCGGAGCTCCCCGGCGTCGGCCCGAAAGTCGCCGCGTGCGTGTGTCTCTTCTCCCTGGACAAGCACGACGCGATCCCCGTGGACACGCACGTGTGGCAGCTCGCGGTGGAGCACTACGTGCCGGCGCTCGCGTCCAAGTCGTTGACGCCGCGGTGAGACTGCTTCCCATACGACCCCGTTCGCGTGGTGCACGCCGTTCCTTGAGGACTTTTCCCGTCGCCACTCTTCACCCGCGCTTCCCTTTCAACGTTTGACCGGCAAGACGTTCGACTGACCGATCGCTTCACCGCCGTTCAGGGTGATGGACGAGGTTGAAGCCGCCATCGTGGCGGTGTTCGGGTCGCACGCGGGCTGGGCGCACAACACGTTGTTCGTCGCGGAGCTCGCTCACGTGCGAGCGGGGCTGCCGGAGGAGTTGCGGACGCCGCCGCGGCCGAAGACGGCGAAGAAAGAGAAGAGAGAGAAGAAGGAGGAGGAGAGCCCCGCGGCGGGAGCGGGGGCGGCGGGGGGCGGCGGCGGAGGAGGCGGCGGAGGAGGCGGGAAGAAAACGAAGAAGAAGAAGAAGAAGAACGCGAAGGAGGAGGAGGAGGACGGACCCGCACCGGTGGCGACGACTGAAACTGAGGGCGACGACGCGTTGGACGGGCTCCTCGCGAGCCCGCAGCCGGGGTCGTTTCGCATCCCGAAGCGTCAAAAGACGGAAGACGCGTAGACGTCCGTCGATTCCAAAAAAATAACAACGCTACGTACTCGTATTTTCACCCGCCGTCTCCGTCCTCGAGGGTGACGCCTTCGAGGAGGACGAGCATCTCGACCAGCGGCGCCACGTGCGCGTGATCTTTCCCTATTACCTTAACTAACCCGCCGTCGCCGTCGCCGCCGCCGCCGTCGCCGCCGTCGTCCGCCGCCGACGCCGCCGCCGACGCGTGAAGCCTCTGACACGCGTACGCGCGTTGGAACCCTTGCAGTCCCAACGCGGCGACGCACTCGCGTCTGAGGGCGATTCCATGCGAAACACGTTCATCGGTCAGTCGAAAGGGGACGCGATCGATCAAATGTACAGTAGAAACCGAGCGGTGGGTGAAACATGTTCGCGTAGAACGCACCTGAGCGCCGCGACGGACGCGGTGTCGCCGTCCCGCGGAGACCCGGACCCGCCGTCGGCGCGCGGTCGTCGTCGGCGCGCGGCGGTCGTCGGCGCGCGGCGCTTCTCGTGCTCGAAGGAGATGACGAACGCCGCGGGGGGCGGGAGGACCGCGCGCGCGGGCGGCGGCGCGGCGGCGGCGGCGGCTCTGTCGTCGTCGTCGTCGTCGTCGTCGTCGTCGTCGTCGTCCATCCCGAGCTGTTCCACGAGCGCGCGCGCGTTCTCCGCTTCCTCCTCCAACGCCCTGAGCTCGAGCTCTTCGTCGTCGTCGTCGTCGTCGTCGTCGTCGTTCAAACTGCTCGCGGTCGGAGGCGCGACGGACGCGGACCTCATCTCGATCCTGCCGTCGTCGCGCTCGCGTCGGTCGACCGACGTCTCCCCGTCGTCGTCGGCGGCGGCGGCGGCGCGGCGGCGCGTCGCGTTCAGCCCTCGCGCCGCCGCCGGATTCGCCGCCACCGGCGCGTCCGTCGGCTGCCGCTTCCGCATCGGCGGCAGCAACACGACCGCGTCCGCGCCGTTCGCGTCCGCCGCGAACGCGGGATTGATCGCGTTCCGATCGAATCTCGGCTTCGCGCGCTCGACCCTTCGCTGATGCTCCCTCCGCGCGCGCGCCTTCTCGTGTTCTCTCTCGGCCCGCTCCGCCTCGCGCGTCTCCTTCGCCTCCGACGCGCGCCGCCGCTTCTCCGCCTGAGGGTCGAGGGTGGAGTTGGAAGACGTCAGAAGCGGAGTTGAAAGGCGTCGCGGGCGGGCGTTGCAAGGAAGGGGTGCGCGGAGAGACACGCCGGGCGAGAAAGTCCTCGAGGAACGGCGTTCGCCGTGCGGACGCGGTCGCGCGGGGACCAGCGTACGGGACGCGCCTGCGCTTCCATCGCCGCGCGGAGGTCGGACTCACGCTTCGCGCGCAGCGCGAGCGCCGCGCGGCGGCGCGCGGCGACCGCGAGCGGCGCCGCGGGGGAGTCGACGTCCTTCGCCCCGCGCGGGGCTCGCCGCCGCCGCCCGTCGTCCCACCGCGGACGCGCCGCTGCCGCCGGCGGCGGCTCGGCCCGGACGCTCGGACGCGCCTCCGGCGCCGTCGCGGGGGTCCCGAGCTCTTCCAGCACCCGCCGCGCCTCCTCCCTCAACGACGACCCGGGAGAACATCCAGGCTCCGCGTCCGCGACGACTCCGCCGTCGTCGCCGCGAGCGCGAGTCGCGCTCGCCCCCCTCGTCGCCAGTCTTGTCAGACACGCGCGCGCCGCGGGCGACCGCAACGCGTCGTCCACGCTCGGCCGTCGCCCCGGCTCGAGCGCGAGCAACGACGTCTGAAGCTCTCGGACGTCTCGACCGAACCTCGCGCGGCTCAGCGGGGTGAAGCGCCCTTTGAGGATGTTCATCACGAGCGCGGGCAGCGACTTGCCCTCGAACGCGTGCGCGCCGTCGTTGCAGAGCTCGTACAGGACGCACCCGAGCGCCCACACGTCTGATGCGGGCCGTTCCATGCAAAATATGTTCATCGGTCAGTTGAAAGGGACCCACGCGATCAAATAATGTAGAAACCAACCGGGCGATGGGTGAAAAACGTTTGCATCGTAGAACGCACCTGACTTCGCGTCGTATCGTCGGCCCATGCACATCTCCGGCGACAGGTAGTACGGCGTGCCGACCACGGTGTTGCAGAACCCCGTCTGCGACGCGAGCACCTTGGAGATGCCGAAATCTCCGAGCTTGACCACGTCCTGGCCGTCCTCGCCCTCGTTCACGAACACGTTCGCGAGCTTCAGGTCTCTGTGGAGAATCCCCTTGCGATGCAGGTGCCGCAGCGCGAGCGCGATTTGCGTGAAGTACGACATCACCTCGTCCTCGGTGAGCGACCCGCCGCCGCCGCATGTAACGCCGCTCCCGGGGACGTTTCTTCCATTGTTACCCCGCATCTTCGCGATCTCCTTGACGCGCTCCCCGAGGTCGCCCCTGGAGACGTACTCCATGACGATCCGCAGCTCGCGAGGTTTCCCATAACCTCCCCTTCCCCCGGAGCCGCCAGATCCGCCGCCGCCGCGCGCGAGCGCCGCCTCGTGGTACCTCACGACGTTCGGGTGACTCAACATCTTCAGGACGTCCACCTCGTTCTTCGTCTCCGCCCTGGACTTGCCGTCCATGGCGCTGATGTCCACCACCTTCACGGCGAACAGCTTCCCGTCGTTTCGTCGCCGCGCGAGGAACACCCTGCCGAAGCTCCCCGCGCCGATCTCGCGGAGAAATTCGTACCGATCGTTAAAGGCGATCTCCGCGTCCGATACGTCCACGTCGTCGTCCGGAACCTCGGCGACGGCGGCGGCGGCGGCGGACGCGGACGCGGGCGCGATTTCGCGCGCGGGGATCGGCGGTAAGACGCCGCCCGCGCCCGCGGCCGCGGCTTCTTCCTCCGCGCGCACGTCGTCCGCGATGCGCTGCCACCCCGTGATCGTCCCGAACGAGCTCTCCGGGGACGCCGTCAGCGAGAGCGACGGGAGCGGCGCCCTCGCGCGGCCGGGAGACGCTTTCGCGTCGTCGTCGGCGACGACGGCGACGTCGTCGCCGCCGCCCGCGGGCCGCGCGAGGGTCGACGCGTCTCCTCGCCGCGGCGGAGGAGCGACCATCTCGGTCGGATCTGCTGTCGACTACACGTCCGCCCCCGCGAGCTCGCTCGCCCCCCCCCGCGGCCCGCGCGATGGAACGACCGCGCCGGCGAGCGCGCGCGTCCGCGAGAGGCTTCCGCGAGAGTCGCGCGCTCGCCGCGGACGCGTCGCGCGACTCCCTCCGTCACTCGATGCGACGCGCGCTCGATGGCATGCGCGGCGACGTCGCGAGCGAGGGAGGGCGCGCGCGCGCGCGGGCGCGAGGACCAAATGCGTGCGACGCCGAGCGTTTCGAGCTTTCGCAAATACGAGCGAGCTGCTGTTCAGCTTCCGACGATTCGCCGAGCTGGGTCAGTTTCGCCATTCTCGCGCGGTACTTTTTCGAGCCTCCAATCGTGACTGAAACGCATACAAAAAGCGCCCGCGAAAACGCGAGCACGCGCCGACCACTCGCGTCCCTGACGTGGGCCCCGCAGATGGGGGAAAGCGCTATCCTCATCAACTTAATCAGAGGCGGCAGGCGTCTTTCTTCATCGGCGGAAGCGTCGACGTCGCGCGCGGCACTGACGACGACGCGAGAGACGTCGCCACGGGGATCACGCGACGGCACTCGACGCCGCGCGGATCGACGCGAACGCGCGCGGCGGACGCGCGCGGCGTCGCGGGGGCTCCGGACAGCGAGCGACGGACGCGCGTCGCGGCGCGGCGAGGAGGGAGCGGGAACGCGAAGAACGGAAAACCGGAGAGGAGCGCTCCGCGGCGACCGACGACGCGTGACGCGGGATGACGACCGTCGTCCCCGGCGTCCCGCCGCTTCGACCGCCCGGGGTCGCGACGCGGCCGCGCGTCGGCCGCCGCGCGCGATCGCGCGCCGCGACCGCGTGGCGCGTCGCGTCCAACCCCGCGGCGCGCCTCGGCGGCGGCGCCCGCGGCGCGCTCGCCGGCGGCGTCCGGCTCTTCGCTGATTCGCGCTCGCGGACGACGTCGTCGCCGCCGCTCGCGTCGACGTCGACGTCGCGCGGGTTCCCGACCGCGCGCGCGTCTCCGCGACGCGAGACGCGAACGCGCGCGATCGGCACGGAGACGAGAGCGGAGACGGAGTGCGCGGACGGGGACGAGAACTGCGTCCCCCCTCCCGGCGCCGTCCCGCTCGACGCGACCGCGACCGACGGCGTCGACGCCGTCGCCGCGGAGGCGCGCGGGACGATGACGCGGAAAACCAACAACGTCGCGTTCGTGGACAAGCTCCGCGTGGACGACGCGACCACGGCGGCGATGAAGAAGCGCAGCGAGGCGTACGCGACGCTGGACGACATCGTCCTGGACTTTGACCCGTCGCTGGACACCGCGCAGAAGCTCCTCCTCATCGGGGGGTACTTCTCGTCCTCCCCGACGGAGGTGGCGACGCGGCTCGCCGAGGTCACCGCCGTCGCCGCGCGCCTGTACGCGGTGTGGACGTGGGAGGAGAAGACCAACGTCCCCGACGGGTCTCGAACCCGCGCGAGCACGCTGCGGGACGGGATCGCGGGGTTGGGCCCGGTGTTCGTGAAGATGGCGCAGGCGCGTTCTGATTCACGCCGGTCCCCGTACGACGGCGTCGGCGTCGTGAACGCCGTTCCTTAAGGACTTCACTTCCCGGCGCATCTCTCCGCCCGCCCCTCGGTTTCAATCCCGACACACCTCGACGCCTTTCAACTCCGCTTCTGACGCCTCTCAACTCCACCCCGACGTTCGCTCGTATGGACAATCACCCTCAGACGCTCTCCACGCGGCCGGACATCATCGGCGACGAAGCCGCGGACGCGCTGAAACCACTGCAGGACCAGATGAAAGCGTTCAGCAGCGATGACGCGTACCGAAACATCCGCAAGGAGTTTAACTGGGACGGCCCGATCGCGCCGGGGGATAAGACGTGGGCGGGGAACCCCGCGGCGAGGACGCTGTACAAGACGTTATCCGCGGAGCCCGTGGCGGCGGCGTCAATCGGACAGGTGTACAAGGGCACGCTGTGGGACGAGGACGCGGACGGGTGGGAGAAGAGGGCAACTGACACTGACGGCGCCGCGATCGACGTCGCGGTGAAGGTGCAGCGGCCGGGGGTTTTGCGTCAGATCGCGCTGGATCTGCACATCGCGCGGCTCGCGTTGATCTGGGTCGAGGAGAGCGGCTTCAACGGCAGCACGGGATTGGCGAACATCGTCGACCGCGTCGGGGCGGGGATCTTCCAGGAGCTGGACTACACCGTGGAGGCGAGGAACGCGGCGGACTTCCGACGGAGCTTGCGGTTCATGGACTTTCTGTTCGTGCCGAGGCACTACGCGAAGTTGACCGGACGACGCGTGCTGACGCAAGAGTGGATCGTCGGAAAGCCGATGAAGGAACTGTCGGACGACGAGCAGTTCCGCATGGTGCAGATGGGCGTCGAGTGCTCGAGCGCGCAGCTGTTCCGCACCGGGCTCGTGCACGCGGACCCGCACGAGGGTAATATGCTGTACACCCCGGAAGGGAAGCTCGCGCTGCTCGACTTTGGGTTGGTGTGCAGAGTGAACAACGCGCAACAAGAGGCGATGGCGGGGTGCATCCTGAACATTTTGAACCGGGACTGGGGCGACCTCATCGATAACCTCCGGATCATCGAGATGCTCCCGGACACGCCGCAGACGTGGGTCAGCGCGACCGGCGCGGAGGGGGACTACACCGGCGGCGAGGGCGGGTGGGAAGACCGCGACGATGAGACGTTTCGCGAGGCGTTCGCCAAGTGCATGGACGGCGACGACCCGGAGAAGGACTTCACCAACTTCACCGAGCTCGTGATGGATCTCACGAAATTGTCGACCGCGTGGCGTTTCCAGCTCCCGCCGTACATGGTGTTCATCATCCGATCGCTCACGACGCTGGACTTCTGCGCGGTGCGGACCGGCGCGAACATGTACGAGCTCGCGGCGCCGACGGCGTTATTCCGCGCGCTCGCGCCCAAAACCAAACGCGGCCGCGAGCAACTCCGAAAGACGCTCATCGCCGCGGACGGCCGCGGCATCGACTGGAAGAAGCTCATCGCGCTCACGGAGACCGCGGGCGGGGACGCGAACGACGTCGCCGCCGCGAGCAGTAGCGGCAACAGTGCGACCGCGACCGGGACTGGGACCGGGACAACCGGGATCGAGGAGGAAGCCGCGAGAGCCGTCGACGAGATGGAGCGACGCGCGGCCAAGGCTGCGGAGAAGACAGCTAACGGCGCGCCGACGCGCGGCGGGTTCGACGAGCACACGCGCGAGAGCGTCTCCAGGCTCGTCACCGAGCTCGTGAGCTCTTCTTCCGGGAGCGCGCTGCGGCGGATCATCGTCCAGGCGTCGCCGGAGAGCCTCGTGCCGCCGGAGGCGCTGCGAAGCACCATCGTCAAGGGCGCCAGGGAGAGCTTCGCCGACGCCGTCGCCGCCGCGAGCCCTCGTAGCGTCTTCGAGACGTTCGTCGCGTTCAGCAAGAGCCTGTGGCGGTTCTTGTTCGATCGCGCGAATCCGGCGGCGAACGGGTACGAGGAGTGCGAGGTGTTCGCGGAGGGGTCGCCGGACGCGTTCAACTGCAGGGTGAACCTCGATAAGCGTCGGCGCGAGATCGCGAGGCTCATGATTCGGTCCAAGCTCTCCGCGCCGAGGGGCGCGCTCAGCGCGGCGTTCATGATGGGGCTCATGGCGTGGGCCGCGGTCACGGGCGCGCTGGTGGGGATGGTTCGGGGGATCCGCAGGCGGTTGGGGGGCGGGGGGAAGAAGGAGGACGCGCCTTCCGCGGCGTGACGGACGACGCGCGAACGCCTACCTAGGGCCCTACGTTGACAGCACCGATTATTTTTACGAGTACAGTACGCTCACGTTGAAAGCTTCAGGGCCATTCCATACAAAAAATGTTCATCGGTCAGTTGAAAGGAGACGCGATCAAGTGTTGAAACCGATCTATGGGTGAAAAACTTTTGTAAGAACGCACCTCATTGAAACGTCGCGTCTCGATCTCGTCGCGTCGTCGTCACTCCGCGCGTCGCCGTCGCGCTCGAGATGGACGCGGACGAACGCCTCGCGCGCGGCGACGCGCTCGTGAAGAGCTTGGAGAAGGCCGGGTGCGCGCACGCGGTCTGTCTCAAGGCGACGCGCGACGCGGGCGTCGGCGTGTTCGCCGCGCGCGACGTCGAGGGCGGCGGCGTCCTCGTGCGATGCCCAGTCGCTCACGCGTGGTACGCGCGCGACGGCGACGAGTTCGACGACGCGATCGACGCCCTGAGGGTGGACGGCGAGCCGCTCGACGCTCGCGAGCGTCTGCAGCTCCATCTCTTGAACGAACGCGCGCGCTCAGACGTCGACAAGGCGCCCGCGTCCGATGAGAATCTCGTCCAAATTTCCCGCGCGCGCTACGTCCTCTCCCTCCCCGGCGCCGAGCTCGTGAACGCGCTCCCGATCGGGTGGTCGGACGAGGACATCGAACGCCGCCTCCGCGGCGACCTCTTATCCCGCACGCGAGCGACGCTGGCGCGCATCCACGCCGTCGCGGACGCGATCGCGAGGTCGCGATCCAAGGCGTTCGGCGACGCCGACGACGCGTTCTTCGTCTTCTCCGTCGACGACCTCAAGTGGGCGCACGCGGTGTTCTGGTCGCGCGCGATGACGCTGCGGTTCCCTAGGAAAGGCTTCACGGGAGGCGGCGACGTCGACGCGCTCGTGCCGCTGGTGGATATGTGCAACCACCGCGCCGGGAGCACGGCGACCCTCGAGATTGTCGAAGACGACGCCGGCGACGCGTTTTACGAGCTTCGCGCGGGCGTCGCGACGAAAGCGGGCGACGAGGTCTTCATCAACTACGGCGCGAAAGGGAACGAAGAGCTGTTGCGGTGCCACGGGTTCGTGATCCCGAACAACCCGTGCGACGTCCTCGCGGTGGATCTCCGAAAGTTGTGGCTGTGGAAGGGCGACGTGCATTGGCGCGGCGACGTCGCGGCGTCGGAGGCGGAGGCGGAGGCGCGTTCTATCTCACACTGGTCCCCGTACGACCGCGTTGGCGTGGTGAACGCCGATCCTTAAGGACTTCACTTCCCGGCGCATCTCTCCGCTGACCTCTCGCTTTCAATCCCGACACACCTCGACGCCTTTCAACTCCATCTGACGCCTTTGAACTCCACCCCGATATCATCGCTCGTGTGGAACGACCCCGAGGCGGCGCTCCGAGAGCGCGACCTGCCGACGCGCGCGTTTCTTCACCGCGCGGTGGACGGCGACGCGTTCGCGCTCCCGGACGCGATGATATCCGCCGCGCGCTCGCGGTACGAGATGGAGGACCCGCGGCCGGGGAGGGAGAAGGACGCGGAGAAGAGGTTGGAACGGCGCGCGTCCGCGGCGATTATTCGACTCGTCGGGGAAATCTTCTCCCTCGTCGGCCGCGGCGACGAAACGGTCGACGTCGAGGCGTTATGCAAGAAGGACTGTTCGGGCATCGAGGCGACGGGCGAGAACGCGGACGTCGCGTGCGCGATCGTCAGGAAGTCTGCGGTGGAGATCTCCAACGCGGCGCTGCGAGCCGCGTTGGTATGGCCGAGCGCGCTCGAGCCCGGGGGGGACCAAGCCGAAGACGCGTCTGAGGCGCGTTCTATACACTGGTCCCCATACGACCGCGTCGGCGTGGTGAACGCCGGTCCTTAAGGACTTTGCCCGGCGTGTCTCTCCTTCCACCCCTCGCTTTCAATCCCCGCCCTCGACGCCTTTCAACTCCAACTGACGCCTTTCAACTCCACCCCGACATTCGCTCGTATAGAACGGCCCTGAGAAGGATAAGAAACGCGCGAGGGAAGACGACGCGTGGGAGAGCGACTGATCGTCTGGACGCGCGGCGCGCGAACGGTGCGGTGGTAGCAGAGGTAGCGTAGACGACGAGGTCGGGGCGACGGGGTGCGCTCGACGAGGACGAGTCGACGGTGGAACTTTTGGATACTCTTTCAGTTTTTAATCAAGAGGGGTATTAAATATCTTATAGACATGTTCGTCGCGGCTGATTCGCCAGCCTTCTTCGGCGGCGACGCGCGCGCGTCCTCCGTTTTCCTCCTCCCTCCGCGTATTATGTAACAAGGGGTACTAACGCATCTCCCCTCAAGCAGCGTTAATCTTCAACCACCTCCGACGACCGCCGCTCAGCGCTTCTTGCTCGGCGTCTTCTTGACCTTCTTGCCGCTCGTCGTCCCGCGGTTGAAGTACCCCGGCGGGGGCACCGGGAGGTACCGCATCGGGTTGAGAAGCCGGAGGAGGTCGATAGTCCAGTTGATCGGCGGGTACAGGAACGGGAACGTGATGATCCTCCACAACGTGCGGCCGACGACGTTGCCGAGCAGCAGACCGATGATCCTCGGAATCTGCGTCACGCGGATCAGGAAGCTTATCGGGAAGAAGACCACCCAAAAGTACACCGCCATGAGCGGCGCGATCACGAAGCGGTTGATCGGGCGCAACACCGGCGAGATAATCCTCATGACGATGTTATACGGAATCTCGAGGATGCTCAGGATGAAGAACAGCACCCACTTGATGAGCAGGTACGGAAGGTCCAGGAGGTTCATCGGGGAGCGGCGGAGGATGGACATTGGGAAGTACTGAAGGTTGTACTTGATGACCAGCGCCGTCGTGTTGCGGTGGTACGCGAAGGACGCGCCCGTGGCGTCCGCCTGCGCGTTCGCGAGCTTCTTCTTGTTCTTCTTCTTGCTGCTGCTGAAGATGCCCATTTTGGCCGGTCTGCGGGGTCGGGGGTGGGGGGGACGCGCGGAGGACGTCAGGGAATTATCGCGTGGGAATTGAGGAGAATTCGAATTCTGAATTGTCGCGCGGGAAAACTTCGCGCGCGGCGCGCAAAGCGGCGCGCGCCGCGCGCGCGCCGCGCCTCGACGCGCAAAGCGGGAAGTCGCGTTCGCGTTCGTTTCGCACCTTTTTACCTTTCTCTTGGTGCGACGCAGAGGTTGCGCTCGAGAGAGTGGCGCGTGGCGGCGCGGCGGACGAGTTAATTTAACGGTTTGCGCCCGAAATTCCCTCGGTTCGTGACTCGAAAATATCCCTGATCCAGTCCAGTCACAGTCCAGTCAGGTGCAGCGAAAATCGCATCGCGGTGGGCATAAAAAAGAGCATCTTCAACGGCGAGCGATCGATTTCATCGAGGAAAAACGCTCGTCGAAACTAACGCGAAATTCTTGACCCTACCGGGGAGCCGTTTCACCGGCCGACCACGCGAGGCTAACAAGAAAAAAGTGCGTCGTCACGCCCTCGTCGGCGAAATGGAAAACCCCGAAATATCACGCGCCGCGCGGCCCATCGCGCGCACAGCGTCCCGCGTCCCGCGGCTCGCGATCGCGCGTTGAGCTTTCGCGCACCGGACGCGCGGCACTCGACGACTCCGGACGTTCGACGCGCGTTTCGCCGCTCGAATCGATCGCGTCGCGAACGATACGACTCCGCGGAATTCACGCCATCGTCGGTGTTTTTTTTTCGCGCTCTTTTCGCGCTCGCGCGTCTCCCGGAGGTCCCGAGACGCGTCGGAGACGCGCGTCGGGGGCGTCGTCGACGTCTTAAAACGGCGAAAACCGCGTCTGAACGCACCGTGAGAACCGCATCGCGTCGATGAGCGCTCGCGCGGCGACGACGTCGAGGAACGCGCCCGCGACGGAGCCGGGATCGCGCGCGATGCGCGCGCCCGCGGACGCCGAGCGCGCGGCATCGGTCGGGCACCGCGAGACGTTCGACGTCGACGCGTTCGCGACCGCGTGCGCGTCCGCGCTCGGGTTCGACGCCGACGCGGTGGAGGACGCGGTGGAGATCCTGATGGAATGCGCGCCCACGCTCGTGGAGAAGAACGTCGTCGCGATCGACGCGTCGTTCGTGCGTCCCCGCCCGCGCGCATCCCCCATCTTTTCGCGTTGTTTTTTCTATCCTTTTTTTGCCGCCAAAAGCGCCTCCAGCCCAGATCGCGCGTCCCCGCTCGCGTCGCTCGACGCTGACTCGACCACCCTCCCCGGCGTCTCCTTCGCTTCACAGAGACCGAACGAATGGCACGCGTGCGCGGCGTTCGTCGCCGCGGGCGTGCGCCGAGCCGCGGACGAAGCGGACGGAGGCTCCGCGAAAAAGAATGCGTCGACGCGCGGCGCGAAGAAGCCGCCGCCGTCGTCGCCGTCGTCGATCGAAGAAGACGCCTCGAAGCGATCGCTGACGCGCGTGCTCACGACGTTCGACGTGAACTGCGTGGACTTCTTCAGGGCGCTGAGGAAGTTCATGATGGCGAACGCGACGGCGCTGCACGCGCGCGTGAAGCGGTCGTCGTCCGCCGGCGCGAAAGGGACGTCCGCGTCGGCGTCCAAGTCGCCGAGATCCGCGAAGTCGTCGTCCCCGATGGGATCCCCGATGGGATCCCCGAACGCGAAGAACGCGCGCGGAGTCGACGGCGCGTCGAACCCCGCCGGCGAGGGACTGAATCAGCTCGAGGCGGATCTGTCCGTGAGCGAACTACGCACCTCGTTCGCGTTTACGCGCGTCGTCGCGCAAAAGTACAAGCTCTTCCTCGACCTGCACTTTGACCGCGCGGCCCCCGGCGGCGCCGACCTCGCGAGGCTCGGGTGGAGTCTGTTCCTCGCCGCGAAGCACGCGATGCTGCCGAAGTTCCCGGACCTGTACAGCCTGTACCACCTCCTCGTCGTCGTCCAGGCGTTCGTTCTCGTCAACGCGCCGCCGCGGCTGTTGCGAACGTCGCTCGTGAACATGGTGTCCATGTCTGAAAAAGACGCCGACGGGAAGCTCGACGCGCTCGCGTCGTTGTCGGTGTCGTCCAAGACGAAGATCGATCAGCTGCGGGACATGCTGAAGGACTTCGAGCGGGACGTCGTCCAGGGCGAAGCGTTCGCGGCTGACTTCGCGAGGCTCTCGGCGGCGAATTCGGCGGCGAGCCCGGGGAGAGCGCCCGGGATGAAACGCAGCCCGGCGCGAGGCGCCGCGACCGCCGCGACCGCCGCCGCCGCCGCGACCGTGAAACTACTGAAACCCTCGCCGCCGGCGTCGATGTCCGCGAGCGGCCCGAGCCGGTTCCTCGGTCTGATCCCCGACACACACGCAAAGGGCGACGACGCGGCGGTTCAAGCGCTGAAGACGGCGGCGGCGGCGGCCAAGGCGACGTACGAACGCGCGGCGACGGAACTCGGCCACCTGAGCCTCGACGAACAGCTGTACCTCGCGAACGACGCGGACGAGGAGAGCGCGGCGACGAAGGTGCTCGGCGACACGAGCAAAGCGCCGAAGACGGGCGGCAGCGGCGGCGTCGCCGCGACCCCCGGGCCCGGCGGCGTCGTCGCCGCGACGCCGTGGCGCGGCGCCGGCGCCGTGAGCTCGCTGCTCGGACCGTCGCCGATGCGGTTGGGCGCCGGCGTCGGCGCGACGCCGTTCCGCGGCGGCGCGGGCGGCGGCGGCGGCGGCGGCGGTTCGATCCCCGGCGGCGGCGCGAGCGGTCTCGGCGGGATCGGCGGCGTCCCCGGCGGCAGGATCTCCGGGCCCGGCGCGGTGCCGTTCACGCCCATCTCCGAGGCGATGGCGTCGGCGTCGTGGCTGCACGGCGTCGTGTCGCCGCGGAAGCGGTTAAACGCGTCGGGCGCGGACGCGCACGACCCGGTCGTGCGCCTGTCTCGATTCGTCTCCGTCGACGTCGCGAAGAAGCTCATGGCGAGCGTGACGGTGCTCGCGGGGAAGACGTCCGCGGCGCTGCGGGAGGATGCCTTTCTCGTCGCCGTCAACGGCGTCGCCGCGGCGCGGGCGGTTGTTACGGCGTCGCCCGGGGACGCGACGGCGGCGACCAACGCGTCGCTGGACAGCCTCGTGAAGCGACGGCAAGAGGAAGCCGTGAAAGTGTTCGCGTACTTCATGGTGCGCATACTCGAGAACGAGCACAAGCGGAACGCGCACGTGGCAGGTGGGAAGAGACGCGCGGTGGACGAGGCGAAGAAGGCGGCGACGACCGCGGCGGCCACGGTGGCCGCCGGCGGCGCGCCTTCTTCGCGAGGAGCGCACTCCAAGAGCCTCCAAAAATCCAAAGACGACCTACACGACGCGCACGGCTCCGTCGCGGACATCGCCGCGCTCGCGGCGGAGCAGAGCCCCCCGGACACGCCCGCGGGGCTCATCATCGTCCCGGACCCGACGCCGACGCAGAAGCTCGCGTTCGAGTCGCTGCTCGGGTCGAGTCGATTCGTCCGAAGCGTCCTCTCGTGCGCCGCGGAGGTTGTCGTCGCGTCCTACAAGACGGCGACGTTGAAATTCCCCGCGATACCGACGCTGCTCGGGCTCGACGCGTTCGACGTCTCGAACGTGATCGAGCCGTTCGTCAGGGCGGACGCGACGATGCCGCGCGAGATCAAGAAGCACTTCAACGCGATCGAGGAGAAGATCATGGAGCACATGGCGTGGCGAAGAGGGAGCACGCTGCTGTCGTTTATGATCGCCGCGGAGACGGGCGCGCCGGCGCCGCGCCCCGCGGCTGCCGCGCTCGCCGCCGTGAGCAAGCAATCCGGCGCGACGGAACGCGGCTCTATGGCGTCGAAATCCCCCGCCAGCGGCGGGGTGAAGAGAGAGCGGAGCGAGAGCTTCTCCGTCGCCGCGGTGGCGGAGGAAGCCGAGGACGACGACGGCGGCGGCGGCGGCGGCGCCGCCGCCGCCGACGACGCGCGCGCGTCGCCGCCGCGACTCTCGAACCCGGACGCGATCAACGCGTTCTCGACGCCGCTGCGCGGGGCGACGACCCCGGCGCGCCCGTCTCTGCGGTCGATCAAACCGAGGGACGCGTCGGGCGCGACGACCGTGGTCACCATTTCGGGACCGGGCGCGCTCGATCGCGACAAGCCCCTGCCGACGAAGTTCACGCGAGAAAAACCCCCGGGCGCCGCCGGCGACGTCACCGCGCGAAACTCCCTGCGGATCTTCTTCGCGAAGGTGATGCGCCTCAGCGCGCGCAGGCTCGCGGACTTGTGCGACCGCCTGTCGTTGCCGTCGTCGCTCACGCAGCAGGCGTACTCGCTCGTGGAGCACGCGCTGTACGACAACACCTCTCTGCTGTACAACAGGCACCTCGACCAGATTATCCTGTGCGCCGTGTACGGAACGTGCAAGGTGAACAAAGACGGCGCGCTCAAGGGAAAGACGGTGCCGTTCCGCGACATCATCTACCACTACCAGAAGCAGCCGCAGTGCCGCGAGGAGGTGTTCTGGACCGTCGTGATGTCGCAGTCGGACCCGGAGCTGGAGGTGATCACGCAGGGGGACATCATCGCGTTTTACAACAAGGTGTTCGTCCCGGCGGTGAAGCAATTTTTGCTGTCGCTGAAACCGCAGGCCCGGGTGTCGTGCCACGAGACGCAGGAGACCGCCGGCGCGGACGCCGCGACATCCCCGCCCGCGTCATCCGCGCAACTCCCCGTCGGGCTCCAGTCCCCGCGGAAGCAGCTCACCGCGGTCGGGACGGGCCCCGCGGGCGTGATCAACCGGAACGTGTACGTGTCGCCGATGCGCGGCGGCGCCGCGGCCAGAGCCGACCTCCACGCGGGCGGCTCGGTCGGTCCGTCGCCGTCGCCCGGCGGGGTGCCGTACGTGGGCGCCCCGGGGACCCCGCTCCCGCTCGGGGCGATGACCCCCGGGTCCAAGTCGCTGTTCGCGTTCGTCGGCGAGAGCACGCACGCGTACGCGTCGCCGGCGCAGGACTTGGCGTTCATCAACCAGAGAGTCGCGGCGGCGGCGGCGGCGGATGCGGGGGCGGGGGGCGTGGCGTCCGTCGCGGAGGCTGCGGAGGCTGCGCGCGCGGCGCCGCCCGCCGCGGTCGGGCAGACGCGCCGGGCGCCGACGTTCGACGAAGCGGACGACGGGCGGCCGCCGAAAGCGGCGCGGCGGTGATCGTAGAGCTTAGCATCGCGCGAGAGTGGGTACATACGACGCGCGCACTTGTTAGCTGTAAAGAAATTGAGAAAAATGCTGGGACAGCGCGATTCCGACGACGAAATAATGGTCAGTTTACGTCCAAGTATCCAACAGCCTACACGCGGTCAGTCAAGACATTTCCTTTGAACTGTTTGGTGCGGAGCGCGAAGGGATTTGCGAAGGGATTTTCGGCGGAAATCCCTTCGCTATGAGGTTGAAAGGGATCGCGATCAAAGTTGAAACCAACGGGTGGGTGAAAAACGTTTGATAGTTTCAAAAAAAATTCAGCGTAGCGACCGACCGACCGTTCATTTTCTTACGTACCCCCGACAGCTGTCGCGCGCTCGCATTCACTTCTCGCGCGCCACGCGACGCGATGGAGGTTGAACCGCTCGCCATGACGCGCCGAGAGGCCGTCGAGGCAAACGTGCGCGAGGACGCGCGCGAAGTCCAGCCGCGGCGGTTCGAGATCGTCTTACGGTGCGCGCGCGCGACTCGCGCCCCGCGGACGAAATCTCGCGACGCCGATTTCGCGCGTCTCGCGACCCGTGCATTTCTCGGAAAACGCTTCGTGACGCGCGTCGCGGACGCGTCGCCGCCGTTCACACCGCGCCTCACGCGCGGCGTTCGCGCTCGCATCGCGCTGAACATCCTTCAAAACTCTCCCTCGACGCGCAGGAAACCTCTCGCGATGCGCAACCCGAACGTTCCCGCGAACGGCGGCGGCGCGTTCAAGTCCGCGTTCAAGACGCCGAAATTGCCAACGAGCGACGCCGTCGCGTCCTCCCCCGGAGGCACGACGCGCCGCGTCTCCTTCAAGTCGTCCATGGCCACGGGCGCGGTGACGTTCGGCGACGCGATGGACATCGGCACCCCCACCGCGAAGAAGGAACGCTCAAAACCCCCGCGCGTGACCCACCGCCGCGGAATGATGCGCACGCGCCCGGGCACCGGTCGACGCGTCGCCGCGCGGACCTTCTCCCTCGTCCTCAAGACGGTGCCCACGAGCATGCGAAAAGAGGGCGAGATCTACGCGGACCCGGCGCCGCCGCCTTCCGCGGTGACGTTAAGGGGCTCCTTGGACGGCTCCGCGAGCGGCGTCGCCGCGGGCTCGGGCGGCTCCGGCGCGTCGTTCGACGGCGCGTTCGGACTCACGGGGGGGAACGCGAACGCGACACAAAGCGGCAGCGTCGAGCAAGGCGGCGCGTTCGCGGAAGCGCGAAGGCGCGGCGTGTCGTTCGGCACGGAACCGGAACCGCCGCTTAACGATGTCGGCCCTCCTGGCGGGTTCGGAGGAGATGAGATGGACGACGGCGACTTTGGCGGCGACGGCGGCGGGTACGACGGCGACGATTGGGGCGAGCGGACGCCCGCGGCGTTTAACTACCATCATCACGCGAGCGGGACGCTCGTGGACGGGTACAACGATCCGATGACGGTCGACGGCAAGGGCTTCTTCGGGCGGAAGCGGAAGTTCATCGGCCCGCGGAAGCCGGCCGGGACGCCGCACAAGCGCGAGCGGAAGGAGTTTTCGCGACGGAAGTCGCTCGTCGCCGCCGGGTCGCGGCACGACTTGGAGCATATCGACGGGCGACCGATTCGCCGGTCGACGCGGCAGCGGTGCAAACCGCTGGAGTACTGGCGCGGGGAGACGAAGCACTACACGCGCACGCACGCGTCGTTGCCCACGGTGGAGGAGGTGACGACGCGGACGCCGAACCCGTACTGGCCGATGAAGACGCCCGCGGAGAACCACCGCGCCGGGGGCGGGAAACGCGGGCGGATGGATTCGGCGAAAGGTACATAAGGACACTGGTCCCCATACGACCGCGTTGGCGTGGTGAACGCCGATCCTTAAGGACTTTGCCCGTCGCATCTCTCCGCCCACCCCTCGCTTTCAATACCCGCCATCGACGCCTTTCAACTCCAACTGACGCCTTTCAACTCCACCCCGCCATTCGCTTGTCTTACGTGATCGATCGAAAGCCGCGGAGGAGGCGCGGCTGCGCGCGCTGCAGCTCGCGAACATCGCGCACCTGACCGACTCCGAGGACGACGACGGCGACGACGACGACGACGTCCACGCGAACGACCGGTCGCTCGTCGTCATCGACGAGTCCATGGAACGAGAGGCGGAGGAGGAGGAGGCGACGGCGGAGGAGGACGTCGCTCTTCTCGTCGAGGAGGAGGAGGAGGCGACGGCGGCGGCGATCGACGCGGACGCGGAGGCGGCGCTGGACGCGGAGGAGATGGCCATCGTCCCGGTCGATGAGGATGACGCGGACGAGGACGCGGACGCGGCGGCGGCGCCGACGGAGGATGTCCTGATGCTCGAAGACGCGCCGGCGAAGGAGGCGGCGGAGGAGGCGCCCGACGAAGAGGACGACGAGGAGACCGCCGCGGACGACGACGAGCCGTCGGAGCTGGACGTCACCGCGGAGGTCGTCGCCGCGCCGGCGACGACGCCCGCGCCGCCGGCGTCCACGGGGCTGCGACGATCGTCCCGCCGGGCTGCGACGGGCGGGTCGCCTCCGGACGCGGCGGCGGCGGTGGCGACGACGACGACGCCGGCGGCGACGCCGGCGCCGCGGTCGACGACGAGACGGTCCGCGAGGAGGGCGAACGCGTCGCCGGAGACCGCGGTCGAGCCCGCCGCGGTCGAGACGGAGACGGCGGAAGCGCCGGCGGCGGAGGAGGAAGGAGAGGAGACGGAGACGGAGACGGAGAAGGAATCTGAGGTGCGTTCTATACACTGGTCCCCATACGACCGCGTTGGCGATGTGGACGCCGATCCTTAAGGACTTTGCCCGTCGTCTCTCTCCGCACACCCCTCCCTTTCAATACCCGCCCTCGGCGCCTTTCAAATCCAACTGACGCCTTTCAACTCCACCCCGACTTTCGCTTGTATAGAACGGCCCTGACGCCGCGGAGGAGCGGCTCGTCGAGGCCGAGGCGGCGGTCGAGGAGGCGCCCGTCGAAGCGCCCGAGCCGCCCGCGCCGACGGTCACGACGCGTCGATCCACGCGCCGTGCCGTCGTCGGCGACGACGACGTCACCGAGGAGATCCCGAAGGCGCCCGCCGCCGCGGAGGCGGAGGCGGAGGCGGAGGCGGAGGCGGATGAAAACGACGCGGCGGCGGCGAACGCGTCGGACGTCACCGTCGAGGTCGCCGCGGAGACGCGACGGTCGTCGCGGAGGAAGGGGAACTCCGCGCCCTCGCCGCCGGTGGAGGAAGAGGCGACGACGCGGCGGTCGTCGCGACGCTCGAAGGAGGACACGCCGTGAGCGTTCGACGATCGACGGACGGCCGCCGGCGAGGGCGGGGTCGGAGAGGACGACGAGGCGTCCGTTCGCTCCGTCGTTCGCCGAACGGAACGGAACGCGACGCGACGCGCTCGTAACATACTTTGACACGTACTACATATGATGGAGGTTAACCTACGTACCTACGCTAAATAAACGAATCGAACCGAACCGCGCGCGTCGTTCTTCACGCCGTCGCGTCCGCGGCGACGGCGCGGCTCCGGATCACGCGCGTGAGCTCCGCGCCGAGCTCGGTGAGCCGAAACCTCGCGCTCGCTTCCCCGGCGCGCGCCGCGTCGCCGTCGCCGTCGCCCGGCGGCGGCAGCATCCTCCCCGTCCGATGCGTCGCCGTGATCAACCCGTGGACGTCCGACGCGACCCCCGATGGGAGCGCTTCGACGCGCGCGACGACGTCCGCGTCCGACGTCAACCGGCGCAGCCACCCGCCCGACTCGATCGCTTCCCCGCCCGCGGCGTCCGCGTGCGCCAGCGCGACGACGGCGACGCCCGAGTCGTGCGCGAGCAGCGATCGGACCATCGCGTGGACGCGGCCTCTCGAGGTGACGGGCGCGCGGGTTCGATCCCCGCGGCGACCGCGGCGGCGCTCGAGGGATTCTTCCGCCTCCGCGATGGCGTCGACGCCGTCGAAGACGACGACCCTGGACGCCGCCGCCGCCGACGACGACGACGACGACGACGACGCGCCTCCGTCTTCGTCGCCGGCGCCGTCGTTCAGCCCCAGCGCGCGCGCGATCTGCTCGTACACGTCCTTCGCCGGGCTGCTCTCGTCGATCACCGCGTCGCCGTCGCCGTCGCCGTCGCCGCCGCGCGCGCGTGTTGTTGCCCATCCCGGGGTCGAATCGTGCGCGTCCACGACGACGAGCTTCCCGTCCTTCACGTCCGCTCTCAGGTTCCTCCCCCACTTCCGCATCGCGTTCGCGTGATGCGCGACGCACCGCTCCGAGGTCACGAGGCACGTCTTCCATTCGCCGCCGCCGCCGCCGCCGTCGGCGGCGTCGGCGGCGGCGCGCGCGGCGTCCGACGCGGCGAGCGCGCGTCGAAGGAAGTGGCTCACGACGAATTCCGCGCTCGTCTCCACCGTGTCCGTCACCAGCACGAGCGCGCCGCGCGGGAGGACGTCGCCGCGCACGCCGAGCGCGGCGTCCACGTTCATGATTGCTGCGACCGACCACGCCGAGAGAAGAAGACGCGCCGCCCGCGACGATCTGTTCGGTCGCCCGCCGCCGCGGCGCGCGTCGAGCAATGCCGACACGATAAATCATTCTGTGTTAGATCCGAAGCGATCTGAGTCGTCTGGCATCAGTTCTCGCCGCGCGCCGCACGCGATGTGCCGCCTGTGCCGCGCGCGCGGCGTCGGCGGGCCGTTCGCGCTCGTGGAAAACGACCCGCCGTCGTCGTCGCACGTCGACGACGACGCGTTCGTGCCGTGCCGCGTCGCGCGTTCCGTCCTCGCGGAGGCGTCGCCGCATCACCATCGATCTCATCGTCGCGTCGACGCGCCCGGATCCGCCGCGCGCGTCGCGCGCGTCGTCGTCGGCGCCGGCGTCGCCGGCGCGTGCGCCGCGGAGGAACTCTGCCGCCTCGCCCCCGACGACGACGTCGTCCTCGTCGCCGCGACCGACGCGGTGAAGGCGGTCCTCGACGTCGAGCGCGTGACGCGGCGTCTGTCCGTCGTGAACGTGGTCGAGCGGCCGATCGATAGCGCGCTGGCGTACGAGAACATCCGCGTCGCGCGCGGCGTCGTGACCGGGATGGACCCCGCGGCGCGGACGCTGACGCTGAAGCTGAAGCGCGCGCCGCCGACGAGCGGAGATGAGAGAGACGCGAGACGCGAGGGCGAGGGCGAGGGCGAGGGCGACGAAGAGACGACGCTGCGGTACGACCAATTATTCGTCTGCGTCGGCGCGGCGCCCGTCGTCCCGGAGGCGTGCCGCGGAGACGTCGCCGCGTCGGTGACGCGGACGGTCCGCGACGTCGAGGACGTGACCGGGCTGTGCGACGCGCTGCGACGCGCGAGGCGGGCGCTGCTCGTCGGGAACGGCGGCATAGCGATGGAGATCGTGGGCGCGCTCTGCGGCGGCGACGGCGGCGGCGGCGGCGGCGGCGGCGACGACGACGCGCCCGCCTCCGACGCGCCGCCGCCGCGCGAGTTGGTCTGGGCGCATCGGCACTCCACCGTGGGGGATTCGTTCTTCGATCGCGACGCGGGCGCGTTCTTGATGGGACTGTTGTCCCGGGGCGGGACGAGGCGCGACGGCCGAAGCCGCGGCGGGAACGCCGCGGAGAAGACGAGGAAGCGGCGGCGGCGGGGAAAAGACGACGGCGACGGCGAAGACGAAGACGCCGCCGGCGTCGTGGAAGGTGGAACGTCAACCGTCGGCGGCGGCGCGACAGGGCCGAGCTGGGTGAAGACGATGACGTCGGCCCTCGAGTCCGGGACGCGCGAGCCGTTCGCGCTGCGTCCGCGTCCGGACGTCGAGCTTCGCGCCGTGGAAGCCGCCGGCGACGACGACGACGACGCGGACGGGTTCGCCGCCGTCGCGGTCCTCTCCGACGGCGAACGCGTCCCCGTGGACCTCATCATCGTCGCCGCGGGCGTGGACCCGGCGCCGCGCGTCGCGTTTCTCCCGCGCGACGTCTACGCGAGAGGCGACGACGGCGGCGTCGAAGGTGCGTTCTATCTCACACTGGTTCCCATACGACCGCGTTCGCGCGGTGAACGCCGATCCTTAAGGACTTTGCCCGGCGACTCTCTCCGCCCACCCCTCGGTTTCAATCCCCGTCCTCGATGCCTTTCAACTCCAACTGACGTCTATGAATTCCACCCCGCCATCGCCTATGAACTCCACCCCACCAGTCGACGCGTGCTTCCGCGCGAAGCGCGCGGCGGCGGCGGGCGGCGGCGTCGACCCGCGCGTCTTCGTCGCCGGCGACGCCGCGTGCGCGACCGACCGCACCTCCGACCCCTCCACGCGCTGGCACCAGACGCGTCTGTGGTCGCAGGCGAGGCACGCGGGGACGTTCGCGGCGAGAGTAGCGACCGACCACGCGGACGAGGACGCGTTCGGGTTCAACTACGAGCTCTTCACGCACGTCACGTCGTTTTTCGGTCTCAAGGCGCGACCGGTTCCCGTACGAAAACGCGAGATCTTACGATGCATTCGCTGACGCACGCTCGACCACACGCTTTGACACGTATTCACACGTTCAACCAATCACACGCACGAATGACTGACACTTGTCTGCCCTCGACCGACCGAATGAATCGCTCTCCAGACGATCTTGCTCGGATCCTACAACGCGCAGACGCTGGAGGGCGAACCGGAAGAAGACGTCGTGATGTACGTCAGGCAGACGTACGACCCCGCGCCGTGTTTCATTCGGGTGTTGCTGCTCCGGGGGCGGATGATGGGCGCGGTGTTGATCGGGGACACCGGCGGTCTGGAGGAGACGTTCGAGAACCTCATCTTGGACCGCATAGATTTGAGCCGATGGGGGCCGGCGCTGCTGGACCCGGAGTTCGACGTCGAGGACTTCTTCGATTAGATACGAGAGATGTAGGAACAGACGACGACGCGACGCGAGACCGTCGCCGTGTTTTTGTCGCGGCGTACTATGAGAATTTAAAATTAAAAGAATTACTGAACTACTGCAGTCGATCGGCCCCTCTCAATGCGAGAGGTCCGACCCCGATGAATCGCGCGCGCGTCGTCTTGTGTCGTAAAAAATCGTCGTCCCTTCGCTCGTTTAGAGCGTGGACGCGAAGACCGCGGCGCGCTCGGCAGCCTCGAACGCCTTCGCGCACGCAGCCTCATCCGGAGCACCAGTGCACTGAGCCTCCATCGCCTTGAGCGCGCCCTCCTTGCCCATCTCGAGCACCTCGTCCGCGGGGATGAGGTTGAGGCCGTTGACGAGCTCCTGCGCGACCATGCCGGAGATGGCAACCATCGCGACGCGGCCGTTGTTGATCTCCTTGAGCTTCATGTCGTTGAGCCACGCCTCGTCCTTGCCCTTGGAGAGCTTGAGCGGGTCGAAGTTGTAGTCGCCCGGGGTGTAGTCGTCCTTGAGGAGGAAGAGCTTCTCCGCGTCGAAGGGGTTCTGCCACGCGTACTGGACGCGGGACGCCTCGACGGTGAAGATGGCGGCGCCGAGGAGACCCCAGAAGAGGCCGGGCACCTGCTGGAAGTGGTTGATGGCCGGGCCGGTGACGTTGGAGTCGAAGAGGAAGGAGGAGCCCTCGACCTGCTCGCCGACGAGGAAGCCGAGAGACGCGAGCATGCAGATGCGCGCGTGCGTGATCTCGACGTCCGCGTAGCGCTTCGCCTCGCCCTCGGAGATGCCGTTGAAGAAGCCGAACGCGTCGATGCCCTCGGGGAAGGGCGCGGTGCCGCGGACGAGGCCGGCCTTGACGGCGGCTGCGGAGGGGAGGGATGAGGATGAGGAGGAGGATGGGGGGGCGGGATTCGTCAGAGGACGCGGCGGGGGAAGGGCATCGCGAGGAAGAGGAGCGCGTGAAGACGTTTGACGTCACGTCATCGAGGAAGGATTCAGAAATCGAGCGTCGACGCACCGCCGAGGTCCTTGTACGTCTTGGACTGGGACGTCTTGACCTTGCCGGTCGTCGCCGCCTTGGCGACGATGTTCATAGCGCAGATGGCAGCCATTTTTGTTGGAAGGTGGGGGGTGTGTGTGCGGGCGGGTGGAGGTGCGCGTGCGTGTTGTGAGCAGGAAACGCGTGCGAAAGTTCTGTTCTTTCTCGAATCGTCGGATTTCACGGTCCTCGTTCGTTTCCGTAATCCGGTGCTCGTGGCGCGGAGGCATTTCGCTGCCAGCTGGCGCGAAAAGTGCAAATACGTGTCCGAGATTTGTTTTTTGTCGACGTGGCCGCGCGAGCGTGCGAGTTTCGCAAATTCGCAGTGTGTGACTCGCGCGAAAACCAAAAAAATGCCGCGATGAAACGAAACGAGGTGAAAGGAGCTTGAAAGGGAAGTCGGTCAGTCGACCGCGACGACGACGCCGCGCGCGCTTTCAGCCGACGACGGTTCGGACGATTCGAGCGGAGCGACGCAGAGTTCGGGTACGTGTACTGTTGATTTTTTCCAGACTAAAAAGTCACATGCCCGGATGCGTGATGTTTGGCAAGGGCGTCCGGCCGCGCGGGCGAGAGGAAGGAGGGAGACTCGCGAAACTCTCGTCGGGGGCGGCATCTTGATAAAGTTTCATCTTCATCATCAACGCCGCCAAAAAACCTACGTCCGCCGCCGTCCCCCCGCGCCGCTCCCTCCCCTCCGCGCGGGCGCGATGGTAAAGAATCCCTCCCACTACTCCTCCCCCGCGACAAAAGTCTCTCTCCTCCGACCGATCGCGATCGATCGATCAGTGCGGCTTGGGCACGAACCCGTCCACGGCGAAGTTCCGCGTCGCCCTCGGGAGCGACAGACGCAAGCCGTCGATCTCTTTCGCGGCGATGACCTGGCACCCCAACCGCGACGTCTCCGTCAACCCGAACGCGAGGTCGAGCATGTCGTTCTCGTCGTCGTCCGGCTCCGGCAGCGCGTCGTAGACCTTCTCGTCCTCGATGATCACGTGACACGTCGAGCACGCGAGGGAGCCCTGTCGATGGGTCGGGGTGGAGTTCAAAGGCGTCAGAAGCGGAGTCGAAAGGCGTCGAGGTGTGTCGGGATAGAAAGCGAGGACTGGGCGGAGAGACACGCCGAGAAAAGTCCTTAAGGAACGGCGTTCACCACGCCGACGCGGTCGTATGGGGACCAGTGTACAGAACGCACCTCGCACGCGCCCTCGAGCTCGATGTCGTTCTTGTGCGCCACCTCGAGCATGCTCTGTCCGATCGGCGCCTGACGAGGACGGAGAGGATAGAGTGGAGGGAGGGGAGGGAGGGAGGGAGTGAGCGTCGGTCGGGGTGGGCGTCGCACGGCGCGCGGCGAGGCGGGTCGCGATCGATCGATCGATGGATGGATCGATCGCGGTGAGACTGCTTCCCATACGACCCCGTTCGCGATGTGAACGCCGTTTCTTAAGGACTTTCCCCGTCCGTCGTCACTCTTCACCCGAGCTTCCCTTTCAACGTTTGTTTGACCGGTGAGACGTTCGACTGACCGACGCGTTCCCGATCGCTTCGCCCAGGACGCGATGGAGAGCATCGAGGTCGGCAGCTTCGACGGCGTGTGCGCGGCGTCGCTGGCCGAGGGGAGAGTCCGATCGAGCGCCGCGCGCGGACCTTCACTTTCGTCTCCGTGCCGTCCTTCTCGATGAACGTGACGTCTATCGTCTCCGCGTTCGGATCGTCCTTCCCGTGACCGTGCATGAGCGCGCTCGAGCCGCCGACGAACCCGCGGACCGAGGTCGACGCGGACTCCATCGAACCCCACCGCGACCCTCGCCAGCGAGTGCCGATCCCCCCGCCCGCCCCCTCGCCGGCGCGTCGCGCGCTCGACGCCGCCGCGTCGCGAGCCACCGCGCGCCGCGCCGCCGCGGCGATCGCGGTCGTCGCGCCTCTGCGCATCGTTCGCGCGTCGTCGCGTCTGACGTCGAGGTCCGCGGGCGGGTGCCCTCTGCCGCCGCGGGGACCTGACGGGAGGGAGGAGACCGGCCGCGGGCGGGGACTCTGCGACTTCGCCTCAGGCGCGTTCAAGACAAACGTTTTTCACCCACCGCTCAGTTTCAACATTTGATCGCGTCCCTTTCAACTGACCGATGCGTATGGATTGGCCCTGAGCGCACTGCTGCGAGATCGGGGATTTCCGAAGGTTCTGTTCGTCAGGGCGACGCCCGCGGGAATTGGGCCAAACGGGCGGTCGCGCGAGGCGACGGGCCACGGTCGTTCGCCGCGCGATGACCGCGATCGTGCGAACGTCCCTCACGGGGCTGCTCAAGGATGCGGCTCTCCTCGAGAAGGCGCGTCCGCGTCTCGAACCCGCGCCGATCGCAGCGTCGCGCGACGCGAATTGACGCGCGGCGAAATCGCCAATTGTAACATCACGAATTCGTTGATCCGCCTCTGCTGTCCCCGTCCGTCCGTCCCTCGCTCACGTCCTCCTCCTCCTCCTCCCTCCCTCCCTCCCTCCCCCATCGCACACTCAGTCCCTCGGCGGCGCGGACAAGTCCTCGCGCGCGACGCTCGAAGACGCGCGCCGGATCCTCGGCGTCGCGATGGATCCTCAGCAGTACGACCTCAGGTACGTTCTATACACTGGTCCCCATACGACCCCGATGGCGTGGTGAACGCCGATCCTTAAGGATTTTGCCCGTCGTTTCTCTCCGCCCACCCCTCGCTTTCAATCCCCGACCTCGACGTCTTTCAACTTCAACTGACGCCGTTGAACACCACCCCGTCTTCGCTTTGTATGGAATGGCCCTCAGCGGCCTCGACGTCGGCGGCGCGCGCGCGTCCTCGCCGATGCACAGGCAGTCCCTACGCCGACTCCTGTCACCCTCCCTCGGCGCGCCGGAGTCGCCGCACGCGCACGCCAAGCCATGGCTCGAGGAGACGAAGATTGCGCGCTCGACCAAGCCAAAGTTCGACGAGCTCAAGACGGAGACGGCGCGCGCGATGTTCGATCGGTACGACGCCGACGACAGCGGGTCGCTCGAGTACGAGGAAGTCGCGTTCGCGCTCGCGGACATGGGCGCGCTGGACAGCGTCCTCGCGTCCGCGGCGTCGGACATCCTCGCGGAGTTTGACAGCGACGGCGACGGGAAGATCAACTTTGACGAGTTCAAGGTTATGGTTAAAAAGATAAAGGCGCTCACGACCGCGGGCGGGTCGCGCTCTCTGAAAAAGATCGTCGCCGTCCCGGACGGATACAAAGACAGCGACGGCGCGTTGCCCGTCAAGAGCGCGTTCGAGGGGTACGTCTCCATGGGCAAGGGGAACGACTACCTCAGCAGCAAGGACTGGAACCGCATGGTGAAGGCGTGCGGCCTCGTCGGCGGGTTGGTGAACGGAACGAGCGCGGATATCGTCTTCGCCAAGTCGTGCACGTACGGCAAAAAGGTTTTAGAGTGGGACGACGGTTCTTTTCTGGACGCGCTCGCGAACCTCGCGACGGAGCACAAGGTGACGTTCGGGCAGGTGGCGACGCGCGTTGCGCAGTGCGCGCCCGTGGGCTCGCCGAAGTTGAAGCCCAAGGCGAAGCCGAAGGCGAAGAAGAAGGCGGCGTTCGCCGCGGAGACGATCAGGGCGATGTTCGATCGCTACGACGCCGACGGCAGCGGGACGCTGGAGCTCACGGAAGTCGGCTTCGCGCTCGCGGACCTCGGGGTCATGGAAGACGTCCTCGCGACGCAAGCCGCGGAGCTGTTCGAGGAGTTTGACGACGACGACAGCGGAGGGTTGGACGTCGACGAGTTCGAGAAACTCATCCAACGCGTGGAAGAGCTCAAAGAACACCTGCGGACGACGGGCGGGACGAAGAAGAAGAACGTCGCCGTGCCGGAGGGGTACTCGGACAGCGACGCGGCGCTGCCGCTCAAGTCCGCGTACGAGGGGTTCGTCGTCAAGGGCGCGAACAAAGACTCTCTCGGGAGCGTCGACTTTCGAAAGATGTGCAAAGCGTGCGGCCTCGTCGGCGGGCAAGTCTCCGCGAACGCCGCGGACCTGTGCTTCTCGAAGACCGCGCCGACGCAGTTCAAGTCGCTCTCCTGGGACGACGGCAGCTTCCTCAGAGCCCTCGCGCTGTTGGCGACGGAGCACAGAGTCACGTTCGGGCAGGTGGCGAGTCGCGTCGCGTCGTGCGCGCCCGCGGGGTCGCCCAAGCTGACCCCAACGAATAAGGTGCGTTCTATACACTGGTCCCCATACGACCGCGTTGGCGTGGTGAACGCCGATCCTTAAGGACTTTTCCCGGCGCATCTCTCCGCTCATCCCTCGCTTTCAATACCCGCCCTCGGCGCCTTTCAACTCCATCTGACGCCTTTGAACTCCACCCCGACATTCGCTCGTATGGAACGACCCTAAGACGAAGAAGATCGAGCCGATCGTGTTCCCCCCGGAGACGATCATGGCGATGTTCGACCGGTACGACGTCGATCGCTCCGGCGCGCTGGAGCTCACGGAGGTTGGGTACGCGCTGCACGATCTGAACGTCATGGACGGCGTGTTGACGTCGGACGTCGCGGCGTTGTTCAAGGAGTACGACGAGGACGGCAACGGCGATCTCGACTTTCACGAGTTTGAGAAACTCGTCGCGCGGATCAACGCCCAGCGCGGGACCGCGACGAAGAAGAAGCTCATCGTGGAGGTGCCCGAGGGGTTCGCGTCCAGCGGCGCGGCCGCGGCGCTCAAGGCGCGGTTCGAGGAGTACGCCACGGAGAAGGCGCACACGACGGCGTTCGGCGTCGCGACGCGATCGGAGCTCTCCATTCAAATCTACGAGTGGAGCAGGCTCGTGAAATCGTGCGGGCTGATCGGCGGCGAGGTGACGCGCACGACCGCGGACTTGATCTTCTGCAGGATCGCGCCCACGGGGAGCCACAAGGACGTGCGCGCCGCGCAGGGGTTCTTGCGGTGGGGCGACGGGACGTTTCTCAACGCGCTCGCGGCCATCGCGACGGAGCACCGGGTGACGTTCGGTCAGGTGGCGAAGCGCGTCGAGCAGTGCGCGCCGAAGCTTCTGAAGAAGAAGAAGGTGGCGGACAACAAGAAAGTCGTCCCGGAGAAGCTCGAGACGACCAAGTCGCAGTACAGGGCGGTCGAGAAGGAGTCCATCGAGGACATGTTCCGCCGGTACGACGTCGACCGCAACGGCGAGCTCGACCTCGGGGAGGCGACGACGGCGCTGGGCGACCTCGGCGTCCTCGAGGGCGTCCTCGCGTCCGCGGCCGCGGAGCTGTTCGACGAGTTCGACGTCGACGGCGACGGGACCGTGGGTCTGGACGAGTTCGAGCGGCTCGTGGCGAAGGTGTCGACGCTCAGAGGGAGCCTGGACGCGGCGCCGAAGGCTTCGGTGCCGGAGGGTTTCGCGACCACCGCGGGCGCGCTCGCGTTGCGCGCGTCGTTCGAGGCGTTCGCTCTGTACGGGAAGGGCTCGAACCCGGACCCGATGTACAAGGAGATGCTATCGTCGCGGGATTACATGAAGATGATGGTCGACTGCGGGCTCATCGGCGGCGCGGTGACGACGACGGTGGTGGATCTGATATTCACGCGTCTCACCGTCGCCAAACAGAAAGATTTGCGCGCCGCGCGCGTGCGTTGGGACGACGGCTCGTTCTTCGAAGCGCTCGCGGCGGTCGCGGTCGAGCACAAGGCGACGTTCGGGCAGGTGGTGTCGCGCGTGTCGCAGTGCCGCCCGCAGTCGAACGTCAAGGAGGACTTCAAGATCACCGGCGCGGCGGACGGCAAGAAGGAACGCGTCGCCGCGGCGTCGGCGCTCGACGCGGCGCAGCAAGCCAACGGCCCGGCGCCGCCGCCCGAAGCGCTGACGGAGGCGAACCTGCTCCACATCTTCAACAAGTACGCGGAGGAGTACCAGACCGGGGACGTGTTAACTCCCGTGGACGCGCTCCACGCGTTCGCGGACGTGGGGCTGCTGCGGCGCATGCCGCTGGAGGTGTCGCAGACGGCGGTCACCAACGCCATCGCGGACACCGCGGCGAACGGCGGCGCGGACGCGCGCGTCGCGTTCGCGCCCTTCTTGGCGTCCGCGCGTGACCTCGCCGCGGCGCGACCGCTCACGAAGTACGCCCCCCCGGGCATGGACGTGCGCGCGGGGGAGTCCGTCGCGGAGATGCATCTGCAGATTGGCCAACGCGAGGCGCTGTTCGCGGCGTTCAGGTGCGTTCTATACACTGGTCCCCATACGACCGCGTCGGCGAGGTGGACGCCGATCCTTAAGGACTTTGCCCGGCGCATCTCTTTGCCCACACCTCGCGTTCAATCCCGACACACCTCGACGCCTTTCAACTCCGCTTCTGACGCCTTTCAACTCCACCCCGACGTTCGCTCGTATGGAACGACCCTCAGGGCATTCGGCGGCGGCCCCCGCGGCATGACGCCTTCGGATTGGAACGGTCTCGTGAACGCGTGCGGGCTCATCGGCACGAAGCTCTCCGAGGCGTCCGCGGCGGTCGTCTTCGCGAAGTGCAAGCAGGGCGCGGGGTTGGGCGTCATGGCGCCCAAGGCGATGAGCTTCGAGGGGTTCGTGCAGGCGTGCGCGCACGTCGCGCAGGAGTACGACGTCGCGTTCGACGTCGTCGCTCAGCGCGTCGTCAAGTGCGCGCCGGAGGTGCGTTCTATACACTGGTCCCCATACGACCGCGTTCGCGTGGTGAACGCCGATCCTTAAGGACTTTTGCCGTCGCCTCTCTCCGCCCACCCCTCGCTTTCAATCCCCGCCCTCGACGCCTTTGAACGCCAACTGACGCCTTTGAACTTCACCCCGACGTTCGCTCGTATGGAACGACCCTGAGACTCCGAAGAATGGGTCTGATGAGATAACCGCGGAGGACGCCGTCGCGGACGCGGCCGCCGGCGGGGACGTCGCCGCGAGCGCGACGATGGCGAGCGCGGTCGCGGCGAAGACGGGCGGCGTCCCGACGACGGCGGAGGAAGCCGCCGACCGCGACCCGGACGACGTGCCCATTCTCCCCGTGCCCGTGAGCGTCCCGTCCGAGATGCGAGACGACGCGCCGTTGCGCGCGGCGTTCGCCATGTTCGCGACGCACGACCGGGAGGACGTCCACCCGGAGATGGATCTCGAGGGGTGGGCCGCGCTCGTGCGAGGGTGCGGGCTCATCGGCGGCGAGGTGACGGAGGATTTGGCGCGGGAGATTTGGTCGCAGGTGGTGTTCGGCGTGCCAGGCGCGCCGCTGGACACGGCGCACGGGCGGATGCGGTGGGGGAATTTTTTGCCCGCGTGCGCCGTCGTCGCCAAGGCGCACGGGGTCATCTTCGAGGTGGTCGCCTCGAGGCTCACCGCCGTCGCCGCGCGGCAGGAGGCGGCCGCGTACGAGGCGCGGCGGGAGGCGGAGGCGAGCGGGAGGATCGGGACGTCGCTTCGCGACGACGGCGGTCTCGTGGAGAAGGCGGCGTCGCAGCGGAGCGTCCGGAAGCTCGACAGCATGTTCAAGGAGGAGAGCTCGAGGAGCAAGAAGGAGGCGAAAGCCGCCGCGAAGGCGGCGGCGAAGGCGGAGAAGGAGGCGAAGAAGGCTGCGAAGAAGGCTGCCAAGGGGAAGTGATGAGTATCTATTAATTAAGACGCGCCATCGGGGGAGGAGGGGGAATGTTGTGGTCGCCAGGGTGGCGCGGTCGGGTCGGGTCTTCTCTCGCGGACGCGTTTCTATTTAAAAATATTTTAACAACGGGTCGACGACCACCGGATGTATCATCATACGATACGTTACGTTATCATCGCGTGGTATATATCACCGTCGTTCACGACGAACGACGGGAAACCGCTAGCTCGCCTCTCGTCGTGCTCGTTTTTTCTTTGGGGCGGGGTTCGGTCGGTCGTGGGTTCACCGCTTCCCCTCGTCGCCGTCCCCCGGTGCCGCGACGTCGTCCGATACAACTTTTCCGTCGGACGCGGCGGCGTCTTTCTCGTCGTCGTCTTTCTCGTCGTCGTCTTTCTCGTCGTCGTCGTCCGCGCCCGCCGCGTCTTCTGTTTTTTTTCCAATCGCCTCCTCGACGCTCCGTTTCACCGCGGCTCTTTGTAACACCTCCTTCGCGGCGGTTATCATCGCCTCGACCTTCCCCCCGTCGTCCGCGGTCGCCGCCTCCCCGAACTTCTCCGACGTCTCTTCCAAGTACCCGCTCAGCTCCTCGATCGCCTCTTCCATTCGGTTCATCAGAAACAAACAGATCCCGCCGTCCCGCCGGTTGAACAGCCGCACGCGCTCGTCCGGGGAGCAGTGATTCTGGTACGCGATGATCAGCAGCGCTTCCTCGTACATGTCCTCGTTGAAGTAAATCTGCTTCAAGTTTGTCAACACCCGCGTGAAGAACGACCGCGGTTTCACCTCGTTGTCGTTGAAGAACGATCGATCGATCGTCAGCTTCTCGCTCTCCCCCATCGTGTAATACGTCTTCAGCATGTCCTCGACGTCCTCCACGAACACCAGCTCGCCGCCTTTGAAACAATCCACGAGCACCTCCATGTCCTCCACGACGGGCCGGATCATGAAGTGCGCGGGAAGGTTCACGCCAACCATCGGGACGCCCACGCGCCGCGCGAGCTTCATCAGGGTCGAGGGTCCATTCAAAGCGATGATATCGGGGTGGAGTTCAAAGGCGTCAGAAGCGGAGTTGAAAGGCAACGAACGCGGTGTGTCGGGACTGTGAGCGAGGGGTAATGGGCGGAGAGATGCGCCGGGCGAAGTGAAGTCCTTAAGGATCGGCGTTCACCACGCCGACGCCGTCGTATGGGGACCAGTGTAATAAATAATATGAACGCACCTCCATGTACACGAGCGACAGCGTGATCGGTATGCCCTTCCTCCGCGCGAGCACCTCGTCCAGGCACGAGTTCCGAGGGTCGTAGAACTCCTCTTGGTTCCCCTCGAACCCCAACGTCTCGAACATGTACCGCGAGATGGCCTTGAGCGTCCGCAGCGGGAACCGTTCTTCTTTCGGCGGCAGGAGTTTCTCGAGCTCCGCCGCGAGCTCGTCCAGCTCCTCCACCGCGTCCTCCACGCGCGATTCGTCCGGTCGTCGGTGCATCGCGACGTACATCGCGGCTCGCACGAAGTCGATCTCGGCGTCGGGCTTGGACATCTCCTCCGCGAAGAGCATCTCGCCTCTGCGGCGCGCGGCGACGAGCGTGAAGAGGTCGTCGAGCTCGCCGAGGATGATCCTGGTGTCATCATCATCCGCGTTTTCCGCGTCGTCGTCGTCCGCCGCGGCCGACCGCTTCTGTTGGGAGGCGCGCCCACCGCCCCCTCGCGTCGTCGTCGTCGTCGTCGATCGCGGCTCGCTCCAGCGACGGCGCCGCGGCGGGGCGCGATGCCCGGGGCCCCGGCGGGACGACGACGACGACGTCGTCGCCGAAGACGTCGTCGTCGCCGAAGAGAGCGAAGAAGACGCGCCGTGGAGGCCCGACCTTCTCGACGCCGCGGACGCCGTCGTTCTTCTTCGCGCGGCGCTGGGAGCGACCGCCGACGTCGCGGACGCGGCGGTGAGCGTCATGACGTGCGCGCGCGCGCCGCTCGCCGCCGCGCGCGCGTCTCTGTCGTCGGCGGGGCGATCGATCGGATCGATCGATATCCGCGATCGCCGGCGAGCTGCGGGGGTCCTCCCTCGGGCCGCTGTCAGCTGTCAGCTGCGAGCAGCCACATATTTCTAAATTTCCGCGTTTCCGGCATCTGATGCTCGCCTCCGCGTTAACACGCGGTCAGTGGGTAGCTCAACGCGTTAAACGACCATTCGGACCGGCAGCCCCGGTTCGCTCAGTGCCGCCTGATTAGCTCAGTCGGCAGAGCGCAAGACTCTTAATCTTGTGGTCAAGGGTTCGAGCCCCTTATCAGGCACTGTTCTTTTTGCTCCCGCGCGCGCGGACGTCTCGACGGAGGGCGTCATGGCGGGCGGGGCGAGCTTGGAGGGGGCGGACGCCGAACACCTCATCGCGTTCGGGCTCGTCATGGGTGCGACGTCGTCGACCGTTTGGATTAATTAATTTAATCCTTTTCTCATCGTCGTCGTCGCCCAACTAACAACGATCCGTCAACACGCAGGCGCGCTGCACGTGCTCATGGGCGCGGACCACCTCATCGCGCTCGCGGTCGTCACCTCCCCGGACGTGGACGACACCGCGAGAATTCGGACCGGATTTGGAGGGGAGGAGGATCCGACGACGTCCGCGGAACACACGACGCGCGACGTCGAGTCGTCGTCGTCGTCGTCGTCCGGCGTCGGCACCCCACCGACCCCCCCGCCGCCGTCCATCTCCGGCGCCGTCTCCACGACAACAACGACGCGACGCCACGCCCTGAAATCCTTCCTCCTCGGCCTAAGGTGGGGATTCGGGCACTCCCTCGGCCTCGCGCTCGTGTGCGTCGTCTTCTTCGCGACGAAGCGCGCGGCGAACCTGGACGCGATCGGCGACGTCGCGGACAAGCTGGTGGGCGCGTCGATGATCGTGTTGGGCGTCTGGGCGCTGTACGCATTGCATCGGTGGCGCGAGCGGCGTTTGAGAGAGGCTGCGCACGTCGCGGACGACGACGCGACGGGGGTTGGGGACGCGGGGATTCATCGTCCCTTTCCGCCGGTAGCAGCAGCGCGGCCCGAAGGCGACGGATTCCACGGATTCCACGGCGACGGCGCGGTCCGTCGGACGGATCTCGATCTCACGCGCGGCCCGTCGCTCCTCGGCGCGCTCGTGCTCGAGGCTGGCAGCGCGGAGCACGCGGCCGCGCACGATTTGCATCTCCCGCACGTGCATCTCCCGCGTCGCCATCGTCACGAGCAGCCGCATCGCGACGACGAGAAAGGCGACGACGAGAAAGGGCCTACCTGTAGAGGGAAAGAAGAGAGAGGGCGGCGGCGTCTTCGCGACGTCGCCGCGGCGTCAGGTGCGTTCTATACACTGGTTCCCATACGACCGCGTTGGCGTGGTGAACGCCGATCCTTAAGGATTTTTCCCGGCGTCTCTCTCCGCCCATCCCTTGCGTTCAATCCCCGCCCTCGGCGCCTTTCAACTCCACCTGACGCCTTTCAACTCCACCCCGACGTTCGCTTGTATAGAACGCCCCTCATCGGCGCGCGCGGAGGACGTCGCCGTGGAGGTCGAGGACGCCGACGCCGCCGACGCCGCCGCCGACGCCGACGCCGACGCCGCGAAGCGAGCCGCGAGAGAGCGATGGACGTTCGGCGTCGGCGTCGTCCACGGCGTCGCCGGTCCGAGCGGCGTTCTCGCGGTGTTGCCCGCGGTGGTTCTCTCCGACGAGGGGAAGGCGGCGACGTATCTGATCGCGTTTCTGTGCGCGTCGACGCTCGCGATGGCCGCGTTCGCGGCCGGGTTCGGCGCGCTGACGCAACGCGCGGTGCTGGCAGCGGCGAAGGAGGATGAGGAGGAGGAGGGGGCGAAGGAGGCGGCGGCGGGGGCGGAGGAGGGTTGCGGGGACGGCGGCGACGGAGGCGCGTCGACGTCGCCGCCGCCGCCGCCGCCGCCGCGCGTCTCGAGGGCGACCGATCGAGCGACGAGGATCGCGATGGGGTTGAACCTCTTCGCGGGGTGCCTCGCGATCGCGATCGGCGTGACGTGGATCACGCTGAGTAGTTTAGGGCTGCTAGGCGACCTGTGACGGACGTTCGCGGGGGTACTGTACGTAGATCGTTTCGTTTCGTTCAGTTAAGCCGTCGGCGTCGGCGCTGCGAGCGACGATTTTATTTTTGGTTGAGTTTTTTTGGTTTTATCAAAACCCACCGACCGCGACTGTTCCGCTCCGAGGCGTTTCCGGGACGCCGCGACGTTTCCTTGGACGCCGCGACGCCGTGCCACATCGATGCGTCCGGTGAAAGCACGAGGGTGGGGTCAACGCTAGTCGTCGGCAGGGTCAAAAGAGAGAAAGGAGGGGCTGTGAGGCGTCCGCGGCCGTCGCGACACTTCACGCGCCGCGCCGCGCCGCCGCGTCCGTCGACCCGCATGCACGCCCCGCTCGCGCTCGCGTGCGATCGCTCGCTCCTCGCGGCGCCGCGCGCGTCGCGCGTCCGCGCGACGACCGCGTCCGCGCGCGCGGGACGCGCGCCGCCTCACCGGAGGAGAGCGCCTCCGACGTCGACGTTTATATACTCCTCCTCCTCCTCCTCCTCCTCCTCCTCCTCGCGCGCGATAAACTTATCGCCCTCGACGGCGACGACGCGCGCGATCGTCGCGTCTTCGAGATCCATCGCGCGTCGCCCCGCGGTCCTCGCGCGCGTCGCCGCGCGCGCGTCGTCCGACGACGACCGCGGCGGCGGCGCGCGCGGCGGACGGAGAAGCGCGAACGGCTTCGAGGCGCGCGGTGAGCACCGCAACGGCGACTGCGTCCTTCGCGACCGCGACGCGGTCGCGCGGTCGTCGCTGGCGACGGACGACGCCAAGGAGGACGCGAAGGAGGACGTCGAGAAGAAGAAGAAGACGGCCGTCGGAGGGACGGCGCTCGACGACGGAGACGTCGCGCCCGCGCGGCAGCCGCGCCAGCGCGCGCCGGACCACCTCGCGACCACGTTAGGCGCGTTCTATACACTGGTTCCCATACGACCCCGTTCTCGTGGTGAACGCCGATCCTTAAGGACTTTTGCCGGCGCATCTCTCCGCCCACCCCTCGGTTTCAACGCCCGCCCTCGGCGCCTTTCAACTCCACCTGACGCCTTTCAACTCCACCCCGACATTCGATTGTATAGAACGGCCCTCAAACACGTTCGACGACGGCGCCGATCTCCGCCGCCGCGACGCCCCCGTCTCGCTGAGAGACGCCGACGCCGACGCCGACGCCGCGGACTCGCGATGGCCCGCGCTCGGGGAGACGTCCTGGGAGTTCACGGAGCCCGGCGTCATGGGGCGTGGAGGCGCGCTCGGGCCGCTGCTGTCGCCGCCGTGGCGCGTGATGCTGCTGTCCGACGGCAGCGTGACGCGTCACCTGCAGCTGCTCACGGACGGGAAGGTGAGCGCGGAGGCGGAGACGCCGGTCCCCGTACGACCGTATCACACTGGTTCCCATACGACCGCGTCGGCGTGGTGAACGCCGATCCTTAAGGACTTTCGCCGTCGTCTCTCTCCGCCCACGCCCTAGGTTTCAATCCCGACACACCTCCCTCGACGCCTTTCGACTCCGCTTCTGACGCCTTTCAACTCCGCCCCGAAGGTGAACGTGGAAGTTCTGCGGCAACGGCTCGTCGCCGTCGACGACGTCGCCGCGGACGCCGCCGTGCCCGCGGACGTCCTCAGAGCGCTCACGGGCGCGGGCGCGGGCGCGGGCGCGGGCGCCGCCGACGACGAGAGGCGGCTCCTCCAGCGCGAGGTGGACCTGTGCCGCGGCGCGGACGGCGTCCCGCTCGTGTACGCGTCGTCGTGGTGGACGATCGACGCGGCGAAGCGATTCAACATCCTTCAGGCGCGAATCCATCCGCCCGCGTTTCACCCGTGTTTCACCCGCCCGCCGATCGGTTTCGACGTTCGATCGATCGTGTCACTCGCGTTCAAATGACCGATGAACGAACGAACGAACTTCATTTCTACCCTGGAATGAATCGCCCTCTACACTCTCGTCAAGCAGAGCGACGGCGGGGCGTCCGAACGCGCGGTGTGGATGAACCTGAGCGATAAGCGGACGGAGCTCTTCCGCGAAGTTCGACGGATGTACCTCGGCGACAGCGTCGCGTTAGAAAACGCGTGGGGGGTGAGAGGGCCGTTCTGGGCGAGACACTACATCTTCTGGGCGGGTAACCGCCCTCTGTGCGTGATATACGAGGTGTTCTCCCCGACGCTGGAGGCGTATTTAGGTGCGTTCTATACAAAAGTTTTTCACCCATCACTCGGTTTCAACACTTGATCGCGCCCCCTTTCAACTGACCGGTGAACCGTTTTTGTATGGAATGGCCCTTAGGCGAGCGGGACGGCGAACGCGGACCCGCGGGGGGGGCGGGCGTCGACGCCGCCGCCGCCGCCGCCGTCGCGAGGTCGTCGTCGAAGTGACGAGGGGACGCGCGATGTGATGGACGTGTACATAAGAAACGTACGACGTACGATCGTCATCATCAATCACTCATCGGCGTGTGTCATGCATGACATCGCTACGACGCTACGCTCGGTCTCTTTTAGTTCTTCGTTCCGTCGCTTCTACTCCGCGGGCGCGACGACGGGCGCCAGCCTCGCGTCCCGCCCCGCCGCCGCCGCCTCTCGCGCGCTCGCGCCTGCGCGCTCCCTCCGGTCGCGCGTCGTCGCGACCCCCATCGCCACGCGCAGCGTCAACACGCACGCGAGCGCGCACAGAAGTATCCCCGCGACGACCAAGTCTTTGTTCCGACGCAAGACGCCGACGATCTCGTCAATCTTCTCTCCGCGCGCCTCGATCGCGACGCGCAGAGCGAGCCTCCAGAGCGCCATCTTCGCGGGCGCCCACGCGTGCGGATCCGTCGTCAGGACCATGTCGTAGTACCGCTTCGCGAGGTGCAAATCTTTCGGTAAACCGACCCCCGTCTCGTGCATCGACCCGAGGTTAAACATCGCCTGCGCGCTCCTGTGCGCGCTCGCTTGCTGGTACACCGCCGCGGCTTTCTTCGCGTCTCGCTTCACGCCGCGGCCGTACCAGTACGCGTCTCCGATCCGCAGAAGCGACCGGACGTTGCCTTGATCCGCGGCGAGGCGGTGATAATGTAACGCCCGCTCGAGACGCGTTTCCGGGTCAAACCCGGCTTCCTCGTACCACTCCCCCGCGCGCTCCAGCACGTGCGCGGCGTTCGCCATCGCCGCCTCGATCCCGAGGTCCGCGGCTTTGGAGTACAGCAGCAACGCCGCCCTGAGGTTCTTCTTCGTGTACAACGCGTGCGCGTTCTCGATGTCCTTGACCCACGGTCCCTTCTCCGCGATCGACTTCAGAAGCGTCGTCGCGGCGTCGCACGACGGCGAAATCCCTATTCCGGCGAGCTGCATCATCGCGAGGTTATACGTCGCGGGGACGTGCCCGCGCGCGGCGGCGACGCTGAACGACGCGACCGCTTTCGCCGCGTCCTTCTCTCCGCCGACGCCGCGCGCGCGCATCGCGCCCAGCAAAAAGTTGGCGTCCGAGCTCCCTTGCTCCCCGGCTTGGGTCAGGTACTGCGCAGCCTTTTTCACGTCTCGCTCCACGCCGAACCCGGCGAGATGCATGTATCCCAACCCGTACCGCGCGTGCGCGCTGCCGTCCTCCGCGGCTTTCTTAAACAGCGACATCGCCGTCTCGTTGCACGGCCTCACGCCCACCCCGTTCGCGTGCATGTGCCCCAAGTGCGCGGTCGCGTCCGCGTCCCCGGCGGCGGCGGCTTGCGCGAAGTATCGAAACGCCGCCTTGTGGTCCCGCGTCATGCCCTTCGCGCCGTGGTGCAGCAACCGCCCCACCGCCGCCGCCGCGTTCGCGTTCCCCAAAGCCGCGCTGTACTGATAGTACTGCACGACGTCCTGCTCTCTCGCTCTCGCGCTGGGCCACGACGCGTCCGTCTCGACGCTGCGAGGGCGACGCCGAAGCAAAGAAGTGTTGTATCCATCGGCGGTCAGTCAGTTGAAAGGGGACGACGCGATCAAAGTTGAGTCGACGCCGGGAGAAACGCGGGTGAAACGCGCGCGTATTCATAGACTACTGTACACACAACGCGCCTGAGCCTGTGCTTCTCCACCGACGGCGAGATCCCCGGCACCGCCGCGTCGACGCTCTCGACCACCTTCTCCGCGGCTGGGTTGTAATACAGCGCCGCGGCGCGGCACGACTTCGGGACGCCGACGCCCCTGGCGTGTCGGTGCGCGAGCGCCATCTGACCTCTCGGGTCGCCGCCGAGAGCGGCGAAATAATGATGCAGAAGCGCGCGAGGGACGTCGATTTCGCGTCCGCCCCATCCCACGCCGTGGATGAACCCGAGCTCGGCGTGCGCGGCCGCGTCGCCCACCTCCGCGGCGCGATTGAAGAGCTCGAACGCGGCGTCGTCGTCGGGGAGCCCGCCGTCGACGCCGTCGCCGAGCTGATGTCGCCGCCCGAGCTGCGTCAACGACGGCCCGTGCGCTGAGGGGCGTTCCGTACGAGCGAACGTCGGGGTGGAGTTGAAAGGCGTCAGAAGCGGAGTTGAAAGGCGTCGAGGGAGGTGTGTCGGGATTGAAACCGAGGGGTGGGCGGAGAGAAACGACCGCCGGGAGAGAAAGTCCTTAAGGAACGGCGTTCACCACGCCGACGCGGTCGTACGGGGACCAGTGTGAGATAGAACGCGCCTGGGTCCGACGCCAGCGCGTCGCGGAGCAGCGCCACCGCGGTACGCGTCGTCCGCGGGGAGGTACCGTCCGAGGCGGCGAGGAGCGCCATCGCGTCGTCGTAGTACACGTCCGCGGCCGTCCGCGGAAGGCGCTTCGCCGCGGCGTCCGACGCCTCCGCCTCCGCGGCTAAGCGCTGCGCCTCCCACCCGGAATCCTCCGTCGGGTCCTCGGGCGCGTCGTCGCGGAGCAAGCCTTGCCTTCGCAACGTCGCGACCGCGGTCTTCCACGCCGCGTTCGGGAGGACGTTCGCGGAGACGAACGCCGCGTGCGACGCGAGGAAGACGAGCGTCGCGAGGAGGAGGACGAGCGCGCGCGACGGCGTCGCGCGCGGCGACCGCATCGCGCGAGATCCTCTGGCGCGCGACGAGACGTCCTTCTTTTCGACAATTCGGTGCGCGCGCGTCGAGTTGACGTGTTCTCGCCAATCACGACAGGCGCGTTCAATAAAAGTTTTTCACCCACAACTCGGTTTCAATATTTGATCGCGTCCCCTTTCAACAAACCGATGAACTTTTTTAATCGGGGCCCCAATTATTTAATTCATAGTCTCTTCAGTCCGCTCTCGCGCACCACCTACTCTCGTCGGCTCCCTCCAGCCTCGCCTCCTCCCAACCTCTCCACGACGTCGTTCACCTCCCTCGACAGCTCCTCCCACTTCCCGAAGCTCAGCTCCGCGCCCAACACCTGCACGAGCGCGGTCCCCACGACGCACCCGGCGACGCAGCACGCCTGCACGCTCCCGCCCCTCGGGGTCGTTCCGTACGAGCGAATAACGTCATCGAGGCGGAGTCGAAAGGCGTCAGAAGCGGAGTTGAAAGGCGTCGAGGCGCGTCGGGATCGAAACCTAGAAGTGGGCGGAGAAAGACAAACACCGGGAGAGAAAGTCCATAAGGAACGGCGTTCACCACGCCGACGCGGTCGTACGGGAACCAGTGCGCGGGATAGAACGCACCTCAAATACGCGGTCAAAAACCCCGCGGTGAACGAGTCGCCCGCGCCGGTGGTATCAACGACGGGCACGCGCACCGCGGGGGCGACGCCCTTCGCGCCGTCCTTGGCGCGCGCGACGCACCCGCGCGCGCCCAGCGACACGCACGCGACGGCGCAGTGCTGAAGCATCCACGAGAGCGCCTTATCCGCGTCGGAGCGGTTAAAGAAGTTTTCGTCATCGCCTCGGTCGACGCGTTCATCCGCTGCGCCGCCGCCGCCGCCGACGCCGAGCGCGGACGCGCCGACGAGCTCCCTCGCCTCGTCCTCGTTCGCGAACAGCAAGTCCACGAGCCCACTCTCCAGGACCTCGATCAGCGTCGCGCGGCAGTTTCGAACCACCTCAGGGTCGTTCCATACGAAGCGACGTCGGGGTGGAGTTGAAAGGCGTCAGAAGCGGAGTTGAAAGGCGTCGAGGTGTGTCGGGATTGAAAGCGAGGAATGCGCGGAGAGACACGCCGGCAAAAGTCCTTAAGAAACGGCATTCACCACGCCGACGGGGTCGTATGGGGACCAGTGTATGGGACGCGCCTCGAACGACGCGAGGTCCAACGACACGAGCAGGCCCCTCGCCTTGGCCGCTCGCGTCGCCGCGAGACACAACTCTGGCCGGTACAACGCGTACCCCTCCACGTGTAACAGCGCCGCGCCGGTCAGCGCTTCGTCGGTCGGGAAGTCGCTCGCGGACATCCGCAACGACGCGCCGAGGTAGGTTCGCATGGTGCGCTGGCCGTCGCGCTCGACCAAGGAGATGCACCGCGCGCTTCCGAGGGATCTTTCGCCGCCGCTCTCGTCGTCGTCTTCGCACTCGAGGAGGATGGGAGAAACGTTCTGCGACGCGAGGAGCGCGCGATACCGCGCGCCGGTCTCGTCTTTCCCGATCATCCCCACGAACGACGCGGCGCCGCCCAAGTTCGCGATGCCCTTCATGACGTTCGCCGCGGACCCGCCCGGGCAACACTCCGGCGTCGCGACCGAGACGGACGCGGACGCGCCGTCGTCGCCGTCGTCGCCGCTAAAGTCGACCCACTCGCCGCCGCACACGGCGAGCAACCGCGCGATGTCCTCGTCCGCGTCCACGGGGAGGCACCCGCCGGGCTCCGCGATCCCGCACGCGGCGAACACGCGCTTCGCGTACGACGGCTCGTCCAGGCGAACGAGGACGTCGCTCACGGGATCGCCCAGGCCCACGACGCGCTTGACAGCTCCATCGGACGACGCCTCCGCCATCGCCGTCGCCCTCGAGGACGACGCCGCGGGGTTCCGCGGTCGGTTCGCGACGAGAGAGGACGCGCCCGGTCGCGATGGAGACCCGACGACTGGCGAGACGACCGGAGGCGACATGCCCGGGCGCGCCGACGTCTGAGGCGAGCGGTCGATCGCGCGCTGATCTTAAAATGTTGCACACCAGCAGAGACAGATCGCGGCACGGTCGAGATCACGTTTTCGACTGCGGATCGAAACCGGCGCGGACGGACGAGAAGAACGCGCGCGCATCACGTCATGCCGTGGTGATCGTATAAAAAAATGGCGTTTGCTATGTACAGCAGCGAGCGGCCTAACAAGGCGTCCCGTGTCTCCTTCGAGAGACGGACGCGAAAGAATAAACACTAAGAATAGATACGCTCGTCGTCAATACGCCGCCGTGTGTTGCGCGTACGGCTTCGGGTTCACCAGAGACATCAACACGGGAAGGAGGATCAACCCGTGGGACAAACCCAGCGTGATGCACAAGAAGAGCTGCCGGAAGAACGTGATGAACACGTACGACTGCGACCCGCCGAGCACGGCGACGGCGAGAAACGTGGAGAAGGCGCCGTTGAAGACGGCGGCGCCCATGTTGTTCAAGCACGCCTTCAGTCGTTCATCCGGGGAGCCTCTCGTCTCCAAGTACGCGCGTCCGATGTGCGCGGCGTAGTCGACGCTCAACCCGAGCGCGATGATCAACATGATGATCGTCACGGAGTCGAAATTTAAATCCCAAAAGTACATGTACCCGATGATGTTGATGATGATGAGGCACAGGCACAGGCACACGACGAGCACGGCTTTGGGGTTCACGAGAAGAAACGCGATGATGGCCACCATGACCGCCATCGTGCTCGAGATGTTCCGTAGCGCTTCCTCCTCGATCGTTTTGTACTGCTCGTAGTTTAACCACGACGCGCTGTACGCGAACACCCTGCCGTCGCCGTTCCCGGCGACGCCGGAGAGCGTCGCGCGCAAGGAGTCCATTGACTTGACTTTTTCATCCGACGTCGCCGTCTTGACGTGGTTCCCTCGGACGCGCGCGGAGTAAATCCCGGACGCCGGATTCGACGAGTCGACCCACTTGACGTCGTTCGCGTACGCCGCGCCGCTGCCGTCGAGCCACGTCTTCAAGCTCGAGTACGAGTACGCCGTGTCCACGGTGCCTCGGGTCCCGTCGGCGTCCCAGGCGGTAACCCAATCGTACGTCGCGTCCGCGCTGACGTACGCGTCCCCCTTAAACGCGGCGACGGCGAGCCTCAAAACCTTCGAGTTCTCCGCGGTGTTGATCTGTATGTTGTTCGTGTACAGCGCGATCGCGTCGCCAACCTTGGTGAAGTAGTAGTCGCTGTCGGAGAGCCAGTCTTTGAGGTACGACCCTTCGGGGATGAAGTCGTTGACGTCGGCTTCGATTTTCATCCGCGCGCAACCGACGAAGCCGACGATCGCGATCGCGGTGAACACGCCGACGACGAGCCCTTTCGCCCACGGCTTCGTGAGCGTCCCACCGAGGCTCTCGCCCATGAAGTGCTGCACGCGCGTCTTCCCGTCCTTACGCTTGTCGCAGCACGCGAGGCACGGGGACTTGGTGCCGACGCAGCAGCAGCAGACGTCGCGTTTGTTCTTCTCGCGGCGCCACTCGTCGATCGTCAACCACGCGGCGAACCACGTGCACTGGTACACGAACACGAAGAAAACGCCCGCGGCGGCGTAGAAGCAAAAGTTCCTCAGCGCGGGCAACGACGTGTTGCTGCCGATGAGAAACGCGAACATGTCCGTCATCGACGTCACGGTGATGGACGCGCCCGCGACGCCCATGGCTCGACCGATCCGCGTCCTCAGATCGCCGTCGCGGTACGTCGAGTCCTGGGACAGCAAGTCGTACTGCGTCACGATGACGAACATGTCGTCCACGCCGATGCCGAGCAGCAAGAACGGCAGGACGTTCATGAGCGGGGAGTAGAACAGGCCGCAGTAGGAGCAGAACCCGTACGAAGACGCGATGGCCATGCCGACGGCGACGATGCCCGCGAGCGTGACGCTCAACCGCGTCCCGACGCAGCCCTCGTCCCACTTGCTCAGCATGAGCGTCGCGTAGCCGAGGATGAGGACGAACGCGGCTTGGAGGAGGACGAGATCGCCGGTGATGGCGTCTCCGAACTCGTCGCTGAACGACCGAGAGACGATGTACGAGAGCTCGAGGCCGTCGACGCCCGCCTCGAAAATGTCCAGAAGAACGCGCTCGTACGCCTCGCCGCGGGGGTCTTCCCACCTGCCGTCGACGAGGGTCTCGTGCACCTTGGTGAGGAACGAAATGCGAAGCGCGGACGCCTCGGTGACGCTCCCGGAGCTGTACGTGATCCCGCCCGCGACTTTGTCGAGGTCGATCGTCCCAGAGGTGACCACGTTCGGAATGGACGCGAGATTGACCTTCGCGATGATCTCGCTCGCGGTGTCGCGGTCCGTCGTAGACGAGAACGCGTTGTTCAGGTGTTCGATGAAGCACGTGCTGCCGACGTAGTAGCACTGGTCCGTCCACGAGATCGTGGCGCCGTCGTACACGACGGACGCCGCTTCGATCTTATCGACGAGGGTCTGCATGGAATTCAACGTCGCCGGGGTCAAGACCGAGGTCCCGTCCGCGCGCTTGATGATCACCTCGCCGAACCGCGCTTCCGCGCCGAAGTAGTTGTCCACGTACGCTTTGTCGTCCTGCGCTTGCGTGTCCGCGGGGATCCACAGCTTCTCGGACCTGGACTCGTTTTCCAGGCCCGGGTAGCCGATCCCTCCGGCGCAGACGAGGCAGAGCGCGAGCGCGCAGAGCGCAGCCTTTCGCGGCGACGCGGCGATCCCGTGCCCGAGGCTGAAGAACGCGCCAGTGATCGCGCCGTTAATTTTGTCCGCGTAACGCTCGATGCGGGACGGTTTCTCGTCGTCCGCCACCGCGGCGGCGTCCTTGCCCGCTTTCGGGGAGGAGCCGAAGAAGGACGACGACCTTTTCTCGCCGCCGGGCGCGCGCGCGGCGGGCGCGGGAGGAGCGTACGCCTCCATCGTGACCGTGGCTTCCGTAGACATCACGACGTCCTCCGTGTCCCTCGGTTCCGGGCTCACGCGCATGCACGAGTCCGACGGGCGACGGACGCGCGGGAGGCGCGACGCGTTCTGAGACGATGACGTCGACGTCGCGCCCGCACCGGTCTTTCGGACCGTCGGCGAACGAGAGCCGTGGAAAACGCTGTTCGACAGTGCCTAGATTGTGTCCTATGGCGATCTAGTTAGACTCGGCGGATGATTTCGTACTACGCCAAGTCTTACTTTCGTATATAACAAGACGCTCGGGTTTGGTTCGGAGCATCTTCGGAGTTACGTTTTTCGCGACGACCCGACAGCGACAGATCGATCGCGCGCGTCGAGCGCATCACATCGCGGACGCGCGGAGAGAGGATGCCGTCTCCCGCGTCGCTCCTCCTCGCGTGGGCGGTCGCGGCGTCGATCGCCGCCGTCGCGGTCGCCGCCGCGCCGACGACGATGACGCAGCGGGAGATGGACGAGCACGTCTCGCATCACGAGCTCGGACACCCCCCGCGCGATCTCTTCGCGGAGACTGCGAGCGAGCGCGCGCTCTGGAACGCGAGCGGCGACGCCGCGCGCGGCGACATCGCGCCGTTCGAGAAGGAGAATACGAAGAATACGAAGAATACGAAGAATACGAAGAATACGAAGAATACGAAGAAGAAGACGTGCGCGCCGCCGTCCGCGAAGAGACTCGCGCAGTACGGATGGCGGTGGAACGCGTGGAAGTACGTCCCGGACGCGCTCGAGGCGCGCGCGCGGGCGCGGAGATCTCCGTCGTCGCGAGTAGTAGACGGGAGGGACGGCGGCGACGGGCCGAGAAGACGCGCGCTCGACGCGAAGGATTCGAAGGAGGATTCGAAGGATTCGGTCGGCGGCGCCACGCTGCCGTGGGAGCGGGGCGAGGACGCGGCGGCGGCGGCGTCGTCGGCGTCGGCGTCGTCGCCGCATCCGTCGCCGCCGCGGTCGCCGCCGCCGCCGAAACTCCTGTCCGACACCGACGACGACGCCCCCGCCGCCGCCGCCGCCTCGGACGCGTCCGCGTCCGCGGGCGCGATCGTCTACGCCTTCGGCGTCGGGCGCGACATCACCTGGGACGCGGCGGTGATAAAGCGTCATCCGAACGTCGTCGTGCACGGGTTCGACAACACCCACGTCGCGACGGAGTTCATCGTCGAGCTCGCGAAGCGAGGCGGCGTCCCGAAGCGGTGGAATTGGCACCGGGTGTTGCTCGCGTCGAGGGACGACGAGACGACGCTCACGATGGCGTTACCGAGATCGCACAAAGACGCGTTCGTCCCCGTGACGATCGACGCGGCGGGCGCGGATGGGAAGAGGAAGGAAGCGCGTCCGAAGATGCTCACGGACGAGGTGCGTTCTATACACTGGTTCCCATACGACCGCGTTGGCGTGGTGAACGCCGATCCTTAAGGACTTTTCCCGGCGTCTCTCTCCGCCCACCCCTCGCTTTCAATCCCCGCCCTCGACGCCTTTGAACTTCAACCGACGCCTTTCAACTCCACCCCGACGTTCGCTCGTATGGAACGGCCCTGAGACGCGCGAGGCGTTCGCGGCGGCGGCGCTGTGGCGAACGATGAAGAAGCTCGGCCACGAGGACGGGGTCGATATCGTCAAGGTGGACATCGAGGGCGGGGAGTTTGAGGTGATACGCGGGTGGGAAGAGCGCTACGGCGCGGACGGCCCGCCGACGTGCCAGCTTCTGATCGAGTGGCACGAGCGATTCTTGACCGGCGTCGGCGCCGCATCCGCCGCGAGAAGAGACGCGGAGGCGGCGCTGCTTCGGATGGGGTTCACGCCGCTCCACTGCTGGGAGGGCATCCAGGAGTGCGTGTACTGGCACTGCGCGCGTTGCGCCGAGAGAGGCGAGGCTCGTGACGTCGACGACGTACAGTAATGTCGAGGTGATCGATCCTACGTACGGTTAGCGTTAACCTTATTATGGATTAATCGATTCATCGATACAGCGCGTTTATCGCGGCTCGAAAGTCGGCGTACGCCTCGAACCCCGCGGGTCTCATGACCTCGTCCCAGCGCTTCTCTATCCTCTCCCGCAGCTCCGCGCTCATGCCTTCCTTCCCCCCGCCCACCTTCCCCCCGCCCTCGCGCACCTTCCCCACGAGCTTATCCCCGCCCCACTCGTTCTCGTCGATGCGCACGCGGCGCCACATCTCCTCGCGAACGAAGTGATCGTCGAACTGCGCCGCGCGCGACCGCATGTACTCGAACTCGGACTTCTCGCACACCTCGTCCGTCATCGCGCTCGTCCACTCGAACGCGCTCGCGCTCGCGGCGTTTCCGTCACCGTTACCGTTTCCGTCGCCCAAGATGAATCGCGCGACGCGTTCGACGACGCGCGCGAGGTTCTCTTTCATGTCCTCGAAACACACCAGCAGAACGTCCTCGCGCGCTCTCTGCTCCCAGTACCCCAAGAAGTGCGCCCACACGTGTCCGCTGTGCGACGCGCCCGCGAAGATGGCGTCCGCGAACTCCTCGTGCGTGATCTTCCCCGGCGCGATGCCCATGTACGCGGGGAGAAAGTTGTAGAAGGAGAAGAAGACGTCCAGCGGGTCGCGCACGACGCAGACGTACCGCGCGCCCTTGGCGACGTTCTCCCATCGCTCGTGAGACTTGAAGAGCCTCGGGTCGCACACTTGCTCGTCGTCGAGGCGCTGTCCGCAGTCCAGCGCGAGGATGTCCCACGGCACGACCTGCGTGATCTCTCCGAACGCCATCGCGTCGACGACGTGCGCGCGCGCAGTCGCGCCGGACGCCGGCCCGCCCATCGCGGCGGCGTGCTTCGCCGCGCACGACGCGTTCGACGCGATGCAGCGAATCTGGTGACACACCTGAGGGCCATTCCATACGAGCGTGTGTCGGGGTGGAGTTCAAAGGCGTCAGGTGTAGTTGAAAGGCGCCGAGGGCGGGGATTGAAAGCGAGGGACCCTGGGCGGAGAGATGCGCCGGGCAAACTCCTTAAGGATCGGCGTTCACCACGCCGACGCGGTCGTATGGGGCCCGGTGTATAGAACGCGCCTGCGTCGCCCACGTCGTGCCGCACTTGGGATACGTCACGATGAACACGTCCGTCGGCCTCGGCGCGAACGACCGTCCCGCGTGGATGCTCTCCGCGCTGTGCATGAGATCGTTCCGATGCCGCATCAGCTCGAGGGGGGTCATCTCCCGCGACGGCGGCGGCGGCGGCGGCGGCGGCGGCGCCTCCTCCGCCATCGTGTTTTGTGGCCGCGCGCGCGGCGTGGAACGAAAAAAACGTCTCGTGATGAACTGAGTGTCAAACTACGTGTACCGCTACCCCCCCTTTCTCCCCTACTTAAATTCTTCATCATCACACTCCGAGGCGTCGCAAACTCCTCGGGCACCGCCGCCTCCTCCTACCGCTGTCATCATAAACTCTCGACTCGCGGCTAGGCTACGGGCTACTACCGCCCCCCGTCTCGCCGCGTGTCCATCACGCTCGGATCGAACATCGGCGTCAGCGCTCTCTCGAACCACAACCGCTTGCTGTTGTTAAACCGCGGATCGAACGCGGAGATCACGGGCAAGATCTCCCACCCCACCCCTATCCGCAACCCCTCCAGCAGCGCCCTCGCGCCGCCGCGCGTGTACTGTACTTCAAAGCGACGTACGTCGGGGCGGAGTCGATGGGCGCGTCAGACGGAGTCAAAAGGCGTCGCGGCGCGCGCGTCGGGATCGAAACGACCGCGGGGTGGGCGGAGAGAAACGAACGAAACGTCGGGGGGCCGAAGAAGTCCAAGTCCTCGAGGAACGGCGTCCACCGCGCGAACGACGCGGTCGCACGGGGACCAGTCAGTGTGGAAATAGAACGCGCCTTCACGCCGTCCACGTACGACAGCGACCACGCGCCCCCTCTGGGCGCGTCCCTCGCCGCCGCGCGCACGTCGCACACCTCGTCGTCCTCCAGGAACAGAAACTCGACGTCGTAGACGTCGGCACCCACGGCACCCACGGCACCCACGGCACCCACGGACTCGCTCGAGCGCTCCCCGTCGACGACGACCAGCCGGACGTAGCCCGCGGCTTCGTCGTACGCCGCCACCGCCGTCGTCACCCGCCGCGGCGGCGCGTCGTTCGCGTTCCTCCCGGCGTCGTTCCTCCCCGCGGACGCGAACGACCCCGCGGCGAGCACGCGGCTCGCGAGCGCCGCGCTCCTCGCGTTAGATCTTCCTCTGCCGATCTCCGCGCGCGGCGGCGGCGGCGCGTTGAGCGTGAACTCGCCAGCGGGGGTGAGGGTCCACCCGCCGCCGTCGTCGTCGTCGCTCGCGGCTTCGAGCCTCGCGCGGTCGCTCTCCGCGAGCTGCCCGCGCGGCGCGACGCCCGCGACGACGTCCACGAGCCGTCGCATCGCCGCGACGCGGTCGCCCGGGTACGCCCACGGCGCGACGAAGTGCGCCTCGTCGTCGTTCTGCGACGACACGCACGCCTCGGTCTCTCCCGGGCACGAGTTGAGGAGTCCGTCGACGACGCCGACGCAATCCGCGCAGTCGCCCTCGGACGGCGGAGGGGGAGGAGACGACGCGAGCGCGCGTCTCGGGGCGGCGATCGCGGCGGCGGCGGCGGCGAGCGCGGCCGTCATCGCGGCGCGGCGCGACGCGAGGAGGAGGAGGAGGACGGGCGGCTCGCGACGACGCTTCTCGTCGATCATCATCATCTCAGGGCCGTTCTATACAAGCGAATGTCGGGGTGGAGTTGAAAGGCGTCAGTTGGAGTTGAAAGGCATCGAGGACGGGGATTGAAAGCGAGGGGTGGGAGGAGAGAGACGCCGGGAAAAGTCCTTAAGGATCGGCGTTCACCACGCCAACGCGGTCGTATGGGAACCAGTGTATAGAACGCGCCTCAGATCGGGTGCTCACCGCGTTTTCTTCGTCTCGACGACGCGGCGACGACGCGGACGCGGACGTCGCCGCGCGTCGCGACGACGACGACGACGACGACGACGCGGCGCCGCCGGCGCCTGGGATCCGAGGAGGACGCGCGAGCGCGCGCGACGCCGACGCGAGAGATGTCATCGCGTCTCGTCTCGCCGCTGGGTGCGTCTCGAGCGCGCGCTCTCGAGTGACGCCGATCTCGTCGATACCTAACTGATGACAGCCTGTTCTGTTGAATAAAAAAAATCATCGGTCAGTTGAAAGGGAGAGCGATCAAATGTTGAAACCGAGGGACGGGTGAAAAACATTACCTGTAGTATGAACCCGTCGCCGGTTCGATGTTCAAAATCGGTCGTCAGCTCCGACGACGGACGAGAGCGCGCCGCGCCGACCACGACGCCCGATGGCGTCGCAGGAGCGGTGGTGCGGCGCGATGGCGACGCAGGACGA